GAAAACTGGTGATAGCCAGTACTAATACCTACCGGTGCTGTACATACAGCCATATTTTTATTTTTATTGCATTTGTTGATATGACAATAATGTGCTAAAACATTTAGTTTAGTTTTTATTTTTGTATAATAGAAAACTTTTATATACAGTATATATATTCGCTGACTTGTATTTGATACCTATTATTAGGTCTTTGCAATCATCCATCAAACACATGATCCCAAATGTATGGATGGATCCATAGATTTTATCATAATTTTTCAAGTATTGAACACAAACTTCAAGTGATTATTAATAACTTTTATTTTTTACTTTAATTATTGCGAAATAGCATATAATGATATATTATACATTACCGTACACTACAATACTGTATAACCGACACACATGATGTGTGACTGATTAATAAATAACTTTCACTCACTTTGACAAACACACACACAAAAAGATCATAGATTATAATTGTGTAAATGCATTGTAATTTGTAATTAATTTATTATTATTTTTTAATGGTATCTGGATGTTAATTTATAATATATTTATAAATTAGCAATAACATAGCTAAATATGGTAGCGTTCAAGGAAATTTTGCAAAATACACACAATATATTAATATATAAATTATTAATCAATTAAATAAAAATAATGACTCATATGTATATACCTGTAGTTTTGATAAATAATTATCGATATATTCAATGCGGTTAACAAATTGATATATTAGATTTATTATATTACAAAGTATTACAATACTAATACTCTATTTATAAGATAATGAGTTTTAATTTTTAATAATTATAAATTAAGTCCAGTTTAATATAATAAATTCAAGTGTTTCCTAGTTACTCACTAATATCCGGGTAATGTTATAATAAATGAATATTTCTAGAAAATAATAGAGTTATATATATACAATATACAGTATACATAATATATATATGTATTTATATATTAAATTAATATTTATGATAATCAGGTTTTAAGGGGTCTAATTGTGGGAATATATTACAAAACGAAAAATAWTTTTTTATAAAAATTCAAATTACAATTGTAATATAATGCACTTTTAATCTACAAAACTATATGTATTATTTTGTAAACTATTTTTATATATTAATATAAAAAAAATTATATTATATAAATTGTATTATATATCATTTTCATTTTATAGACATTTGCAACATTTTTTATATTGTTATATGTATTGTGCAATATATAACACAATGCATTTTTTATTGATTTTGTCTCCACTACATTGACAAATATATATATATATAATTAACTTAATTGTAATTTAAATAATATACGCTCATAGCAACAAAGTAAATTAATTTCTCTAATATAATTATAGGTATATAAAATGTACATGTAAGTTATTTATACATTTACATACAATATAACTTAGTTTATAAATATAATATACATAATAACTTATATGTATGTATATGTATGTATAATATACTGTATATATAGATATTACATTTGATAAAGAATCTGATATTCATTATTATGAAAATCTCTGAAAAAACTTTTCTCTGCTTATTATATCTCATTGTTATCCCAAAGTAATAAATGTTTGCTTTTTGTCTGATAATGTCATTAAGAAATATATTCAATTATAATCTTTTATTTTCTTTTAATAATAATAATAATATTTTAATATGTGTATATATATAAAATTTTAATAAGTATATAATATTATATTTTTTTATATTACATATATTTAATATGCATAATATATTTTATTTTTTAAAACTTAATATTATTAATAATCGTATAGTATATAAAATACATTAGAAAGTATATAAATATTTTTTAGCAGAAAAAGATGAATATCAATGTTTTTTCATATATATACTGTACAGTATATATATAGATATTAATATTAGAAAAAAATGTGATGATATGCTCTCTGTAATGTATGTAAGTATATATATATGTTTTATGATATGCCAGAAATACAATATATATGTATTTAATATGTATATTAGATTTTTTTAAATATACATTATATATTTATTTATATGTATTTTATGTAATAATAAGCATTTTCTGTTAGAAAAGTCATGAAAATTCAGTAAAAAAAAAGTTTGAAATTCATATCAAATTACAGTTAAAATATTTTGACGTCAATTAATTGTCATTAAATCAAATTGATTTGCTAAATATATACTTTATTGTGTATTCTTTTATTATATATATATATATATAATGTCAACGGTATACATTTACCAAAAAAATAATAGCTCTATTAATATTATTGATTAACTTTTTATATATTTGTAAACTATATTATTGATCTAAAACTAAACAATTATTATCGTAATATTGATTTATATATACAGTATATATATAATATACCATTTGTCATACAAGATTAAATGTTATTTATACACAATTTTTCAAATTATTATTTTTATTATTATTTGTTTTCATACTAGTATTGATAAAATATTCAAATATTTGTCATTTATGTTTGTATGTGTGTACAGTAAATTACAATACTGTAATGTATATGTCTGTAAGTGTATATGGAAGTTAAAATAAATTTTCTAATTAAACATTTATTAAATTAATCTAATTTATTTATTTTAATAAATATATGGGGCAAAATTATTATTATTCTTATATTTTAAAATATATATATATATAATTTATTAAATAGCTTATAACTACAGTGGTTTATATATTACTGTATATTCATATATAGCAATAGTAACTGTGATGTATTGTTTGTTATTGTGTTTTATTAGACTTTTTTTCTCTCTCTAATCACTTGTTGTTAATAATTCATTGCTCTCGTGATAACTGAATTTTGAGATAATTTATTATTATTAACATTATTATAGCAAAATAAGAAAAAACATTATTAAATAAAAATAATAAAAATTATACAAAAACAAAGAAATCAATTGTAAAAATTACATAATTTATATAGACATAAAAAAGAGTGCAAAAATAACATTTTTTAAAAATAACTTATTTTAACAAAAATATTTTGGTAGTCAATAGAATAGGATTTTTTAAAATAATTTTTTTATTTAAGTTATTTGAAACCTTAGAGAATTTATTGAACCTTTGTTTTTGTCATTGATTTTTTTATTATATAATATATATATATATATGTATACAATATATATATATATATATATATATTACTCATATAATATGTGTAAATGAAATAAATAAATATGTTATATTAAATGATTAATCTTTATAAAAAACATATACTGTGTATATAACGGTAATGTGAGTTGATATGAAATTCAATAAATTTTTTACAACTACAACAACATAAAAACAAATTTATGTAATTTTTTTATTTGTTTGACATCTCTGTAAATGTCTATCAATGGTATGAATACTACAGTATAAATTATATTGTATGTTATATTAATACTACAGTACATAAAGTATAATATATTTAGGACACAATACATTTGCCTTTTTTGATTAAAAAATTTTTTTCTGTAAGGATAATAATTGTATTGTACTGTATGTTATATACATTTATATTGTATATATCAATATTATATGTATTGTAAATTATGTGTGTTATATGGTATGGTATGACTTATTTTATGCAATATATAATTTATAGTTTTGATGTTTGATTGGCTTTCACCTCCTGTTTGTTTCAGCAGTCTCTCTATCTGTAAATATATATATTTGTATATTACAAATGATAATATTATTTTTATTTTTATATATTTATTATTATTATTTTGTTTTTTCAAACTCAACGGATCACACCATTTGTGCATTTGTTTCAAATAAAATTAGACACGAATTTTATATAAATATTATATATATAAACACGAGTTTTGGCACCAATTCTGATGAATTTCCATAAGTTATTATCAGAGAGATATTGTTTGTATGACTTGTGTGTGCTGTGTGTGTGTGTGTATGACTTGTGAAGCAAAAAATATGATGATATAGTTAGCACAGTTAGATTATATATTTAAAAAACAACATAAGTTTGTTAATAATTTACAGTATATTTATATATAATGAAGTTTTTTTGGAAAACTATGTTATATACAAACATTTATATATATTATATATTGGGGAAAAGGGTTGCGCGGATAGAGACAAAAAAGAGAGCGAGAAATTGATTTATAAAATTATATTTTTTGACGCTTTTTTGTATGATTTTTATTTTTTGCTTCAAAATGAATGAATGAATGAATGAATAAATGAAAAAAAGTTTTATCAGTTGCATTCAGTTTTTTGTTTGTTTGTCAGTTAATTTGTATAAATTGTTGACAAAAAATTGGATGAATAATAGGGACACAAATTTTTTTGCACAACAATTATATCATTACTGTATTATTATTATTATTATTATTACATAGTTAATGATGTGATTGTGATTATGATGTGTGCGACAGAAAAAAAATCTAATTTTCAAAAACCATGACTTGTTTTTTGGTGTCCGCAACGCGACTGTGTTTCAAAGCCTACAACAACAACACATATAAAACAATTTATTTTATTTATTTATATTTTATAATATATATAATGTTTTTTTAATATTTCGAGTTTGACTTTTAGGCTAATTTTCTTCTTTTTCTTCTTTTTTATTTATTGTTGGATTGTGTTCACCAGTTTTTGTTGTTGTGTTGTTGTTGTTGGTCGGGTACTACATCTCTATCTCCCGTTCCCCTCAATATATAGCACATACACACACACAGACACACTAGTAATGTTGAACTCAATACTTTGCACTCCTCTATATTTTTAAATGTCTTTCCTCTTGTAGGTTGTTGTTGTTGATGATGATGATTGTTGCACTGTTGTTGTTGTTGGTTGTGTTTCTACTGTTAGCTGTTATATAATATATATATATAATACAAGTTATATAAGTATAAAGTATTTGTTTGATGTGTTATTTGAATCCAGTTTTTTTTAATATATCATATATGAGTTTTCGTTCCTTTTATTACTAATACTACTCTCTGCCTATGACTACTACAATATATATATTTTTTATTTTATATATATATATATATATAAATGTACAGCACTTGAGTTGAGTCTAAAACTCCTATTCACTGATGATTTATTGCAACTTCTTCTGTGACCTCTTTTGTGACCTCTTTGACGACTTTCTCTGCTGTTGTGTTGTTAGCTGGGGTTTTGGTGAAACATGTAATGAAAAAAATATTATTATTATATGAATACTGTATATATAAATAAAAAAATTAGATTTTTCAATAGTCATATAAAGTAATAATAATAATAGTCAATATTGTCTTTATTTATACTGTATATACACAGTAATAAAATATATACATTTATAAAACAGTATAAACACAATAGATACTGTTATTAAATATATATTTTCAACAAATAGAAAGAAAACTATAATAAATAATAAATTTTGTATACATTGACTACAATATAATGTATATAAAATAACATTTGAGACAAACAAGTTATATATATAATAAAGCAATGGTAATAATAATAATAAGAGTACGAAATAAAAATAAGAGAAAGAGAGAGAGAGAAAAAAAAGAAAGAAAGAGAGGAGAGGAGAGAGAGGACTATATAAGTATTGAATTGAAAAATAAATGATAAAAATAGATTAAATAAATATTTATCGACATTTGAAAACGAGGGAAATAAAAATACAATATTTGGACATTAAAGAGAAACAAATACAATTAGATATAACTTTTAGTTTAAGTAAATTTTGGTGTAAATATGTTTTTAGGAGAGAGAGAGAGAGAGAGAGAGAGAGAGAGAGAGAGAGAGAGAGAGGTATTAAGTAATATATTATTACATAATAATACTACATTAATACTAATGAAAATGTTAGTAAATGAAACTTACATTTGCAGTTTGTATATACAGTATATTATAAAATACATTTAATGGTAGTTAATTTGACGTTTGATTATTAAAGCGTCGATTATTAAGCATTGTGTTAGTTGATTAGCAATTTTTATTATTATTATTATATTTTTATTTAATTATTATCTTATAATTTATAAATTTATTTCTATATAATTATATTAACAGTTTTCGTCAGATAAAAAGCGATTGTTATTATTATTATTTTATTGTTACGAAATTTTTTTAATTTTCATATTATGTATTATTAAAAGCATTGCAAGTATTATAGTATATTTGGACCCTCTGGTGGTGGTGGTTGTGGTGCCTAACCATTGGGGGAAATGGGATATTAAAAACAACAACAAAAACAGATAATGGTTTTTAATACATATTTTTGTTTTATTTTTTCATATATGGTTTTCATCTCTACTACCATTATATATATATTTAAAAAGAGTTTTTGAATATCAATTTTTTTGTCCCGAAAAAATTAATGATAATCTTTCTGTGACTTTTGATTTATACTACTTTTCTATAGAGTTTCTATTTAAGTATTATTATTATCACCGATAAAACCGGTATATATATTAATATAATGGTCAGTACAGGCAAACTTACGCCAGGGAACAGTCTGGAGCCACAGCCCGGCAGTGGTAGTCCATCGACCTGTTCATAGCATACGGAGATTATTAGTATTAAACACAACAGAGAGAAAAAAAATTATTTTATGACTTTTTTCTGGCAATAGTACTGTATTATTGGCACTGATTTTTTATGAGTGTTTCTTTTATTTTTGTCTGTTTTATTTTTATTTTATTTTTTTGAGGTTAAGATTGTGAGCTCCCGACACCCGTTGAGTTTTAGTCAGAGAAATGAGAGGGTATTCGGAGATATTCTTTAAAAATTTAAATTAAAGGGAGGGGTGTCACACAGCTACATGTGTGCTATAAGCACTGGGATGTGTTACTGAGTGTCTGTATTTATGTACAGTATGTAAAGTTTATATGAATCTGTGATTGTCTACACAAGGATATCATTGAAATAAACTGTGTATGAGATAAGATTTTTAATGAGCAACAACTTACCCCTAGAGGACAGGGAGCATCGAGTCCAGGAACACCCTATCATATAATATATGGCAGAGTTTTATTTTACATTTAAAAGCCATTATTGTCATTCAATTTTCATAATATAATAGATAATATAATATAAGCGCATAATTATGTAATTTTATTGTTCGTGCATTCAAATATTTTTTTTATCGTCAAATGGGAAATGGGTCTCAAAATACATATATAAAGTCTACAACAATAACCACCAAATGCTATATACCTGATCTCCTTTATCACCCTTTTCTCCCTGTGAACCCTTATCACCTCTGCGTCCAGGTTTGCCCTATAATATATTGGGTCAGTTGTTTTCCAAGAGGGGAAGCAATGGATAGGGAGAGGTAAACAAGCAGATAATATATTAATATATTAATGATGGCAATATATTAGCATATAATTTATTGTCTCAAAAAAACTTATTGGTTTCAAACAAATGAGATGAGAGATAGAAAAAACTAACTAAATAAATACACACATATATATATATATATATATATACAGTACACGACAAAAATAATTTTTTATGACAACTAATTACACAAAAATTTAGTGTTTTCATTGCTCAAAAAAATAGTAATAATAGCTTCTAATAATAGTGATCAGTAATAGACTAATACAGTATTTAAACAACGAGTTATTTAATGAGGATAGGGTTTAAACACACTAGAGATTGGTTTTTGTAACAAAAATAAAAAACTAACAAAAAAATAATCACAAAATTCTGTGTATATAAATCAATACATATAAATGTCTAGTAAAACAACTACTAGGAACTTAATATATATAAATTATATATATATATATACATATGAGTTGTTTGAAAGTCATAAATAAGCAACAAATTAAGTGAAATTTATTTGAAAAAAGAGCTTAATATATATATAGAGAAAGAAAAAACATTAAGTAATTATTTTTATCACTATTAAAAATCGTTGCTATTTTTGTGTAGAAATATCAAACTCATATTTAAGCCCTAAAAATATAATTTATATTTTTTAAACAATGAAAAATTTAAAATCTTCAAAGTCTATTATTTATAATATATATATAATACAACTAATAAATTGTAAACAACTAATAAAATAAGCCAATTGTGCGTTTATGTGGATAAAATTAATGAGAAAAATAATAATAGAAATTTTCTAAAATATATAATTTATTTAATATATGTTAAAGAGAGAAAACCCGCCAAATAAAAAATAATTTTGTATTTCACTTATTTTGCTTTTATTTCTTAACTCTTAATAAATTATTAAAACAAATGAATTAAATGAGTGAATGAATTAAATGAATAAATAAATAAATGACTGAATTAACTAAATGAATGAACGAATGAATAAATAAATAATTTATTTATATATGTATAAAGAAAGTGCTTTAACAACATAACAACAATTACTTAAAACATGTAATACATTTTGAAAGTTTTTTTTTAAATAAAACAAAAAGACACCAAATCTAAAACTTATGCAAATATTTTTGGTGATCATTGAGATTGAGTGAGTGAGTGAGTGAGTGTTTTTTTTGCATAGGTTTGTTACACTAATGAGCGTCAAAAAGTTTTTAGATTTTTATGAGAGAAAGAGCCTAAACTATTAAACTTAAGGCAACAAAATAGACAATAATAATAATTACCAAATTTTAAATGTGAATTGAAAGCTAATGCAAAAATTGTAAACTAAATAAACAAAAGCAAATAAAATAATAATAAAAAATACATATAAAACAATGCATACAATCAATCGCATGGTTAGCAAAATGACAGTTTTTTCAGTGCTCTCTCACCTAAATTTTTTTTATTATAGTTATTAATATTATAGTTATGGTTTTTTATAGTTATTATTATTTTTATTTTTTACTGAATTAATTATGCAATGAGCATATATTTATTATTATTATAATAATATATATATTTTAAATAAAAATACTGTATTTATAAATAAGTCGGAAATTAATTGAATAAATCATAATAAGGATAATAAATAATGCAAACACAATGCTTAGAGAGTAAACAAATCCACAGACAAAATAATACTAAAAAAAACTTTTTGAAATATTTTTTTGTCAACACAACAACAAACCATATGTGTGTGTGTGTTATATAACACACTTGAGGACACACACAATGTAATAATACGTGAGACATTAAAATGTATGACAAAAAAAAACTAAAGACAATAGAGATATATCTATGTATATAAATAAAAATAAATAAAAAACATAACAAATAAAACAAGAGAGAGATTCATCATTTTATAGGGAAGTCATTTACCGGATTTCCGATCGGACCAACTGGACCCTTGGGCACCATATAGAGTTGAGGACAGGGATGTCAGTGAAAGAGACAGAAAAAGAAAGAGAGAAAAAAAGAAAAAATATTGTCATTAATTATCATGTATTATATAAGGAGGTTATAAATTATAAGTACAGTATTATGTTTGTTAGTTAGTTATATATATATATATAAGTAAAAACAAAAGTTAAAATAAAAATAATAACAATAAAACAACAAAAACTACTACTATGTCAGCATCAACATCAACATTAATGACAACAATAAAAATAATTAACAACAAAATCAAAATCAAAAGCATATTGCAAGTGATGATAGTTTGTGGTCACAGACAACAATACAGATTACAGATAAGTGAGGCACAAGTAGTTTATAAAAAACAGGTGATATATATATATATATATAAATATATATAATTGATTGCTTGTATTTGGTGCTGAATTTCAATCAATCCAATCAATCAAATTGTTTGTGATTTAAATATATTAATTTATTTTTGGTGCGATATTTGGGTAGAGTTTTGTTTCGGGTAACGAACCGGTAAGCCGGGTATGCCATCAGTGCCGGGAAGGCCTGGTTCGCCCTTTTCGCCACGCGGTCCCATATCACCTATTATTCCCTATGATTATTAAATATACCCGTAATATATAAGATTATAAAAATATTTTTAATAATAAGTTAATAATAATAAATATATTTTAAGGTATATAACTATAAATTTAGTTGATTATACTATAAGTAATTATTTATAAAAAACAATTTTATTATATTACTTTTATTATTGTTTAAATGATAACAAATAAAGTATTAATACTAATATGTGTTTTTAGGGTTTGAAGGGCTAAATGTGAATCACTGATTTAAATTTATTACCACAAAATATGGCCATAAATTAATAATAATAAACTTTATATATATAAATATAACAATAAAATAATTAAATAAAAATATACCATAAAAATTATTTGTTGATTACTATTTTACTTTATGTTTCATTGAAAAAACAAAATGTCATTATATTATTTTTAAAAAACAATTACTAATTTGATATAAATCAAATATTAATTAAAAGCAATGATAAACTATATTAATCATAAAAAATTATAATCAACAAACAGTAATAAAAGTTATTTATTATTAATAGAAAATTTATAAATTTCATCACTTAAATACTATGTGTGAATAAAATATTTTAAACGTAAATTCAATGCTATTTGTTTTGTTATTAATATATATAAAAAATATCATTTTAAATATGAACAAGGCTATTAAAATAAAATAAAAAACTATAGTTTAGTTTAAGGATGTAAAGCATTTTTGTTAAATGTATAAATAGATAAAAGCGTAAAACTTTATAAATTTAATAAATAAAAAAACAGTATTAAAAATATTTATATTTGCAAATTAACGTCATATACTATTATATATGCTAATGTATATCAATTAAAATTGATAAACTAGTTAATTATACAAAATTATTATTTAATATTAATATATTTTACTATTTTATATATATTTATAATATAAACAAATTGGTAGACATACTTTGATTCCGTCCAAACCGGGCGCTCCCTATAAATGGGAAGTCATAACAGGAATGACCACAATATCATACAAATGCAATGCTTTTTTACACGCATCTCATAATACAGTAAATGATTGCAATTAATAATTATAATAAATAACACTCGTTAGGAACAAAATTAAAACAAAACAAAACAAAATATTATATTATATGACTAAAAAATTAATTATATTAGCATACAATAAATGAAATACAAGTACATTGAATTTTGATAATAAAAACAATTAGAAAAATATATAAAATTCAATTTAATTTAATTTAAATGACAGACCACTACTCTCTCACAGCATCCGTTGGTTTCTATTTGTTTGATTAGTTTTCTAAAATAATAATGATTTTTGTTTTGTTTATATGTTTGCAATTGTTTTTAGTTTCAATTATTTTTGAAGCAATTATTTTTTTAAATTGAAAAATGTTAGATTATTTATTTTATTTAATTAAATTTTAATTATTTATTATTAAGCATGATTGCTTGGTTTGTTTGTTAATTGCAAATAAACGGCAAAAATATTATCAATATCTTTTGTTTGTAAATAATAGTTATATATTTATACATGTATAAATAATAATTTTAGTATAAATTAAAATTTTTAAACTAATTATACAATAATATTCAAAATAAAATGTTTTTTTATAAAAAAAATGTTTTGTAGATATGTTTGTTTAACTCTTCTAATATATTTATATATATACCGTATTATTGTATTAATTTATTAGAAATGAAAAATTGTGTTTAAAAATTATAATAAAACTATATATATATATCTATAAATACTGTATATAAATGTTATTAAATTACATAATATTTTAAATAAAGTTATTTATATGTTATGAACACACAGACAAATACAACAGACACTTGTGTTTTAAAATACAATTAAATTATCAAAAAATGCAATTATTAGTTGTTATTTTTGATTTGTGTTTCTATTATTCATTTTTGTTATTTAATATTATTTATATAAAACACATTAAATTATTAATAAATGAGTATTATAATTGTTATTGTTTTAATTATTATTATTGGCAATTATTAATTTTGTTATTTATTTAGCAAAACAATTAACATCAATTATTTGGCAGCTTTTTAATTTGTGTTATTATTATTATTATTATTAATATCAGTATTATTATTATTATCATTAGTTTGTCTTTATTTTCGGTATATTTTTCATACCATCAAATCAGTGGTTGAAGTGAGGTCTCCCGGTTCACCTTTACTGCCCTTAAATGTCACAAAAAAAAAGATTTTATAATTAAAATATTTAAAATTTCAATAATTATCGATAGACTAGTTTAATTTAGTAATAGGAAAGTTGATTATATGTAAACAATTAGATGATACCATAGGTCCGGGTAATCCCATTGGTCCGACATCTCCCTTATCACCCTTAAAGTGGACACAAAAATACAATCAAAATCAAATTTAGGGAAAATTAATTAATAAAAAAGCGAATAACTCACTGACTCTCCTTTAAAACCAGTATCACCTTTGATACCGGGAGGTCCTCGAAGTCCAATTTCACCCTTAATTAATAAAATTAATAAATTATGTTTGTTTTAAATAATCATCGATTGTATTTACGGGAGGTCCGGGTGGACCGGGACGGCCAACGGGGTCGAATCTGTCGCCGAAAGCTTCATAATCTTGTTTCATGAATCCGAGTGTAGCCTAAAAATCAGTAATTTAAATAATAAATTAAATATGATTTTTCAGTGATAGTATTCAACAACAAAATACATACCGAAGCGTCACCTTTATCTCCGCGATCGCCTAAAATCAAACACAAAAGTATACAATATTTAATAAATTAATTATTTTTTATTTATAGTAAATATATTTTTTATACCTTTGGGTCCCAACTTTCCAGGCGGACCGGGCAAACCAGGTGGTCCCATCATACCTGGTGGACCCATATCGCCAGGTTGTCCTACAAATTAGCATAAAAATAACACATAATTTATTATGTTATGCTCAATTTACATTAGCTTATATATAGTTACTGTATTACAATATATGCCTAATGTGCCTACCCTTTTGACCGGCAGCACCGGGCAACCCAGGAGGTCCCTGAGGACCCGATTGTCCATCATTTCCAGGGAAACCTCTCTCGCCCTGAGTGCCCGGCAGTCCAATGTCTCCTTTAGGTCCAAATTCACCGGGAATTCCCGCTTCACCTTTGACTCCCGCCTCTCCAGATTCACCACGAAGTCCAGGTTTACCAGATTTGCCCTAAAAACAGTCAAAATTATTAAAATTACTAAATTATTAGAAAATTATATATTATTTTATTTTAATTATTATTATTAATGTATATTTTAATATAACTCAAGAAAAGTATATCTCATTTTTAAAATTTATTTATTATTATTTAATTTTATAATATAACTTAAATAAAATGTATCTCATTTTTAAAAAATGATATAAATATTTATTTAATATTCGTTTTTTGTTGTTATTTTCGTATAATTATTGAGTTTTACTCCAATTTTGACAACTCGAAGCAATTTTTGGATTAATGTAATTAAAGTGTCGGAAATAAACTTATTTTATAAACACTTATTGATAATCTACTGTTAATTTATTTTTAGGGATATTTTTGGATTCAATAATCTCTCTCTCTCTCTCTCTCTCTCTTTCATCTAATCCTTTTGCTGACTACTCAACTATATTAACATTTATCGTAATATAAATAAATTCATTAATTATTAACTGAATTCCAGCTAAAAGTGTATTTTTAATACCAAAATCTCTCTCTCTCTCTCTCTCTCTCTCTCTCTCTCTCTAACAATATCACTTTAGTGATGACTATTATATTACTATTACTGTACCGATCATTCAGATTATATTAGTCGAGACAGTAGTCGTCGTCGACATCCAAAAGTTGTGAGTTAAGCATCAAATCTAATACACAAAAAGTCAACCAATCGTTCATTCATTCATTTATTCAGTCATTAGTCAAATATATATATATATATATATATATAGCGTTTGTGTAAATATAATGATAAAAGTTGAGAGAAATGTATAGATTTGAAATACAGATACCTCTTCACTAGAAACCATAATATATATGATATATATTTATATATATTTAAAATTTCATTTGATTTTTATTTTCACACACACACCACATACAGAAAAATACTTAAATGAAAAAATCATTTTTATTTTGCACACATAGACTATAATAAATGCCTCTTCTCTTATATATAAACTAATAATACAAAACCTATTATGACTTAAGCTATTATATATTATTGGACTTTAACTATAAATATAGTGTATAAAAATGTATTGTAACTTTACATATAAAAGCTATTAAAATATATGTAAGATATGTGAAACAATAATAGAAAAGAGAAAGCCATTGATGTGAAAATCAATTTTAATTTTCCTCAAAAAAGACTAATATTTTATTAGAAAAATCATAATAATATTCAAAATAAATGTCATATTAATGTTTTAAAAACAATTTCTACATTTAAATGAATATTATATATATATATATAATTCAAAATTTTTTAATAAGTAAAATATTTGACTACTACTTCTTATTTCACTTTTTTATAAATACAATAATGTTTTCATTTTATATCGCATATTGTAGTTTACAATAGTTTAATGTATGTATAAAAATCCCTGAGCTTAAGTAGTGACACTTATACAGTACAATATGATACACTTATAATAGCTTATAAAAGTGATAGGTATTGGAAAAATACTATAAAGAAAAAGCAATATCGCTATAAAAGTGTATTTATTTTAGTTTTATAGAGAGAATCGGTCGTCAAGTTATGGGTACTAAACATCTCTCTCTCTCTCTTTCTCTCTGTCTCTCACTATGTCTGGTGTTTACAATAAGTGCCATCAAAGCTAAATAAATATATAATATGAAGATTTTGATGCCATAAATGTTAAGATCAAACAAAACTATAATAAGCTTTGTCTGTCTGACTGAATGTTTGTCTGTCCGTCACAATCGGTATTATAAGAGTGGTGTCGGCTATTTGATGAGTAGTCCTACTTTTATTGAAATTTAAATATTATATTCATACGACTGGTAATAGTTGGTGTCAAAAAATAATATATTTATTTTACTGATCATATGATAACCACGAATGTCGCTCTCTCTCTCTCTCTTTCTATTTTGTCAAATAAAAAATATTAAGTCTATATTTCTGTGTCTTTCTGTCACCAAAAACATTATTTGATAACAAAATAAAAAATAACTTTAATTTTGTTAAGAAAAATCAATTCCCATTTCCCTTTAAAAACTAACTATAAAAATTATATGTACTTATATATAACAAAAATATATATCATTAAATTTGTCTCTCTCTCTCTCTCTCTCTCTCTCTCTCTCTCTTATAGTCAAGTTTCATACAGCAAACACACACATACAGTACAGTGGAAATACAATACAATCTTTAAAAAAAAATTTACGAGTGTTTAATCATACAAATTGTAGTTTATTTTGCTCACAGCTATAGACATATAATCTTTAAGGAAATAAAAACTCACTCCAAAAAACATATCTTAAATCATAATCCTTTTAAATAGCAAACAAACAGACAAACAAACAAAAACTAAATAATACTATATTTTTTGGAAGATATTTAAACTTTTCTCTGATGGTTACACTTATATGTGTATACAGTACAAGGCATACAATACAATCAATTTATACATTCATACAACAAACACAAGTGTGTTGAATATTATTCAAGTTTTATTTTTTCGTGTTATTACATGAAAAAAAACTCAGATATCCTTCGATGTTATGATTATATTGAAAGAAAACTGATGTGTTTCGCTGTTTTTTTAATAGATTTTGTTGAGAAATATTAAAAAATTTTCTTTCTCTGATATGTATCACTCAATGGTAAAACTAAAAATAGTAATATAAATATATATTTTTTCTCTCGACTAATTCTCACTCAAACTTCTATATATGTTTTTTTATGAAAAAATCTTTGTTATAATCGCTGAAAGACAGACATTATGGCAGCTCTTCTGGTTTTTTTTGCTTCTTCTGATTGTGTGTTAGATCTCCTATCAGTGACTTAATCATATCCACATCTCTCTCTCTCTCTCTCTCTCTCTCTCTCTCTCTCTCTCTCTCTCTCTCTCTCTCTCTCTCTCTCTCTCTCTCTCTCTCTCTCTCTCTCTCTCTCTGTTGATAATGTTGTCGACCAAAACAAGCCAATACACGAGTAATTATGTCTCAAAAGTAAAACACTTGTCTTTTAGTATCACATTTTCTTGTTGTTGGTGTGTTTCAAGCATTTAGTTGTTATTTAGTAAAATAGGGAAAAACAGTTAAGTGTGTGTATGTATGTGTGTGTGTGTGTGTGTGTGTGAAACAATGCATTTGTCTGTTAACAAATAAACCTTCAATTGCTTAAAAACAAAAAATCAATAACCAACAGAAATATCTAGTAGTTTATATGTGAAATCAATTTAAAGTCTATATTATTTGTTTTTAAATTTATATATCTATTTTTTGTTTATCATTTAAATTATATATACATGTGTAATACTGTATTGTACTGTACAATGAAATAAAATGAACATTTTATATCTACTAAATTAATTCATATAATTTTATTATCAATTGAAAAGCTAAACTGATTCAGCATTTATTTATTTTTTGGTTAAAAACAAAATTTTTCGCAAACTTTGATAAATTAAATATTTTTACACACAAATACATGTATGCAAAATAGGTATACCATATTTTTGCTTATTTTAAAAATTTTATTATTGATTTATTATTTTAGTTTTTTATCAATTTGTTTTTATATTTTTAGTGTTTACTTTGCTATTATAATATAATAAATATTTAAAAAAATAAAATGTATTTATTTAATAACAAAAAAAGAAGAAGAATGAAATGAGTGATAAATAGAGGAAAAGATAGATATATTGATAAATAATAATAAATCTAAAAATGAGATATACTTTAGTAAAAATTGACATTAATTAGAGTTGAAATCTTATTTTCCGCTAATATACAACTCGCAGTTAACAATCAATCAAATAAAGAAAAAGTCAATCTTTCGGATCAAATTTTTGTTGTCATATATAATGACAAATAATGTAACAAATATCATATTTTTGTGTGCATATCATATATACAGTACTTATATATATATATATAAGTTATAACATATTCTGTGATATAAATCTTTATATAATTATTATTTATCAAAAAATAGCTATAATTAGTTATTTATGTCTTGAAGGCAATTACTGACTTAATATTATTTTGAAAACAAAAATTATTGATTGATAACTAATTAATGGCAAAAATTTCAACTCCAATGTCTCGTATTAGAAATATTTGCAAAAAGAAAACATTTTTTTGTTATTTATAAGTTATTATAGATTTCTTATAATGAAATTGTATTTAAAAGTTTTTAAAAACTTTTGCAGCAACATTTAACACACGCATACATAAAGTATATATTTACAATATAATGCATATGAATAAAGTATTTATAAATTAAACACATAGTTGTAAACATTAAATAACACATTTCTGATTATTATTGACGGCTAAAGAAAAATAAATAAAAAAAGAGTCAAAACTTAATTCATAAGTACTATAAATCTCTATAGAAAGTGTGTGTACTGTATATGTATGTGTAAGACATACTGTATGTTATATTAGATTTTAATTTCATCTAACATGACATTTATATATTTATGTGATATTATGTATACAAAAAAAGTTAAATATTATAATAATACGTATATATGCATGTATGTATGCAATTCATGCCATTATAATTAGCGATAAATCTTTTTAAAAATATAGTAGATTAACATAATTAGTACATAATTCACAATTAAATGTGTTACAAACGATAAGGTATTTGCATATATTTAACTTTATATATATATATATATATATATACTGTAAACTTGCAATATTCGGTATATTATACATGTATTTATTAATAGAAAATATAATAATAAAAATTTTAGTTTGCAATAACAGTTGAATTACTAAAGTAAATGCTAAAAATAAAATTTTCTAAATGTATTGAAATTTTTTTCAATATATTTGTATTATTATTTATATAAACCTTATATCATACTCTCTCTATGTGACTATTAGGATGAAAGTAAACGCATGAATTGCTAAACAAAATGATAATTTGTTGATAAGAAACTTTATGTATATATATATTGATAAATTCACATAACTTTTATATAAATTATATACATTAAAGTGTATATATGTATAACTACTAAAATTCACGCATACTTTCCGATTCTATTATATAGACTATAATAATAAAAATAAATTATTACAAAATATTATATCTATATGAATAACTAAATTAAAAATCTGGACACAACATTTTTTTGTTCACATATAAAAATGTCTTTCATTTGCACCTAACTTATAATATAATAAATTTTAATAATAATAATCAAAATAAATATTATTATAAAGTTATGATAACAAAATTTATTTCTGCTTTATTATTATCCATGAGTTATTGAAATTTGTCAAAAAAATGCTATAACATAAAGTATTTATTTTATATATTATATGTGCACACAATTAAAATGACAAAAAAACTAAATATTTGCTGATAATATAGAATTCATTAAAACATATAATAATATATAACCAGAATATTCTACATAAAGATGTTATGCGAAGACAAAACAAAACAACAAAAAGAAAACCGATTTCTTTAGCCGTCAATCGATGTGAACAATAGGTTTCGAGGAAACAATAGGAAGAAAATAGTTATTACAGGTTTTATATGATGACATAGAAAACGGTATTGTTTAGGCACAGACACGCAATGATAGTGGGGGTGCGGGTAGTTTAAATGATAAGGGGAAATGGGTTATATGCACACAATATTTTACATATAAAAAATATATATATATATATAGATATTTATATAAAGCATAGAAAAGTTTTACTTACGTTCATAAATACATTTAGTTTGTTTTGGGAGGAGAGTGAGTGATAAAAACATATTAGTATTGATTCCGTAGATATTAATATAATATATATATATATATAAAGTTATGTTATGTTTTGTTAAAATAGAAAAGAGATGATAGAAAAAGAGTGAAATAAAAGGTGAATAAAACACATTAACTATATTATGAAAAATGTTTAAATAATCCATATTTATATATTTCGAAATATGTGGACTTTTATMTTAGATATATATATAAGCGGTACATAACTGTAATAATGTTTAGTATTTAATATACTATGTGTGCGGTGTATCCATTTGGGAATCAAACCATTAGTTTTTTAAAAGATAAGTACACATATATAACACATAATAGATATTACTCTAGAAATATTCATATAAATTATTTTTTATATGAAATAAAAAACATTTATATTACACAAATTTTAAATGATACAACATATATTACATATGTAAATAAATATTAACATTTAATGTAGTGTTTTTTAAGTACACAATTTGTTTGCATTTTTTGATAATTGAATTGCTGGTATATTTTTTTGCCTCAGATTTTTATTTTATTTTGTGGTTCACATATTATAATCTATGGCTGATGTAGTTTTTTAAAGGGGGTGTTCACTGATGAGATGCTGAGAGTAGTAGTAGTAGTAGTCATTATTAATTGAATTTTTAAAAACAAACAGATAAATAAATATATTTAAAAATACTAAACAATTGGCTAAAAAAGATGATAACAATGTTAGCTCAAAAAAGAGTTTCAATATATACCCTTTTACCCCTGCGCCCCCTTTCACCCTTGTCCCCCTTTTCACCATGTTCACCGGGAGGACCGGCAATACCGACGTCACCCTAGATATTGGAGACATAAAATTGGGGGAGAGATGTGGAAAGACATATAGAAAACAATTGTGACATAAATCAACACATAATAGATATTTATATGTATTTTAACATTTAGTTGAAAGAAAATGGGCTAATAATTGAAAGGGAAAGTTGTGTTTGTTGGTGTGTGTGAATGCGATTGGGGAGAGGGAACAGTAGGGGTGAACAAATAACGGATGTCTTATTTGTCACTCTCTATTCAAATGAAAACGACCAACAAATGAAAGATTAATTAATTATTTTTGGATGTCATTCAAACAAAACATATATTTATATATTGTATTCATTATATTATTATATATGCATTTTCAGTGAAACAAATAAAATAAACGATGTGTTTGTTTAATTGGATGGAAGGGGACGGAAAAATCAACAACATATACATTATATACATATATTTTTCAGGGATTGACATATTATTTTAGGAATTCACTGGGATGGGAGGTGTCCCTCCCAATAACAAAATTATTTTTATCAATTTTTGTAGTTAAAAATTCAAACACTAATCAACAATGCTATGTAATAACCCCTGCACTACACCCACACACACGTGTCAATCCATGATATAATGATAATTAAAGTCAATTGACATTAATGTTTTCTTATGGTATATAATACTGTATATACTGTATATGTGCTAACAAATCACAAACGTAACAAAAGTTAACAGAAAAAATTAAAATTAATTTAACAAATTGTGTACTTGTTTTCAGTCAAAAAAATGCAAACTTAAACACAAAATGTTTTTTCAAACAGATATTTTTAAAAATAACACATAAAAACATTACATTTAAAAATAACATTATTAATAATAAATCAATTATGAAAATGTATATATATTTCATGAACTACTGAATTGATTGTAGTTTGAAGTTTGTGTTAATATCACATAATAATTATTATTAATTTAAATAATTTAATCCTTTAGTTAGTATATAATTTATATGATATTAAAACAATGATGTATCAAACCTTTCGGCCGGGAGGGCCAGCAGGTCCTGGAGGTCCGGGTGGTCCTGTTTTAAAAATAATTTTTTATTATTTAAAACATTTAATTTAAAAATTTATGTATAGTTTAGCATTAATATAATAAATATACAATAAAATGAAAACTTTATATTTTTTTTGTGTGCAAACGCCCAAAATATTTTACTATTAACTACTTTATGTATTCATTTAATACAAATTATATATTCAATCTATAATATATATTACATATAAATATATTTATGTACATTAATTTTCTAGATTAATTTGATTTTGTTATATCAAAAAAATATTTACTAATATTATATAAATATAGTTTTGTTAATTAACTTGTTGTGCAATAAATAAGTCAAATGCATAAAAAATTAACTAATTTTATCATTACATAAATCCTAATTATGTTTTATGCCATTTTAATTGATAATAATTTATATGTACGGTAATAGTGCCAGACTACCAGTGCTCAGTTGTCTTCACTTATATTTACCGTATATATATATATATATATAATTGTAATATTTTTAACAGGCAATCAAATGTGATTTCAGAAATTGATTTTTTCAATTTTATTTTGAGTTTTATTTTATTATATATATATGTATGAAAGATATTTTGTGCCAAAAAACATGAAATACCAAAAATCGTTAGCTTTTTTATGGCTCAACCATACGAAAGAGAGACATGACTTTCATAAACAAATATTAATTATATTTATACTAAAAAATTTTTTAAAAAGTAAAAACTATTTTTATTATCATTGCCTTTTATTTAGCTTTTTATATCCAATATATTGATATTGAAAGCGTATTTACCAACACTAGTGAAATAGTAGCTAATTTTGTTGGTCAGCCATTTAATGAACATAAAAGTGAAAGAGAGACGACTACCAGTACATCCATAGCAGTGGTGGTAAATCCAGAGGACTAATAGATTCAATTTATTTTAGTGTATTAAGTGTAGTGTCGCTAAACCTGTCTGTCAGTTGAATGGCTTTGAGTCTCAATTTGTATGTCACGTACTCTAAGACTTCAATCACTTTTTACTTTTTTACTGTCTCTCCCTTTATATTTCTCATTCAATCTCTCTCTCTCTCTCTCTCTCTCTCTCTCTCTCTCTCTCTCTCTCTTCTGTAATATCATTCAAAAATCTCTTTTTGACTTTTATTTCTCTCGTTTTTCTTCTTCTATTTCAACTAACGATTCAATCAATGATTTTCTTTACTAGTTTTCTCATCGTTTCAATGAAATCAAACATTAAGAGAGAAAGAGAGAGAGATCGTTGAATACTTTGGGAAAAATAAATTACTTCTTTGATTATCAAAAACGCTTTCAATTTTCAACAATAAAATTGAAAATTTAATGGCATTTGACTTATTTATATTCAAAAACATTCGTACAATACGATCGCTTCAATTGATGTATTAAACAATATATATATTGAGTATATTATTATTATTATTATTATTATTATTATATATTCAGTATATTATAAATACATAGTATGAGAACACACATGAATAGGAAGGAAAGGCATATCGATGAAGAAAGTCATACCTGCGGGGCCTTCAATGAAACCGGTAGGAAATGCATTTCCATCCAGTGTTGTGGTCAGTCCTCTATCACCCTTTTCGCCCTTATCTCCCTATAAAAATAATCAATATATGAGTAAATAATCAATATATTAGTCAATTATATGTCTAAATCAAAAGTCAAGTCTTTCAAAAAATGACAAAACAATTTATTTTTGTTTTTGTGAGACAAGACTTGACTTTTCTTAGTATTGTTTGAATTTAAATTTTTATGAGATATGGACAGTATGTTAGATAAGTTAGTGTTTAGTGTCAGTGCGTTTTTAGTGTTAGTGTTTGTCTAAAATGTTAGTTTTTTCTTATAACACAAAGTGATGTTAAATAGATAGACACAGTATTATTATTATATATATCTATAAAATGTTAGGTTTTTACCCAATATTAAGGTTAGAAAATGATAGCCGAGTATTGTATGTCTTATATAAACTTTATATACAGTATAATAAAAGTCAAGTCAATTGAGCGACAGTTTGATAATACAAAACAAATCACTGGCTTTAATAGTGAAGTAGTTTTAAACAGCGAATAAATTTGAATAAATGAATGTTTGAAATGTTGTGTTATTTCTCTCTCTCTCTCTCTCTCTCTCTCTCTCTCTCTCTCTCTCTCTCTCTCTCTCTCTCTCTCTGAAATACAGATAAAAACTTCTCTCACAAAAAAGTTTTGTTATACACTTATATACACTATTATATAATAGTATAATATTATATATATGTGTGTATTTGAAAAACTGCAATAGTTTTACTACATTTTTAAAAATGTTTTGTAAAAGACATTATATATTATATATTCTATTATATCATATAATGATAATAGTATTATTAGTTACACATAAAATTTCTTGTGTTTTTTAAACACAAATACACACATAAAACAAAAGCCAGTTTTATATTATCTATTAATATATATGATATTTACAGTATATAGATATATATATATTATAAATATGGTTGAGAATATACATTTAATTTGCAATTTTGTTGGTTTGTATATAATATAGTAAATGATATGAACTGATCATCTTATGGCTTGTTTCCCACTCCCCGACACAACAATTTTCAATTTGCACAACCACTTTATCGTTGTATATAATGTATATATATTTGTACTGTAATATATATATATATATATATATATATATATATAGAGTATAGATGTGAAAGAGAGAATCACTGATGTTAAGAGCCAAACCATTAGGGGGTTTGTGGTGTCTTTTTTGTGTGGGGGCCAATCACTGTCAATGGGGGGCAATCAGGGCATTAAGATTTACGATCGTTGCGCTCTTTTTTGTGTGCAAACCATCTATATATCAATAAATATATATATTTCTGTATATATAATTTATTAGATATATGTTAAATGTGTTGGTGCTCTACGTGAAGGCATTCCATAGCCATATAGACTTAATGCACAGACACTAGTGGTATGCCAGTGCCAGTGCCAGTATCAAACATGCAATGATATTATTAATACATTTAATTCACTTAAACTGATAGGAAAAATGGTTTCTCTATAACTCTTAGCCTAATATTATATATATATATAGGAATATCTCATATAATATGTGTAATTAATTTACTTAGATTTACATTTATGTTTTTAAAATTAAATGCAAATCCGGAACCTATTTTTCATTCAATCAATATTTTGTTTTTAAATTCATATTTAAGTACATAATCTATTTTTTATTTTTTTAAACAATTATAGATTATCAAATTATATGAGTAATGTATAGCAATTGAACAATCATACAATTTGCTCGGGGATAATATGGTTTGACCGATTGACCCCTCCCGCCCTCTTAAAATTTTTTTTATGTATCTTTATTTTTTATACCTAGCAAAACCAGCCTTGATAATTTATTATAAACTGTTAAAAAGTGTATATACAGTACAATGTAAATATAATAGAAAATATTTCTGTATTACTATTCATATATGCTAGATAAGATTATGTCTAGGTCATTTATTTTCAAACAAAACAAGTTATTTTCCATTGCTATCAATAAAAATAAATGTTTGAATTATTGTGTGTAAGATATTTACTGCAAAAAAATTTTAAATATTAATTTTATGGCAATTATTATTTTTAATTATCAATGCAAAAAATACTAAAAGTTTAAATTGATTGAAAAACAATGGTTAACAAGCTTTCGATTCTAAGTATTACGATATTATTATTAKTAGTAGTAGTATTATCATCATTTAAAACAATTGCCAATCAGTTAAATAACTTGATAGAGATAACAGACATTTGTTAAGATCCAGTGTTAGTTATGGTTAGTAATCAAATGATAGAGAGAGTGAGACAATTGGGAAAAATTAATCCGTTTAGTTGTTATTTTTTGTTTTTGAAAAAACCAAATAATAATAACAACAACAAAACAGTAGTAGTAATAATAATGAGGATAATAAATATAAAAATAAAAGCTGATGTCTCACTGGATCTCCTTTTAGTCCGTTATGTCCGGGCAGTCCCATAGCGCCCATTTCGCCCTAAAGTACAACAAAATATATAACACAAACTCTGTTTTTTCTTCACATGATTTGAGGACAACAACAAAATAGTCTCTCGGCTTTAGATTTATATTTTTGTAACATTTTGTATTTGATTTTATTATTATTTAATAATATATTTGTTTGTTTTTTGTGGTAATGTTTTCCTTATAACATTAAAAACTAATAAAATTTTGTTGATTTAAAGAAAATATTTTTTAAATTTTAAAATATCTGGTGTTTTTTGTTTCCAGTAACAAACCTTTGGTCCAGTCAAGCCATCCTTACCCATCGGACCAATAGGACCCTCTGGTCCAATCGGACCGGGAAGTCCGGGAGGTCCCTATGCGAGACATTAATTTGTTTAATTAAATAAATACATAAATTATGTAATAATATTGATTTAATTAATTAATTAATTGATTTTCCACTAACCGATTCACCTGGTAGTCCAACCCGACCATCGAATCCAGGCAGTCCAGTGGGTCCAGAGGATCCCGGAGGACCRGGTGGTCCTGGTTGACCTGGCTCTCCCTTTTATGGATGCATTGTACAACAATAGTTAGTTTATTTGAAAAATGCATCACAAAAAACAAATAAATTCAGTGTTGTGTAATAAATTGGGGGCAAATGTTAATAAACAACAACATGTAATGTAATGCATTCATTAAAAGTGGAAATAGATAGAGAAGCGGTTAAAGAGTATAACATTAATTAAAATTCAATGAGAAGTGGGGAAAGGTAGCAGAAAAACAAAAATGTGAGACACATTGAAAGCTAAAGCTCTCAGTATGTGCGATGAAGAGCTATAATTAAACATTAATACAAAAGTCGTGTATAAGTTATACAGTATAACATAAACTTAAACTACAACTACTACTACACAATAATAACAAGCAATTGATATATTGATGAACACATAAAAATTAGCGGAGAAATATATATATATATATATATATATATATTAATGAGTTTTCATAGACATTGGGATAGTAGGTATACAGAGAATACATAGTAATGATAGAAAAATTGAAAGTGATAAATAGTTAGTTAAATAACATATATCATAGATGAATAGGTTAGAGGATACAGAAGGTAGTATTAGATGGTTAGACTCACTTTGAGCAGTAATAAGTCACCGGGAGCTAGTGTGATGCCAAGTGAGGCTAGACCCTGGGTCATTACATATAGATAGACATAGAAATATAGAGATATATAGTATACACAGTGATAGACAAGTGGCCGAAATAAAARTAGTAAAACAATTATTAGTGATTTTTTCCTTATTTATTGGATAAAAAACACTATAAAACACAGTATATTAATATTATTATTACGATATTATTATATAACATTTAAGATACTGATAAAAAACATAGAAACGAGATTATATATAATTTTATTTATAATATCCAGTGCAGTATGGTGCTAATTTATGGTATATATATATATTATATTTATTATTAGATTTTTGTTGGCAACACATCTAATCGCTAGTTTTTTTGAGTTACAAACACAAGTTAAGCTGAGCTTTTGTTTTAGTTTTTATATTATTATTTTGATGTGTTATATAAAAGTTTTGTTGTTTTTTTAAGCAAATAGCACATAATATATCGAGATTATATGGATTAAGAGATACTATTTATATATAGTATTTATATATTATATACAGTATATCCCGTTTGACATACATGGATATTGTGTGAATAATACATTATTAATAGACATGTTTTGTGTGACATTTTTGTATCTGTGATTTAGTCTAATTGATTGTTAATATGTGTAAAGATTTAGTAAAACAACTGTTTTGTTATTTTATAGCTATTTGTGGTTTCAATTTTGAATAATTACATCATTTAAATTTATAATATATTTAAATTTTTTTTGAATAGTATTTTCATCTATACTATGGATTTAATATTATTTTGTTTATACTAATGGTTATTAAATTATTCTTTTAAATCAATAATATTATAAAATATGTGCATAAATATTAATAAATAAATGTTTTATTAGCGGATAAAATTGAATATTAAAGATTTAGCTGAAAATTAATTTTCAAACAAACATGAAAATGCTATTCAATGTTAATATCATATAATAAAATTTAATAATAATAATAAAACTGATTATATGACCTGCGATGCAATGAAATGGCCATTGTTTCTGGACTATGGATTCAATGTCCTTTAAATTTTATATATTGAATATATGGTAAATAATTTGTACTAAATATATAAATATAAGCTTTTATAATAGTGCACAATATATAATTTATAGTGTATATATAGTATAATCTTTATATATATATATATATATATATATAGTATATATGGTGTATATATATATAGCTTTTTATTGTAGTTGTTGTCGTCGATTCAATGAATTCATTGATTGCTCGCTGGAGTTAATTCGTGTCTAAATAACTGACAGTTAATTCCCAGTGTATTGAAGAGTGAATTTTATTGTTGAGATCTAATTGTATTTCTTCCTCTCTCTCTCTCTCTCTCTCTCTCTCTCTCTCTCTCTCTCTCTCTGATGTAATTTCTGGCATTTTCTGTCTCTCCTCCCATTACTATCTATCCTCTCTCTCTCACTCACTCTATCTCTATGCTTCCCCTTATTTTTGGTCTTTATTTTTGTATAACTTATCGGACGAGTAGTTGAAACATGAATTCTTATATATAATATATAGATATATTGAGTGAGAGATAAGCTGCACACAAAACTAACGACTATTTAATTCAATTTTAGTCACTATTTTTATTTAACAATAACCATATGGACGGACTCCTAGTTTTATGTATCGTATGTGTGTTTGTTATAACAGATAGACAGTCGAAGTAAAAGAGAGAGAGAAAGAGATAACTAATAGAGAGAATTAGTTTCAATTTGATTTGAATTTCTAAATCAATTGATTTTGATTTGTTGTTGTATTGAATAAAATAACAAAAATGTGTTTCAATTTACAAATCATTGACGACTGCAAACTGAATTACAACACAACACATACTACAGTATATATACAACACAACAGTATTGCATTATATTATATACATTGAATACATTGAAAGATAAAGTAAATCCCTTATATTATTGACTGAAAGAGACTTTTGTTTTGTGAAAAAAATAAATTTTAGGAATAGATTTAATGAAACATTGTATGTATGTATGTATGTATGTGTGTATTGAATAAGAAAAGAGATCTTTGGCTACTAATACCAAATAAACGACATTAAATCGGGGAACGGCATAAAACATTGATTTTAGTATAGGTATTGACTAAAAAATAAATAGATTTAACAACAACAAAAGTTAGGTTAGAAATGTTAGGTAAATATATACCCGTATGCTTAGCATACCTTCCATTACCACTAACTTGGCGTTTCCCGATATTAGCATACATAACATTAAAACATTGATTAAAAATAAAACGCATACATAAAATATATTTATATAATATATATATATGACATAATCTGTACATACAAAAAATAATTAGCAACAAAAAAATTATACTATATTTTAAAAAACTATAAATATATGTTAAAAACTATTATACTGTATATATAAACATTAAAAAATAATTCACTGTTTAAACAAAAGAGATGAGTTTTTTAAAAATTAATTTTCAGCGTTAAGTTAAATAATAAATGATGAGAGTTAGCAATGAGTAAAGTAAAGACAATTAAAATAATAGACTCAATGAAAAGTTGATGAAAAATTAAACAAAACAGTTAGCAATAGTTACAGTACAAGCAATAAAAATGTTAGACTAAGTAGAAATACAGGGAAAGGGAGATAAAACTCCGGGCCGTAAATTGAAAAGACACGACTAATTGAAAATGTTTTGGCCTTTTAGTTGTGTCTAGTGTTCAATAATACATAGAAATAGTTGAATGTATTTTTATATACTACAGTAGATGTGAAACACCAATATTTGATGAGACATTTTAGATGTAAACATTGAATACATTTATAGTTTATATATATTTATATAAATATAAAAGTTTCATTTTGTAAGGAAATGGATGCTAAAAGTTTGGACACACTTAGAGCTTATAGCTTTAGCTTATTTGATAGACATTGAAGGGAATAGTATGTATTTAGTATGTTTAATAGTAGTCTTTTTTTTTATTTATTATTATATAACATTTAACACAGAGAGGGCTTCAATTATGATGTGATGTCGTGTTTTTCATATATATATATAGACTAACCTTAATTGCTATCACTTCTGCATAGCCTAATGTTCCGCCACGGAGTCTGGTGACCGACCTTTTGACTCCCTGTGTCCGCAATTGGTATATATTTATGACGTATAAAAAGATTATATATTTATTATATATATATATTTAAATATGACTTTTAGCGTTTAATGACATTTTCATGTGAAAATAATTTTTTAAGAGTCAAAAAATCAATAATTATTATTACTATTAGAATTAGTTTAAGTGTTATTTAAAATACATTATTTATACCTTATATTATCTGTATATTACTATTAGTTAAGTGTAAATATTTTTTTTATTGATAATTATTATTTAATTTATTATTATTATTATTATTATTATTATCTCATATTATTTTGTTTTTCATTTTTGTTAAAGCGTTTCTGAGCAATTATAAAATTAATTAAATTTTCCAAATATTATATATATGAAGACATGGATAAAGAAATTTTTTTTGGTTATTAGCAATAAATGATAAATATGTAGGTTCATTAATAAATTATTAATCATTATTAATATTATTATTAAAATATTTTTGTTAAATACCACCAAATAAATGGGAATTTTTTTAAACGTTAAATACCTTAGTTGTGGTGAATAAGTCGAAACCGCTTTCGCCCTAAAAGTAAGTAAAAAAAGTGAAAGTCAATTATAATGAGAAAAAAAACCAATCAATTATGATAAAAATATATTTAAATTTAGGCAAAACTTATGATATATAATATAAACTACATTATATAAGTTATACAGTATTAATAATAATAATATAAAGTCTATTAATTAATAATATTACTGAGTGTGTGTGTGTTGTAAAAATGTCTTTTTTGTTGAATATTTATTAGTAAAAGTAAGTAACAAAAAAAGTTGAAACAACACACACAACACAACAACGAAAAAAATTTATAGTTAAGTGAAAGTGAATTTCATGTGTTGTTCAATGATTAATGAATGACTGGTTTTTCGTGGGGTTTTATGGGGAGGGGAGGAGTGGTTATCTAAACTCTCAACTGTTTTTAAGCAATATCTGAGAAAATTGAGTTTTATTTGTCTCATGTATTCATTCAGCTGTCAGTCAATAAAGTGTCGAGAATTTAACGCTTAACCAACTTTTTGAGAGTCAATATATTAATAGTAGTAGTGATAGACATGTGTTTAAGTAAAAACTATATATATATATATATATATATAACAGAATATATCTGATTACATATATATACAGAATTTAGTTCCGATTCTTGTGTTTTATATTTAAATAATTTATTGAAAATATCTATTTTTGTAATGATTTTTTTTGTTTATTATAATTTTATCTAAAGAAAATTATTAATAATTTCTTCTATATTTCATAACCCTTTGATATTTATTTTTGTTAATTTCCAAAATAAATGATTAGACATGAATATAATTATTATTAATAATTTTTAAAAAAATATTAAATGCTTTTTTAGTTGTTATAGTTGCTGACAGAAAAATATATATTTATAATATTGTTTATATTTTGTCTCTCTCTAGCTGTTAGATTAAAGAGTCAATGAATCGCTTTATTATTATATTATTTATGTATTTTGTATACTAAATATACCGGTATATTAATAATATTAATATATTTTTTGCATGACTAAACTATTAATAATGTAATAAAAAAATAATGAATTACAAATGGCGTCATTTATTTTTTTTATTTATTCTTTAGGTATCAAAATAACTTTGCAAATAAAAATAAATATAATTTTTTTAAAAAGGCAAACAAAAGCAAATTATTATAATTTTAGCTTATAATACAAATTATTAATTTGATTAATAACGATAACCTGATTCCCTATAATATAAATTATATATGATATCCTAGTTATGAAATTAATTAATCAGTAAATTTAATCGAAAAATTTTATTAATAATAAAAAACCAATAATAAAATGTGAAACCATTTTGTTTCAATTTATTTGCCAATAATTTTTATTTTATTGTTGTTTTTGTAGTCGTTGTTGATATATGTCTTATAAATTATAATTGAAATATTTTGTAATTTAAAATTTATCATCTAATGTAATGTATGTTTGATACTAACGATAAATTTTTACTTAATGCAATTAAATAAATTTAAAAATGTTATATAAGATATATAGAGAGTATATAAATATTATTGCTGTTAAAATAATCAAATATATCAAAATGTGTACATTAATTAATAAAAATCTATTTATTAAAAATTATTTACTGTATATTACTGCATACTTAAATAACTATTTAAACACACGCAAAGTTAAATGTAAATAATTTTTAAAAACTTACTTAAATCATAAGTGTTTTTTCAGCAACAAAAAATAAAATCAACAATTTTACACAAAAAAAACACTAATTGCTTAAATCATATAAGGATTAACTCAATTGGGAATTTTGAATTTCAATTTGGTATATCATTTACATTATAATGTTACTTTTTTAAATAAAATTTTTATGATATATTACAAGACTAATTAAAATAAATAATAAAAAATAATAATATAACAATAATAACAAAATAATTAACATAACAAAAACAAAAGAAAAACAAATTGTATTATCTTATATGAGCTTATTTTATATTTTGATTAATTTAAATATATATACTATTTTATACATATATTTTGTTTGTTGAATAATGTATTTTTTTGAAAATAACATAAGAGTGCACTTACTTTATCCCCTTTATCTCCTTTGAGTCCCTGAAATAATTACATGGATATGCTTTAAAAAATTGCTTATTTTTTGTTGTTGTGATTTGTTTTTGTGTTACAATTTGTTATAATTTTTATTATTATTATTAGTTGTATACAACAGCTAATCATTCAGCAATCATTTATATTAGCATCAAAAGCATTAAATAATATATAATATACTAAAATAAAAACAATATAACCTCTATTTTTGTCCCCTAATATATCACTAGAAGATAATAATAATAAGAAAAATAATAAAACAATTTCTACAGTAATGTTACAAAAGTTTGAATTTTTCTTATTGTTTGTTAACTAAATTTAAATTTCAACTGTATATACAGTATATAATGTACATACAAAGTGTATGTAAACTACATTAAAAGAGGCAAATATATATAGTTTTATTTATATTAAAGAGATAGAGAGTAAAGTGCTGTTTATTTTTGAAAACATAATATAAAACTTAGAGAACATAAAAATTAAGGATTTTTTGTTAGTAAAACTTAACATTAAATAAATAAAAGGTTTTATTTTTCTAGCATTTGTAACTATAAATAAATGTTAGATAAAATTAAATTATTAGATAAAATTAAAATAATAGAGTGTATTAAATAAATTAAAAGCAAATATAAGTTAATTTTTATGAGTAATCATTACATTAGTATACACATTACTATCTTATATTATTAGTTAAATTAATAGTAATATTGTTAATTATAATAAAAAATAATAATAATATAATAACAGAATATTCTGGTTTATTTTCATCACTTACATGATCACCTTTGGGTCCATCAATACCGATAGCGCCCTATAAGTTGAGTAGTTGTTAGAGGAGAGGAAAGGGAGAGAGAGAAAAAAAGACAACAAAATTGATGAGTCAACTAATATATATTCAAAGGTTTAGGGCATTGGGAACCACTTATTGTAATGGATTTCTTTGTTCAAATAAAACTCTCACTTTTTTGTGCCAAATAACAAATCTCTTAAACAAAACTACACTAATAATAATAATGATAATAATGTTGTTTAAGAGTTTAGTGATTGACAATAAAAAAAACTTGTTATTTAGCAAATATTAAAGTTTTATTTTTTATTATTATTCAAACAATAAATTATTATTTGGTTATTATCTCATTATTATTGACAAAGCAGTGAATATTCATTATATTTCTACACATAATTAATAGGTTTTTTCGCTTATATTTATTATTAGTGACAAGTAATTAGGATTTCTTTACTTTTTTGTTGTTGTTTTTCGTTATAAAAATATTTACACTTAATTACAATTAAAAACACTCTGTATATATATATATATGTGTGTTAAATGTTGTGTTTTATTAGTAAGAGTATATCGAGATATCTAGAAAAGCCATTACATGATATTTATTTTATTTGGATAAATAAAATAAAAAATAAAGACTTACCGGAAAGCCTGGTTTTCCCGGTGGTCCCTAAAAAATTATAAACACATTGGCATTAAATATTATTTACATTAACTTAATTGTAATTGAGAGAAACAAAATAAYTTTAGTTATTTATTTATTTTTTGGTTTTAATTTGATAATTGCTTAAACAATATTACAATGACCCCTATGTAATGGGGTTTTTTGTTTTGTTTGGTGGGTTAAAACAAATGTATTTTTTTAGGTAAGTGCTAAATGTTTACAGCACTACTACTACAGTATCTTATAATATAGAATTTAATAAAGTTGTAAATAAAAATGTTCAAAATAAAAATTAAAGAAAAATATTGATTAATTTCTAGAAAGTTTCTAAAAGAAATTTCTGACTATGAAAACAACATGTTATTTACGATATTTGTTATCTTGTAATACACTATAATAATTAATTAAATATTTTAAAAGTTTTTTGTCCTTACATTTACTAAAGTTAATTAAATAATGAAAACATTTTTAATAATTTTTTTATATTAAATTTATATATTTATTCTATAGTATATAAAATAAAGTAAAATTTCAATAGAAATTTATTTCTAAAAAAAGGTTTTCTATAAATTTCTTTAGAGAAATTTATTAGAAACTTCTATAGAAACTCATCTCTAGTTGTAAAGTACTTTAAAAAATTATGGTAACACTATATTTTTCCTAATGATGTAAAAATAATGTGTTTTTGACAAAATTTAGTAAATGCAACTTTTCTTTCAACAAAAAAAATAATTAATGTTAATTGTTAGGTGTAGAAGTAAAAAATTAAGTTCATAAATTTTGTCTAACAAAAATTATAATACATTATAACAAAAATATTAACTAACAAAAAAAATATTGTTGTATTAACTATTTATACAACGAAAATTGTAAACACTATAAAAACTGGTACAATAAAAATATTTGTATGATATGTCCTTTAAAACTCAATTACAGCATATTTACTATAATACTGTATAATACAAATATTTTATTCAAATATTAAATAATTATATTATAATTTACTTTCTATTAATAATTATATATATAAATAATTTAATTATAGCTTTAATTCAAATTTGTATGTATGATTGAATTGATTTGTTGGTTAATTTACTATAACATTAATAATACATATACATACCAGTGGGCCGGGATTTCCCGGTTCGCCCGGAGGTCCCCTTTTTCCTCGTTTGCCTCGAGGACCTAATAGATGAAACAGTAGTGAAAGTAAATTTAAATAATAATAATTTAATAACTAATTAAATTAATTTATTTTCAATAAATGTTTAGTTAAACAAAATACAAAGTACTACAATGCTATGGCCGGGTATGTAGTCGGCTAACCCAAACATATATATATGACACTTACCGGGAGGACAACTGCATTCCGATGTCGTCTCTCGTTTCGTACGGTTCAGCGATACAGTCGACAAATATTTGTTTACACTCTGTATATATAATAAATAAATTGAGAGATAAAAACATACGACAAAATCAAATATGACATACATTTGATGTCAAATAATAATATAAGTCTATGACATCACTTGTTCATTGGATAAATCAATAAAAGTAAATAAATATAATCTCTTTATAATTTTTTTTGACAATTGTGTGGTATATGTGTGCTATTGTGTGTCCATAAGAGGGGTTATTATAATCACTTGACTCATCATTTCTCCGCCCACTCGATAACAACAAAAATTATGATTTATTTATATGGCATTTGAATATTTATAATAATAAAATAAAATGTTTTTTTATTTTGTCTCTCTCTCTCTCTCTCTCTCTCTCTCAGTCTTTCACAGATTTTTACAAACAGATCTCACAAACAAACAAAACAAAAATAACCGAAATATATAGTAATAATAATAACTACACTTTTGAGGCGTCGGATACGGTATGTGGTGGCTATAAACTAGCATTAAGTTTGGCATAGTTGTGTAGATTATGGGTTGGTATGGTATGGACATACTACTGATAAGCATTGCTGATATGGTCCCAGGTGTGTATGTATGCCTTAAACAACAAATTTGCATTGATTTGTTTTGTTAGGACTTAGTTAAAAAACAACAGTTCAAGTGGCGTATCCCACCACCACTAGAAATCATATACAGTATACCAGTATGGTTAGCACCCAATATATGCCAAACAAAAACGGTTTGATTTTTTTTTATATATATATATAATATATTTATTATATATATGTGTAATATATAAAGATGCCTAAAAACTACTGCTGCTGCACGTGGCACTGGTAATTAGGGCCTCCCTTACCATTATTAGGATTGTTACTGTATATTATATAACTTATTTATCTTATATATATATAAAGCAATATGTGTCTAATCTCATAATAATGCATATCATATCCCCTTTTTTATGCTTATAGATATTGTTATAGATTGTTATATACAAGTATATGACTAATGATAGTACAGTAGATATACTAATAATAATGACTTAATAATGGTTAACATAATAATAATGGATATTATTTCATATATGATATATGATTGCAATATAATACCTCCTCAATGATGACATTAATATCGAGTGGTCGTTGCGACTGTTGATGAACATTGGTATCCATATCGATGATGCCATCAATGGTAGCTGTGGTGGTAGTAGTAGTAGAGGTGGTGGTATCAGTCATGTCATCATAATTGGCATTAATGTCTTTAATTGACTGAATGGCCAATAAATCATAGTTTCGGATGAGTTTATTCAAAACAGTCTCATATCTGTCACAATTGGCCTCAAGTGTGGCCAGTCTTTGCTCTAAACACAGAGTCCTAATCAGACACGCGATGGACACTAAAAATGCTGAACAACACAACAGACGAGTCGGCGTCAACTGAGAGGAACAAAGTCGTGGCGACAATAAAGAAGAAGAAGAAGTTTGAGAAGAAGAAGTCGATGTTGAATATGTCAGACACTCGGCGTCAGAGTTGTTGTGGCCATTGGTTGGCCATAAAAGTCGTGCAAAAGCCGACGGCGGCCTCTTTGAACTCTTTTGCACCGAAGTTATCATTGTTTGGCAAACAAACAAAAAGTTTTGTTTTCAAAATAACTATTTGTTTTTATTATTTGTTTTTCAATACATTTATAATATAAATCTCAGGCATCACTCAGTTGTGTCTCTTTTAATGTGTGTGTGTCTGACCTCTCACTGTACGCATACATAACACAGCACTGACTGACACATAAAGACCTACCGTTCCCTTCAATTACATATCTAAAAGCATTCAAACTCCGCCCATAAACTTTCAACAGCCAATCAGTGGCAATAAATTTTTACATTCAATCTTAATCGCAGACCATTGACTGAGGCATACACTTAACCGATGATTATCTGGTCATCGGTACACATGAGTGACCTACGAGTGGATAATTAGCATTGTTTTTGTCAATAATATAATCAACAATTGTTTCAATTAGTATTTTCCGTATTAAACCTATGGATTAACCATATAATTAAACCTATACTTGAATTTAAATATTGTTATGAATTATTAGTATTAATAGTGATTATCTGGGTGAAATTATGTTTTTATTTATAACTGTCTATGAAACCAATGTTATGATAAACAATATAACAGATTGGATCAAATGTATCGCCGCTCATGGGTTCCGATGATTAGACCATTTATTTGCTGTAATCGCCTCCAATAGGGTCTTACATTAAGACTGCGCCCAAATTTTTGCGCACATTTTTTGGTTTTGTTTGTTTGTTTGAATTGCATTACAAATGTATTTATGTTTTAATATTATTGTTTAGTATAAACACAACACAACTGTTGATGATTATAATGATTGCTATAAATTTAATTACATGTCATATATTGTGTTTTAATTATTTAGTCTAACTTTCGGCTTATTATTTTGTGACCACTTGTTTTCTGAGTCCACTTTACCGACAAATTCCGAGGATACACAAACATCAATTGGTGATTACTTTTTTCTTTCGGGAATTATTGACCGACGATGATCAGAACCGGTAATAGTTTATCTATGGCTACACCAATTATGTCCACCAACGACGACACGACATTTAGCCGATTAATGGCCATACATGTGCCGCACTCGCAACAGTTGACGCACCGGTAGGTTAAAAAACGGTAAACTTCCCGACCCTATCCATCTGATTACACTTTCACTAGTATTTTTTCTTACCAACTCGTGTCCGCGTTTAGCAAAAGTGACTACAAGATTGAAGTGGAAACCGATCGGCGTGTGGCCCGCGAACAGGTGACAGTCCGGTTGGCCGATCCTAACGATCCATTTTTTCTGTATATGATAGCCATCGATGAACAACTATTCATTAAGTATTTAATTTTTGTGTTTGTTGGCCATCAACTGCATCTTGATGTCGATTATTAAGACAAAACTGATTCATTTATCGTTATTTGTTTTCGACTATTTTAGGATCAAATCGACTGAAAATCTATTAATAGACTTTGCGATGTTTCCAAAGACTTTGATCAACTTATTTGAGACCTGTTTTGATGAACAAAACAAAGATAATCCACGGTTTGTGTCCAATCATTAAATAATTTATTGATTTTTTTGTAGCACTTTGATAAACATTTTGATTGACTGATTTCCACTACCGGTAATCATAAATAACAGGTTTATGTTAACAATAAATCAAATGAACAAAGACTTTGTCATTTTGGACATAATCGAGAAGAATGTATTCAAGAATTTGGTTCATCTGTCACTGCGAATATCGGCAGCGAATCAAGAGTTTATAAAAACCAGTTTCACAAACAGTTATCGAAATCTGAAGCACGAGAATCAGCGTCTCGAAAGTAGTCTTCAGTCTATTGAACTCAAACTTAACGATTTGAATTTGTCAAAGACTAGAGATCTGGAACTAATAGACAGGGAGTACAAGAGTCAGATGACAGAGTTGGAGCTGAAATACAAGAAAGAGATTGAGATACAGAGAGATCAAATCAACGAATTGACAGAAAAGGATATCCACAATCGGGAACTGATGGATGAGTTGCGTAATGAGTTGGCCGCCAATATGGAGGCCATGCGTCGAGACCAACAGCGAGACGCTGAAAAAGATATGCAAATGATTGACGATATGAATCAAAAGGTGAGATCACTTGAACAACAAGTGTCACAATTGAGAGATGCTTTGGACACTGAACGACACGATACTCAACGATACAAACAAATGATGGATGAAAAACAAGAATTGTTTGACGAAATGAATGCTAACAACAACTCATTAACATTGGATCTGTCGAAAGCCAATGAAATAATCAGAAAATTGCAAACAGAGTTACAGACAACACACCAGAAGCTGCAACTCTTGAATAAAGTCTGTGTTTATAATGTGTATTATAATTAGTGGGATTTTTATGTGATATTTGTTTTTATAGGTGACATCAAAACAAGAGGAAGTTGTCGATCACCATCAGACTGCCGTCCAAAAGATAGAGTCAGAGCTGAAACAATGTTCGCAACAATTGAAGATCAAAGATAAAGAACATCAAACACTGCGTAAAGATTTTGAGGCACTGAAGAGTAAATGTATTGAAACCGAAAACCAATTGAATGCTAACGAAAATATTGTAACGTATTTGAACAAACAGTTGAGTGAATTACAATCCAAACATGGGATCAAAACAATAGACTTAGCAAAAGGCAATCAAACTAATCCTAAAATTATAGCTCAAAGAAATACTATATTTTCAAGTAAAACATCGAAAAGCGATAAACTTTTTCGACATTAATACAATTTTTTTAATATTTATTTTTTATTACTCTAATATTGATATTTTTATTCTCATAAGAGTATTAATTTATTTGATTTTATTTATACTTACCGTAATTAATTTTTTATAGCATGAAAAATGTATTGTACATATATAAAAAAAGTTTAAATTTATTAAATGACTAAATTTATAATTATTATAAAAATTGTGTAATAATTTAGATTTTGTACAATAGTGTAGTATTTTACTGTATACAGTAATACATTATATTGTAATTTACTGGTAATAAAAAATGAATATCAAATTATTACATTTACCGTATAAACATTGTTTGTTAAGTGATAATACTGGTAATAGTGGTTAACATTTATTAAATCTCTAAATACCTATTTTTAATACTCTATATATTTTAAATCATTTATTTTATTATTATTACTGTATATTAAATTATTTATATTTTTTATATAGTAAATGTCATTAAAAAAATTATTGCCCACAGTTTTGAGATTCAATGATTAAATAAATTTATATATTTATGCAATTGATTCAACAATATTAGAGCAATAAATTTATAGATTTTTTTTGTTAAATGATATACCGGTAATAATTATTTTTGTTTTTTTGTAACCAAATTAAAAATTATCTCATTATATCTTTATATGGTATTTATTATAAAAATGTTTTATATATTATTATCAATTAAATAAATTTAATTTTTATTTAGAATAGATTTAGTATTAAACAATATTATAGAATCAATGAATCAATGAATATCAAACAATGAATATTATAGAAAATATATAAAAATAATTGTAAATTTTGCATAAATTTATATGAATGAATATATACTGTATATTTAAATTACTGTACATTTAATTTATAACGAATGCCTCAATAACTAGTGATCATAGCTGTAGGCGCGACCCGTATTGGTCTTACTTTTGCGGATCTCTTTGTATATCAACAGAACCATAATTACGATGATAAGCACAGCCATTGTTATAATGACTACCAAAACAATGACTAACACCGATATCTCTTGTTTCTCTTGTTCAACACTTGCGACCCGATCTGAACATTCGGGTATCCATTGGTTGATGTCTTGAGGTCGACACGGCTGAAAATCACCGCTACGGTAGTGCTCGACCAACATTACCCGACAGTAAAAGCGACCGCCAAACAGATACCACTCACTTTCATTGGCAAAAGCAGCTGTAATATTGTGACCATTGAGTGAATAAAACGGTTTGGTTTCGTTAAGTATTTTCTCTAAACTATTCGCATCATTAGATTTGCTGACCATTGCCAGCCATTGTGTGCCTTGTGTTGGGTCACCACCACTGGGAAGTTTGGTTCGCAAATAGAAGTCTATGGAACTCTTTGTGATTATAAGATTGGTGTCATTAATGGTGTGTTTAAGTTTGACATCAGTTAGAATTTGATGATTAGGTCGATCGCGAACCAACAAGTGCTCAAACATATCATTGCAATAATCATATCTTTCAGTCGACACATATCTGTTMTGGTCATACATTATTTCATAGGATTCATTTTGTTTACAGTTGACCAGTTGGATGACATTCTTTATATTTTCAGTGTAGATCACCATATCTATTGGTGCTTTGATTTGTGGACTCCAAGCGCTCAGATCGGCCACTGTTTCGATGTGCGCGTGTTGTTGGCTAATGTTTTTGGTGATTCGCACCGATAGCTCTACGAAATAGTTATCGATAAACATATAGACGCTAAATGTGTTGTTCTTCAGGATCAACGTCTTTACCACGGAGTCTATGCGCAAGTTTTTGTCGTCGCATATCTTATACTTAATTCTGTCGTCTGTTGTGACCACTACTGGTCCGGGAGTGGCCACTGTTTGACTTAATGACGATACCAAACCCAACATTATTAATAAACACAATACAACTATTGCTGTTAAGTACAGCATTATTACATATACAGGTGTTTGAAGTGTCAATCAGTTGATAGTCAAAGATAATTATGTTTTTAATTGAATTTTTTTTATTCTCTAAAGAATTGCCTAAATTCTGTTACTTTTATTTAGAATAACAACAAATAAATTTAATTTTAAATTAATTAATTTCACATGAGTTTAAACTAATGAGAATTAACGATAGAAACAATTGATTTGAAATATTTTTTAATATCACGTAATTTAATTAAATTATAACAATTATTGTTTTATGAAAAGCACGCACTCGTTAAACGGTAAACTAAATTGAATTTTTTTTGACACATTTCTGTTAACTTTTTATTTGTGTTTTTTTATAATTTAAGGATTAGATAAATTTTATGTATTTGTTGTTCATTATTAAAATAAATATTGGTGTTTAATAATATCTGATTATCAATGTATTTAATTGTTATCCAATGTTAAAAATATTTTCTGACTATTTGATTATTATGTGTTCAACCATACTATAGATTCAAAAATTTAAATTAATCATTAGTCTCGAGATTTGTATTCATATTTATCGTCAATAGTATTATTTGAAAAATAATTATAATTAAATCAATTACTGTTATGTTGTTGTGTATTATATTAGAAATGTTTTGTCTGATAAATAAATGAAAAATATTTTTTAACTCAATTATTATTATTACTGAAAATGTGTGAAGAAATCTATATGAAGACGGTATAAATGTATTTACATAAATACATTTATTCCGTCTTTCAATATATTTTTTTAGTTACATAAAGTGGATTAGACTTACGGTAAATGTTGTGATAAATATCGGTGTATTCATAACATTCCTGTTGTTACCGACCGATCAATTTTGTATAATCTTATTCAGTAAATACTGTATAGCAATATAATATTGAATATAAAACTGATTCTCTGTGTAAAACATTTAACATTTAGTTTGTTGTAATTTATTATCTTAAACAATAAAATTAATTTTTAAACATTTGTTTTTGACATTTATTGGTCACTATTTTGAGAAACAATGATTTAAATGATTTATTTGTGAATAATAAATTTAGTCAATTAAAATTTTCAAGCAATTGTTTATTTGGTTATTTAGGTTAGATTAAGTTGGGATGAGTTAGAAATTGGTGGACGAGTGGGTGATTTGAATTATAAAAATACTAGTTAGTTCCACGTAATAAAATGTGTATCAATAGTTAACACGTTCAACAATACTCTCTCTCTCTCTCTCTCTCTCTCTCTCTCTCTCTCTCTCTCTCTCTCTCTCTCTCTCTCTCTCTCTCTCTCTCTCTCTCTCTCTCTCTCTCTCTCTCTCTCTCTCAATCTATCTCTTTACTAAACAATGCTTTCACTCGCTATATAATATACAGTGTATTATAAAAAGTATATTTTATTTATTAATTTTTTATTTAATAAATTAAAATTATTAATAATTGCGCGACATATTAAATTTAATTGTTTGCGTGACACAAACATTGAACAAATTATATAGTAGTATAGATATTTTATATCTAATATTACATAATATGAATTAGATGTAAAAAATATAACAGCAATTTTATTGTAGTCAATTGCGTGAAAATTTTAATTATTATACATATTTATGTAATTTTAAAAAATTCAAAAAATCATTACTTATTACTATTAGTATTACTATCGTAGTAATAAGTTATTAGATATTTTTTAAAAATTATATTTTACAGTTTTATTTACAAAACACTTAACCAGTGATGACCATAACAATGATCACCACTACTGAGAGCAGATCTTATAGTCAACAATCAATTAAACGACGATTACTATCAGTGATGACTATAATTATCATACAATTTGTTTCATTGAAGTAATCATTTTTTAAATAGAAATTTCTTCATCAATGCAAACATTTATATATTTTCTATTAAAATATTACTATATATTTGACTACTTTTGTTGACACACACAGTAATGCCGATGTTTTTGACAAAGATTTCAACAGAAGTGGATCAGATTTATTTGTCACTTGGATTGCTGTTATTATTATTATATCACTTATTACTACATGTATTATATGCTTTTGCATATTGATTATCGTCTGGATTATTGCTAACTCTGCTGAACGAGCTCTTCAGTCAACAAACTTGAGTTTAAAGCCTACATCAAAGGCAGGTGTGATCTATCGGACCAGTCAACCGACACCGATAGCATATCCTAGTTCGGGACAACAACAGCAACCTGTGTCGACATCAGTACCAGTATTTGTGGCGATACCTCAATCGAGTCAACAACAGCAACCTATGCCAACGCCAGCACCAGAAGCTGTGGTAATACCTCAATCGGGTCAACAAATTTAAAATTATCAATAAATACCAAATACTCAATACTTATGATCCATTATACTGTATAATGTATATTAATGGTTGAAAACATATGCGATTAAAAACTAATTAAATAGATATCAAATATATATATATATGTGTGTCATATAATTTTTATTGAATATCAATTTATTAGTAAATTAATTTTAATGTAAGATAATATGAAATTAATAAATGTCTTAAATTGAAACAAAGTAACATTTTTAACAAAAAAAAACTTGTAAACCAAATAACATTTTTTCAAATAAAAAATATACAAAAATTTAAGACTTAATGTAATTACTAAAATAAAAATAAATATAATAAATACTGACAATAATAATAAATAATAAAAACCATAAATAATTTTTTTAAATGAGAAAAGAAATCAATTTTTGACGTTTTGATGTCTATTAAGCCGTAGCTATCGGTTCCTCAATGGATGGCGACTTTTCTTTAGATATTTTCGGAGATGACTTATTATTTATAATAAAAAATAATAAATAAAAGCACCCATTAGTGCCAAAATAATGAGGATTAGTATCACTATTAGGATAATCACCCAAACACTCCATTTGCTGTCTTTATCTCCTTCTTTACTTTCACTGCCACTATTCTGAGGTTTATTTGGATCCGAGTTATGACCGGTAATAGTGTCCGAACCAGTAGTTGTCTGCTCAGTGATCGGATCAATCGGTCTACCCTTACAACCGAATATATCGTAAATAATATATCCCTCACTTCGTTTGTCTACCACTTTATATCCTTTGTTTTTGGTGACAAACATTCTGTTGACATGAAATCTGTCGCCAAAGAACTCAATCCAATCAAACTGATGACTATCGTTATCACTCAGATAATCAGTCAATGGCATCGATGCGTTGACAATACGGCCGTTTAGGTCAGTGCACGGATGTGTTGTACTGGTATTGTCGTGATTCCAATCGGACTCTTTGTACTCTTTATAATCGACGACACTCTCGACAAAGATATACCTTTTGGATCGATAACAGCCAACGCATTCATTTTGTTTACTCTTTTGAGGTGTTTCTGGTGATAATATAGACAAACAAACAAATAAAAATGCATTTATTATAATTAGTAACCATTTCAGCTCTCAATGAGTTAACTTTTAGTACTTATATAACAAACCCTTATAGTAGACAATCAATCGATTGGGCAGATCTGGTGAGTGGGGAAAACTTGTGATTGACAACAAATGGTCAAAGAGCTGTTCCGATGGAAACTTAGCCAAAATTGACTGTAAGTTTAACGGTTCCTCTTGTGGTTTGTATTTATAATAATTGATATTTATGGGCGCTTTAGACGTAATGGTATCGCCGTCATAGTTATACAGATATGAAACCATCTGTTTGTTTGGGATCTCATCTCTCTATCAAATAAGTTATACACAACTTTTAGGATAACTGTTTAACAATTAAACAAAAAGATCAATACATACCACTGACAAACCCATCCATAGTATTCGTTGCTGTCGTTTATTATCGATCGGATAGTCGATAGTGAAAAGCAATCGCATCTCTTGGAGTTCCCAAAACTTATTCTTGTCGTTGACTTTATCTATTGATTGAAATTTAAACGACGAATCGTTGCGATTGTATTCAAAGCCATGAACTCTATAATAATATTGTGAATCCTTTGGATAGATATTCAACTGTTTTTTTGAAATCAAATAAAAGGCTTCATTAATCTCAATATCTTTGTGCTGACAGATGTCTACAGTTTCTGCATTACTATTGGTGACAATCGTTTCATTATTGGTATCACTTGTGACTGAACTTAAAGACAATGTTATTAACATAAGAGGAACAAACAAAAGCAAACTATTCTTCATATTTGAAAACATTTTTTGTTGAATAACTTTATCATATGTTATAACAGTTGCGTTTGGATAACAGTATTGTTGTGATCGTGAGTTTAATTTAAATTATATTTAAAGTTTGTTATATGAATTCTCTGTATAATATAATTTTCGCGCACAAATTATTATCAGTTTATTATTTATAATAATTGCATATTAATGATAATAATGAATAAAATACTGTATAAATAAATTATAAACTAACTATAACATATAGTTAGCTCCACGTAATAAAATATGTATAATAAAATAGTTAACACGTGCAACAATACTTACGCGCTTACAGTTTATTATAAACATTATATTTTATTTATTAATTTTTTATTTAATAAATTAAAATTATTAATAATCGCGCGACACATTAAAAAGTAATTGTTTGCGTGACATAAATATGACACAAACATTGAACAAATTATATAGTAGTATAGATATAGATAATTATAATTTTTATTGAAACTAGTTTGACCCGCGCAACATGTATAGCCGTGCAATTCTTTTGCTAATTTTAAAATACTTATCATAAGTAATTTGAATGACTGCCTAATTTGTTTTATATAACAAACTACTTAACCTAATGTAACAAAACTTTATAATCAACTTTATAGCGTTAATTATATATTTTTTTTACTTTTCACGTGCAACAATAAATAAAATTTAAAAAATCCATGTTTTGTCAACAATACATTTAATTTTGACCGTTTTTTCACTTATTTTAATTTTAAATATTTTTAATTGTTGTAACGCGCAAAAAGTGTGACAGAAATATAAATATATATATATATAAACATTTCCAAATTATATAGTTGTATAGATTTGGCATCAAATAAGTTTTTAGTAGTTTTAAAAAACTAAAAATATTTTCATTGAAACTAAAAAAATATTATTTGGTTACAATATTTTGAAAAATTTTATTTTATTTGAATCAATCACATTCTAGATTTTATGACATAGAATATATGTTGTATTGATATATAATACTTTACATTATTGACATTAATTGATTGATCGTTTAATTTTTTATTCACAAAAATATATTATCATCAATGATATACTGTAGTTAAAAAATACTTGTATAAATTCATCTATCAATTAATTTTGTCAATTGCTCTTTACCAGTATATGTGACTGTACTGTAAATTATATGTGTATAATGGGATATATGGAATATTATGGATAATAAGTAGTGTCTTGATTTTCAACTAAAAAAATTATTTTGTCGGTTTAACGCTTATAACTGGGACTTAGTATGTCCACCGAAGTTGACCAGTGGACGCTATTTCCAAAATTTTATTATAACTATAAATAACTATTTGTTAGGTTAGCAACTATAAAAACTTATAAATAACTATTTCAGTTATTTTGAAAAATATAAGCATTAGATTGTAAAATATTGCTCAAATATATGTAAAAACAAAAAGTAATAGTTATATAAATTATATAACATGTGTAAACTGTTATCAACTCATATTACTTTTTTAACAATAGAAATATTTAGTTTATTTATATAAATCATTTTTGTAAATATGCTGAAAACAAGTGAATTATATATCAGTTGAAATATTTATAAGAAAATAAATAACTATTTCAATAACTATTTGGCTTTTTTGGCAATTATATACAACTATTTAATACAGTTTAAATAACTATTTTAACAACTATTTGACGTTTTTTGGCAACTATTATAACAACTATTTAATAGAGCATAAAAAATTATTAATCAATACACTAATAATAAGTATTTATGGGATGACAATGTTTGACTATGGAGTCTATAGTATAGACTCTATAGTATAGACATTATCTGAAAGTATCTTAAAACTCGACTGATTTCGACTGCTCGACTGGTCAACTATTGATACGATATATTAAATATCTGGTAAACCATACTTTAAATGTAATGATGATCAATGGCATAATTATAGATAATATTACATTTAACATTACTGTACTTGGTCATTTTTTATTAATTCTAAAACTAACTAAATATTAGCATCGACTGCTAAGAAAAAAAAGTTGATTATTTTATTGCAGTAATCGATTCCAATAGTGAGATAATCTGGAAGTATTAGTCAAGTTTTAAGATACTCTCAGATTATCTCACTATTAACAGTCATATACTGTATAATTAGAAAATATAAATTATTTAATAGTTTTGATTTTATAGACAACTAATAAGTTTATATAATACATTTATTAAATAATAATTTATAAAAAATGTTAGGTTTTTAAAACTACTATTTATTGGCAATACTTAAAAATTAGAGCTATTTTTCATATAATTGTTGGCTTATATACAGTATATGAAATTTGAATCAAATATATCAATCACAGATAAAACCAGTTATAACTAGTATTTGCTTTTATATTGGCGTCCAATTCCTCAGCTCTTCGTTTTCCTGTCTCTGTTCTCGTCTCTCTCAAGACTGTCAACTGAATCGTCTGGTTATCTTCGGTCAGATTATTCAAAGCATCGGTCAATTGTTTGATAAATCTAATCGGAGATCCGTTTACTGATGTTATTATATCATTCAGTTGTAACTGATTTCTATTATCAATCAGATAATTAATTAATAAATAATAATAAAATAAACTTTTATATCACATAATATATGTGTTAATTGTATGACTAGCCTGACATCGGTGTCACCAAATGTAAATCCATTGATGACAAAACCTAAGAGTATTAAACCCAAACTATTGTGTCGTTTACATCGATTTTGTCGATCATTTTGGATAGTTATGTAGTCGTTGTCCAAAAATTGTTGACTCCTTCCCAAAAATGCTATAATTTAATTGAATCGGACAATAAATGCTCACTAAATTTAAATTAATTTTTCTATTTTATTATATTAATCAAACAAACCTATGATATCCATTGATTTGGCGGCCAAATTGATTTTCTGTTCGACAGCCCCAAAGTGAACGCCCACAACGCGTCCATTCATATCCATCAGTGGACCCCCTGACGAACCGGGCCATCCCGTAGCTGAATGTTGGGTAAACAGGTAGTCCTGATCGATACAAATGTTTTCGTTAAACAAAAAACAGGCAGTTATCTGTCCCTTTGCCGATATGGAGTGTATAACGCCCGCCTGAATCGTATTCTTGATCCTCGGGTTTCCAAACAGTATGACATCGTCGCCGAGTTCGGGATCAGTGGCCGACAATTCAAATGCGCGCAAAGCGTTCGACTTATAATTACACAAATTTATTAGTGCTAACTCGTACTGCGGCTCGACGTACAACACGCGACCCGCGATCTGCTGTATCATATCATTGTCTCCCGATGTCTGTCCAACCGATACAAGTAAATCAGATTTCGGGTATTTCTGTGACATTTCAACCAATACGTCAATAGAGTTGCGCACCACGTGATAGTTTGTTAGTATGAGACCATCACGACTGTCCACTAGACAACCGGCACCGCTGCCCAGTCTACTAGCATTTGTATCGGACATACTATATATCCAGATCTTAACCATCGAACCGTTCCATTCATTGTATAGCTTTTCAATACGTTCGTCCATAAGATATGAACATCTCATACATACCTGTGCTCTTAGTTTGATATTCTGTCGATTTCTGTTAAATGATTGCCAATTAAATGCTGTAATAGCCGATAGGGATACCAATAACTTTTTGCTGAAAATGTTATTTTATAAAATATTTGTTAGATATTGTCAACTATTTTAATTAGTAAAATTACCTGAATATTTTTGCATATATTTTATCTAATAAACGATACATATCAATGAATTAACCTGAAATTTATTAAAATAATACTGGTAATTGTAACAACTAATATAAACTAATATAAACTATTAATAATACAGTACATAAACATTTAAATGTTAATGTATTGTTAAAATTCATGCTTAGATATGCATTTAATTGCTGATGAAATGATTTAATACAATAGTTTTAATACATTAGTAGATTTAGTACATTGGTGTTTCAATTCAATTTATTTCAATAAACATTAATGTGAATTTAATCCACATTATCAATAAATATTTGACATGTATTAGCAAACAACCAGATTATAACATATTTAATATTCAAAAATAAAATCTATTGTTTGGTGTTTCAGGAATTAGATTGACATCCAATTCATCCATTCGGTGTTTTCCTGACTCTAATCTCGATTGTCTTCTAATTGTCAAACGTATGGTTTGGTCGCCAGTAATAGTGTCTAAAGCGTCGGTCAATTGTTTGATATTTGTGAGTTGAGTCCCGTTTACAGCTGTTATGGTGTCATTGATTTGCAATAGATTTCTTTGGAAAAATTTTTATTATTCAAATAAACACAAATAATAGTCATTAAAAACAACTAATTTCTAGTACAGTATATTATAGTGATAACATCGAAACATACCTGACATTCACTGATACATTATATGCATACCCTTTGACAGCAAATTCTTGCAAAATAATACCCAAAGTGTTTGCTCTTTGATTTCGTTGTTGTCTTTCATTTTGCATTTCAATATAAGTACTATTCATATATTGTTTGGCTCTTTCAATGAATGCTATGATAAATAATGTGTTAATTTGACGATTGAATTAGATTTTTAATTGAATAACAAAAAAAAATTATATTAGAAATAATTACCGAAAATATCAGTGCGTTTAGTGGCCAAACAATTCTTTGTTAATAATAGGGCGAAGTGTATTCCAACTACTTTGCCGTCCAAATTGATGACAGGACTGCCCGAAGCTCCGGGCCATCCAGTGCTCGAGTGACACATAAATATCTTATTCATATTAATATAAGTGTCGTTATTCAAGAGTATACTGTTGCTTAAGTCCCCTTTCAACGATCCACTGCACACTATACCCGATTGCAATGTATTGCTAATCATTGGATTGCCTACACTTATGACATCATCGCCTACTTCGGCATCCATTTCAGACAACTCCAACTCAGGCAATACCGCTTCAATGTAATGTTGAAGACAAATCAGTGCTAAATCTTGTTGTGGGTCGACATATACAACTCGTCCCTTAAATGTATCTACAGCTTCTTCGCTCGACTCTTTTCCAACTACTACTTGTGATTCGGGTATTTGACTTTCAAAGACAATGGCCACCGTATTAGTGTCAAGAATACAGTGGTAATTGGTTAAAATAAACCCCATATCTCCGTCCACAAGAAATCCTGTGGAACTACACATTTCATCGTCAGATTCTGAAAACTTGGGAACAGATACCCTAACCACCCACGACCTAACTGATTCATACAGCCCTTCAATTTGATCAACGCTGGCATCCATGCGAGCAGTTTTCAGTCCATTCATTATTGATCGCTGAGAAGTAGTTGTTGACCACTGATGAGTCCAGTAATTTGTATACTTTTTGCCCAATACATAGGTACCGGTTATCGACAATGACCTGAGGTTTTGAGTAATAAAATACATTAAAATAGTATTTTTATCATCAGTTTGTTTATTACATATCAAACCATTTGATAATATTCTTGAATTGGATTTTGTGTGCAAATCGATACATACTTTTTTATATCTGTTATAACTCTATTACTATTTACTAATATTTAATTTAATGTATACAACGATAATTAATTTTTTTATTTCATTGATTGATTGAGTGATTGAATAATATAAAAAATGGTTTTAGTTACCTTAGCCATAAAAATAATAATTATTTAAATTTAAATCAAATTATTTGCATTAAATACAATAACTAATCTCGTTCACATTGTCAAATTATTGTAAGATAAAAATCTATATTAAAAACTTAATTATCAACTTTTTGAACAATTTTTTTATCAATAAATTGTTAATATTTCAATAAAAGTTAAATAGTTTGTATAATAAATAAAATAAGTGTTTTATATTTTTATAATTAAAAATAAAATTCATTGATATTGTTTTGTGGCTTAATTTGTAGATTCAATTCATTTAGTATTCGTTTTCCAGTTTCAAGTCTTCTCTCTCTCATAACTGTTAGCCGAAGATTCTGGTCATCAGTGATGTTGTCTAAAGCAGACGTCAATTGTCTCCAATCTGTGAGTTGAGTCTCGTTTACAGCTGTTATGATATCATTGACTTCAAGTTGATCTCTGTGTTTAAAAAAATTAATTACCTGTAATTTATTCATACAATATAAAGTGTGTGTGTGTGTGTGTGTGTGTGTGTGTGTTTAAAGTGTATTATCATACTATACGATACCTATACCTGGCATTTATGGCATTATATGTGAAACCTTGAACAATAAATCCTCTTAAAATAACTCCCAAATTGTTTGGTCTTTTAAATCGTTGTTGTCTTTCATTAAGTAATTCAATGAGATTACTGTTCATATAATGTTTTCCCTTTTGAATAAATGCTATGAATTTCAAGCAAATTGTTACATAAAAAATTCAATAACAAACCAATTGAATAACATTTTTCAATTAATTTCAATTAGTTATTACCATAAACATCGGTTAATTTGGTGGCAATATTTAGTTTGTAGTCTAAGGATGCAAAGTGTACGCCAATAACTCGGCCATTCATATCAATGACGGGACCACCCGAACTGCCGGGCCATCCGGGAGACGAATGAAGAGTATACGTATGATTGGGATCTGAATATCTATCGAAATTGAATAGATATCCAATATTGATGTCTATTTGGTGCGGCACTGAACAAATAAAGCCATATTGGATTGTATTGTGAACATCAGGATAACCAATAGTTATCACTTCATCGCCAACATCGGGAACCGTATCCGACAGTTCTAGATTTGGCAAAGAATAGGCCACATATTGTCTCATTTGTATCAGCGCTAAATCGTGTTGCGGTTCAATATAAACAATTTTTCCGGTTATGGTATCGGTGTCGGCATTACTCGACAGTTTTCCCTCAATGAATCTCCATTCGGAAAAATTGTTGGGAAACTCAATGGTCACACAAGGATTATCGCTCACCACATGATAGTTGGTAACAATTAGTCCCAATTCACTGTCCACTATAAAGCCGGTGCCGTTGTGTGAGGTCTGTTCATTTAATAGTGTAATATTGTGGACAATCACTTGGACGACCCACGGCTTGCAGTCTTTATACAACTGTCCAATGTGTTCAACGCTAGCATCCATTCTAACCTTTCTCAGACACACCGGTGCCATCAATTGTGATAGTGTTAGCGTAAATCGCTGGCGATTACGATAATAATAATAATTATGATATGTCGGCCCAACCGATAATAAGCTATATAAGTATACAAAATACTGAGAAATACAGTTTAATAATATACTAAACAATGTGTTTAGTAATTTGTATTAAGTCAAACCAGTTTATTATAATTTTCAATTGAATCTTTTGTGACAATCGATTCATATTAATGACCAAAAAATCAATAGTTATATATTTTTATCAAATATATCTCTCAATTGGTATAAAGGCATTTAAAAAATCAAATTTCAAATAACATATTTATTAATTAATATATTTAAAATAAGTTTTAACTCTCGCTCCAATTTTTTTACAGTATTAATTATTAGTAAAAACTAATAGTTATAACAAATTACTACTGTAGATTGCTAATTGACTTATGTTTTTATTTTATAATATAATGTATAACAATACAGTATATTACTTGTAATTAAAAGTTTTAATTTAAAACCCATATTATGGCCAATAGTATACTGTCAGTCATATATATAAATTCTATAATTAATATAAGTTCTATAATTAATATAAATTCTATAATATATGATTATATAATATAATCATATATTATAGACATTTATAAAAAACAATTTTATAAAATTAGTAAATTTATATTTCAATTGCATTAAAATAATTAACATTTGATTTATATTTATAAATATATTATTTTATATAATTTTTTTATTTCTTTTATTATTGTAATACTGTATACTTAAAAACTTTGTTTTTCTTTATATTTCAACTGTTTTATTAATGATTTTACTGGCATTTCTATAGTTAAGTATAAAACAATTGAAATAATATAAATAACAGGGATTAGAGAAATATATGTAAAAACTATTAAATGAGACGACATTTTGTCGATATTAATCATATCGATAATAGTCATGAAAATTGTCAGATGAATCAAATTGACAGTTGTTGTCATATCGCGAGTAGTTTTCCATAATTTTAAATGAAAAAAGTTTAAAACCTTTTTATTTTGAATAGTATTTATCAATAGTAGCATATAATATATACAAAGAGCCCATATTTGACGATAAACGGATACTGATAAGCATACCTCCAGTGAATAGTCCTCAACAGGTAATAGTAATATAGTAGCCAAAAGTGACAACATAATTGTCAAAAAAAATCCTAATTTTTTTGACAATAAATTTCTGGTCAATTGTTTCATTTTGTTTTGATCATCAATTATAGTGCCGAGATATAGGCCTACAAAATATGAACCCATTCGGCACCAGGTATTCATGTAAACCATGTCAAAGATATTGTTGTCGGTTCCGCTAATTTAAAATATATTTTAAAAATTATCTAAAAATATATTAGCATAATGAAAATAAATTGTATATATATATACTGTAGTATTGATAAAAAATTAAATTTACAAATCTAGATTCAATGCAGATGTTATGTTTGGTGAATTTGCGTACAAAACTGGTTTTAAATAATAACTGATATAAAATATTCTGATTCCACTCAAAATATTTAAAATAACAAGTATTTTATGACCAAAACTTGGATTCCTATACCGAAATATACATAATTATATATATACTGTAAATTTATATCAATAATTAATTTAATAATAACTTACTTTTTCATAATTTTTAATATAGGCATTGAAATAATTAGTAATTGTACTAGAACATATAAATACCAAGTTATTGGAGCAAACTAAAGTGATTGAAAAAATACATTAATTATTTTAATAAAAAAAACTAATGTTACCACACTTGCCATGTTTGAAATTGATATCAAATTTTGTATGAATAAAAAATTAAACAAAATATTTGCTAAATTGTTTGTACGATTCATATCAAACTTGAAATTAGGATTTTCTATATATTTGGCGGACAATAGATTGAGTAAAATAGTTAAATACAATATAAACAAAATGCCATAAAATCGATTCATAAAAAACTTTTTCATATCGTTAAATGTTATGTGAGATTTGGTAGCAAATTGACGGATAAATGATCGACCAATTACTAGACCACTCAATACAAAAAATATATCGTTTCCTAAGCTTAAAATTGTCTGCAATTTCATGTCCGATAAACTTTTGAGACCATCGGGCATAAGTGCTGATCCAATTTGATGCACGTGTGACCAAACCAATAGTAACGATAGTAGGGTACGTAAAAAGTTCATAAATACAAATTGATTGTTATCGTTGTTGACTACATTGTTGTTCAAATGTAATTGACCAAGGTTATGTTTTATGGACAAACATTTTAGAAGATTTTTGGGTAAAATTAAACCAAACATATCTACAATCGACACAATTATGATAATTGTTATCCAGAGATATAAACATATTTCAAAAATATTTACAACGATTTGCATAAAAAATGTCATTTTTAGTGATAAACTATAATAATAAAATTATTTTTAAATATATATTAAATAAATACAATAAATAAAAATTAATTATATTTTATTCTATAAGTAAGAATATTGTACAGAATAATAAAATAAGAAAGTTTTAACTTATTAATATATAATTTTTTATATAATTATAATTAATACTATACTATGATAAAGTAAAAACTATTAAAGTAAAAATAATGAAAAAATAAAACAAAACAAAAATTATTATTTATAATGTTTTCCTTTATATTTCAAGTGTCGTGTCAATGATTTTATCGGAATTTCTATAATAATATATAAAACAAATGAAATAATATAAATAACAGGAATTAAGGAAATAAGTGTCAAAATCAATGCTACAAATGACTTGTTGTCGACACCAATCATATCGACAATAATACATATAATTGTCGGATGAATCAAATTGACAGTTGTTGTCACATCGCGAGTAGTTTTCCATAATTTTAAACGAAAAAAGTTTAAAACCTTTTTATTTTGAATAGTATTTATCAATAATAGCATATAATATATACAAAGAGCCCATATTTGACGATAAACTGCACCTGAAATGTGAATCCAAATTGAGTTTTCATCTAAAAACACAATAGCTGTCAACAATAACAACATAATTGCAAAATAAAACATTAAATTTTTGAACAATAAATTTGGTGTCAATTTTCTCATTTGTTTGGTATTATCGATTATAGTGCCGAGATATAGGCCTACAAAATAGGGCCCCATTCGGCACCATGTGTTTATGTAAACCATGTTAATTATATGATTATCTCCACTAATTAAACAAAATATGCCAATATTAGTAAATAATTATTATATATAAATATATAAATTTAATTACAAGTCTATATTAACTAAAGATTTAATGTTAGCATTGTCTAATAAACCAGGTTTTAAATAATATGTGATCCAAAATATTCTGATTCCACTCAATATGTTTAAAATTATAAGTATTTTATGACCAAAACTAGGATTCCTATAAAAAATACAAATTTCAAATTATACAAACAATTGTATCTAATTAATTTAAATATATTACATTTATTATGTGTACTCATACAATAACAATAAAAATAATAATTACCATTTAATAATTTTTAATATGGGCATTGAAAGTAATACTAAATGTACTAGAACATATAGGTACCAAGTTATTGGAGCAAACTATTTAAAAAAGAAATCGAAAAAATATGTTAAAATTTTTTCAATATATTAAAATTATGTTCGCATTTACCATATTTGAAATCGATATCAAATTTTGTACAAATAAAAAATTATACAAAACATTTGCTAAATTGTTTGTACGATTCATATCAAACTTGAAATTAGGATTTTCTATATATTTGGCGGACAATGAATTGAGTAAAATAGTTAAATACAATATAAACGAAATGCCATAAAATCTATTCATAAAAAACTTTTTCATATCGTTAAAAGTGATAACAGTTTTGACAGCAAATTGTTTGATAAATAATCGTCCGATCACTAGACCGCTCAACACAAAAAATACGTCCTGACCCAAGTTTGCAATTATATTAATTCTTAAGTTATATAAATATTTGTTATAATCGGGTATCAGTGCTAATCCAAACATATAAATATGTGAATTGACAAACAAAACTGATAGCAAAGTACGCAAAAAGTTCATAAATACTAATTGATTGTCATTATCGTTGAGCACATTGCTGTTGGTGTGTAAATACAATTGACCTAGGTTATGTTTTATTGATAAACATTTTAGCAATTTTTTTGGTAAAATTAAACCAAATAAATCAACAATTGTCACAATTATGATAACTCCGGTCCACATATATAAACATATCTCGAAAATATCTACAACTTTTTGCATGAAAAATGTCATTTTTTATAATAATTTTTTTTATTGTTGTTGAAATAATTTGATAAAATTAATTAAATACATAAAATATATAATGAATCAATTAATGTTTTTTAGTATTAGGTATAATAAACTCATGCGCCAAATAATTTGTCATATTTTTATAATGAAATATACAGTAATATACTGTACAATAGTAACTTATTTAATTTTATATACAGTAATATGAAATTTTCATTCATATTAATATTCATGCTATACTAAACTAGTACTGTATGTAACAGTGTATGAAAAATATTATTAATAAATTATATTTATTTAATAATCTCAGAAAACAATTCACTTCTTATATAAAATAAATAAAAATTTTAGTAATACTATTAGGAGTGGAGGGGGGAGAATGAGAGGGACTAAACATGTATTTTAGAAAAATGTAATCATCTTATAGAAAAAACCGAATCGAGACATAAGGATCAGAAACTGGTCACTGAACCTATGTTTAATCCGTGGACAGAGTGGACACCACCCGTAATATATCATATATCGAAAATGATTTGCGAGACATTGACTTTATTGATGTCTTCATATAAAAAAAACAAAGTTTACGTTGAATTCAAATTAATTTCTATTTTATCTCTTATTTTGTTTACAAAATTTTCACAAAATTCCAAAATCAACTAAAAATAAAAACCATTGCTATCGATGTCGAGTCTGAAGAAAAAATACAACACTTCCTTCTGGAGATTCGGAAGGAGAGGTAGAGTAGAGGCCAGACGTCGCAGAAAGCATTCGGGAGGAGAAGGATGAAGAAGAAGACAATTTTTAATTTATTTATAATTTTTATAATATAATTGCGTGAATAGTTACTTTCCGTTTCAATTATGCACATAATTGATCAATAATTTATATAATTTATAACATTTACTGTTATTATTATTATATTATTATTATTTGCTATGGTTACAAAAGTTTTGTTATTATTTTATTTATTCTATACTAAAATAAATAGTAACTAAAAACTAAAATTTATCTTAACTTTTATATTTTTTATATAAAATAATAAATTAATATTAATATCAATTAAGATGACAAAAGATAAGCTTATGTTAAGCGCCGGTCTATATATTGATGAGTTAAACAAAATCCGTATAATTGATCCACAATTGACTGATAAAAGCAGTGAATTGAAGAATGAAGGAATTGAATTCATTGAAAGTATTATTTGTTTGCTAAATAAATATAAATATATATATATATATATATTATAAATTATATTAATTTTTCAGAGACACAACAATTTCAGAAAATTATTGACAATTTTGTTGAAATAGTTGAAAATCTGGCCAAACATGTGGAGAGTGCAAGAATTAGAGTAAATATCAATTGATTTTTTTTGCTTTGAAGTTTAAAATAATACAACAATTTTATCTACCTGTATAATAAATGCATTTTTTATTTTATTTTTATATATGTATAATAATGATAATATATTTAAATATAAAATTATTGCAATTTCAAAAACAATAGGCAATCGGTTCCCGAAATCTATTGAAGACATTCGAGCAAAAGCATGAATCAGATATACAACAGTTGCGAACATTGATTAAGGAAAAGAAACACGAGTTGGATAGGTATGACATTTGACTGTCCATTAGATCTCTGGATATAATTTTACTAATTATTTCATTTTTTATCTCATTTTCAAATCTCTGGTTCAATATTGATGTTCACAAACAACAACAGACTTCGTGTTCAATACGATTCATTAAAACGTGAAGAATCGCAACAAACAGATCTAATGAACAGTCTATTAGATAATAAATAATTTTTTTAAAAATATTATTGTACTTAAAATTGATTTAATTAATTTAATATACCGTAATATTATTAATATTTGTACAATAAATACAAACTAAATTTGTTTAAAGTTTTCAATTATTGAAATTCCTTATTTAAACAAAAAATATGTTATCAATGATGTATTATATAAATAAATAATTGAATTGTAATAAAATGGTAATGTATTATAATTTCAATAAATTTTTGAATATTCTATTGATTCAATTGACTGTAAATTGGTTTAACATTTATTTAATATTATTTATTTTTTGCTAAATTTTTAAAATATTCATATTTCAAAATTTTATTACTGATAGATATAAAAAATACTTTAATTTTATTAATCATTTTTTTGTGTAGTACTGTATAAAATAAACAGTAGTTTGCATTCAAATGAGTGCACAAAACGTTACGTTATTTTATTATTATTATTATTATTATTATTACTATTACCACAAAAAAACTGTTTGTTTGTAAACAAATTGATTACACACTCAACGCATTCACACACAAAAAGACAGTATTAATATGTTATTGAGTGAGCTATACATCTATACATCAATTAGTCGCTGTCATCGACAATGTCTTTAAATTATCAGTGAATCCAGACTCAGATGACTTGATTTTTATTATTGTTATTGTTATCAACTATTTTATTTGATCCACAATTGCTCTGCAGATCTGACTGTAATAACTGAATCTGTTTTAGTAATGATTGACGACTGACTAATTGGATTCATTGATATATATATATAATCTATTGTTGTTGTTGTTAATACTTCTCTCTCTCATCATATCATCGGTGGTAACAATGTTTGCCAAAACAAATACATCGGAGACTAAACAAGAGTTCCTCGATTCGGCTAAAGCTCATCGACAACAACGGGAACGGGAAAGACATCACAGCCAGAGTGCCATCAAAATACAGGTCTGATTATTGATGATATATATAATGTCTTCACTTTTGTTGTGTGGCTATTGTTGTCATTAAATTTATGCCTTAGGCTGTGGTCCGCGGTTTTCTTATTCGTCGGTCGATTCAAAATGAAATCCGAAAAGACTTTGACGAACTTATGGGCGAACTCTTGGACGGCAACGACGACAATGTCATCAAATACGTAAATGCCATCAAAATCTACGAACTTATCCGTCGTTTTATGTTTGTCTTCGACGCCGACAAAGATGGCAAACGTTTCGAGCGAATGTCAAAATACATAATCGCCACAATGTTATTGGCCGCCGATAATAATCACCAGAGTCCAGAACTCGAATCCAGACAAATCACTTATATCTCGGTTGTCTTCAACAAACAATTGGCTGTTCACTGGATTCAACAGCTGAAGACAATTCTGTGGAAGTGTTGTCAATATCTGAAACATCTGAAGTCAGAGCTCCCGCACGACTACAAACAGATTCAGCTCTACCTGAATATGTTGATCACATTTACGTCGACCAACTCTTGGATTGTTTTGAAACAGTATCCACAGATTTACGATCCGTTACGGCCAGTGGTCAACCAGTTGTGCAACAATGTGATGACTAGTCTGGTAACCAAAGGTCTGTACGCTAATCTCCAGATACTTCTAATAAAGGGTTTGATGCGTACAAAGCCTACCCTTAAAAAGCCGGCCCTAACAGCTATAATAACGCTGGCTTTGCGTCCAGTTATTGCCTCCAAGTTCAACGAGTCACACATGAATATGTTTTTGTTGCACATCTTCTCCATACCAGCTCTAGTCTATCATCTGAACACAATATCCATCGACACATTGACCGTACTGTCCAACGAACAGATACTAAAACGTAGTGTCGAAATCTTGTCGTTGGATCAAAACTCGCGTATACTGTTCAATGCACTCGAAGGTAATTACGCTCTGTGTTTATTGGCCAACATTATACACTTGGCTTACATTGAAATACCGCTTAACACTATGGCTGCTAATATGGTAGACTTTATTGTATGTATTGTTTATTTATTTACCGAAACCACTGATTGTTCCAATAATTTATTTACTAATTTTTGTTGATAAAGTGTGTGATAACTAAACTGCTGGAAAGCTGCCAGAAGTATGTGGTAAGTAAACAGTCGAGTCTTACTCATTGGCATCCAGTGCTCGGTTGGTTCGCCCAGAATGTGGATCAAGGGTTTGTCAGCTTAAAAAATAGTATTATATTTTATACTGTATTGACTGTATTGATCGCTGTTTTATTTTTTAGTTTACACGAGTCCTTAGGTTACGTAAAGTCACAATTGCAATATCTTTGGAGTTCACAACTCATTCAATTGATATTCAGTCCGCTATTCGAGTTGTGCGACAAAACGAGATCTCAGTGCCGACGAGACAGTCTCGGGTCATTTAGTTCGGGTGGCGGCGGCGGCACTATAGCAACCCCGGGCGCCAATAACTTTACGTCAACGAAAAATTTAGTTAATTTTACGAAATCAAACTTTTTTAGAAAAGCCTTTGAAAAGGCCAGCCTTAGCGTCGGCAGAGGTAATCAAAGTCTAACTGGTAGTCAATTCGGATCGTCACCAAACTGTCGGTTGGGTAGTCCTGAGACAACATTGGTTGCGTTGATTTGTAATCTATATGAGACAGCACTCAATACTCTAACACAAGTCAAGCTGGACATACTGGCCGGTCTTTGCTATCAGGATCTGATCCTACCGAATCTGTGGCACTTTATCAGTTCACTGGGTCCGCAAAACGGTATGAAAGCATTTCTGGATCATCTGAATCTCCATACGAAGACCTGTGCGCCCGAATTTCAGATACTGATACTGTTCTGCGATTGTGCCACCCATTTGATCACCATATTAGACGACATGGAGATGTATGAACAGCAGAAGCCGTTCACAATTGAAGAAATGATCATAATTTCGTCATTTTTGAACAATTTTGTCTTTAAGATAATCTGGAATAATCTTATTGGTAAATATATATTTTTTTAATTAAAATTATTATAATTTATGGTAAAACAGTTATATTAATATATTGATTCATTAATTTTTGTTTTATTTCTACTACCAATAGATTTCAAGACAATGAATATGAATAACCTTTTGAATTCAACGCATGCATTATTAATGCTTTTATACAAACGGGACAGTAGGCGACAATTTTCGCCAAACGATCACTGGCTTATAAAGTAAGACATTCCAATATCCAAGATATAAATAAAATATTGTATTAACCATTAATTTGAATTAATTTTATTTTCAATACTATAGAGATCTAAAAGTATCGCATTTTATGAAAGACTTGGAAAACGGTCGCAAAGGAGCTCATATGTTGATGCAAAAGGTTCCCCATATTATACCGCATAAGGAACGGGTAGTTCTATTTCGAAAGTACGTCAAAAACGAAAAGACAGTCCTGGGACTAACTGAATCTGCCTGTGCGTCGCCGCACTCAACACTAATCACTGTCCATCGGTCGCGTGTAGTGGAAGATGGCTATCAACAGTTGGCAACTCTTCCGTCACAATCATTAAAGGGTGTGATACGAGTCAAGTTCATCAATGAACAGGGCTTAGACGAGGCTGGTATAGACCAGGACGGTGTGTTCAAAGAGTTTCTCGAGGATACCATCAAACGGGTATTCGATCCGTCGCTAAACCTGTTCCGCGTAACAACTGAACAGCGTTTGTATCCGTCGCCGACATCGCATATCCAGGAAAATCACTTATCATTGTTCGAATTTGTCGGCAAAATGCTCGGCAAAGCTGTCTATGAAGGTATTGTCGTTGACGTGCCATTTGCCTCATTCTTCTTGAGCCAAGTCCTGGGTCAACAGCAAAGTGCACTCTACTCATCCATTGATGAATTGCCTTCACTCGACGCTGATCTCTACAAAAGTCTTACTTATATCAAACACTACGACGGAGACATCACTCAACTGGATCTAACGTTTTCCATTGACGAAGACTGTATGGGACAGATTGTGACGCACGAGTTGGTGACCGGTGGACGGGCTATACCAGTGACCAAAGAAACGCGCATCAGTTATATTCATCTGATGGCACACTTTCGAATGCATACGCAAATACACGAACAGACGGCCGCATTCATCCGCGGCTTCCGGTCGATCGTAAATCCCGATTGGCTCACAATGTTTTCGACGCCAGAGTTTCAGCGACTCATTTCCGGTGACAATACACCCGTCGATTTACAAGATCTTCGCAAACATACCAAATACTTTGGCGGTTTTCACAACAATCATCGAGTAATCATATGGTTATGGGATATCCTCGAGAAGGACTTCTCGCAAGAGGAACACAAACTGTTTCTCAAATTTGTCACCAGTTGTTCAAAACAACCATTACTTGGTTTCGCACATCTAGAGCCACCATTTTCCATCCGATGCGTCGAAGTGAGCGACGACAACGATACGGGCGATACGGTTGGCAGCGTTTTGCGCGGATTTTTCACTTTCCGACCAAAAGACCCGATCAATCGATTGCCGACTTCGTCCACTTGTTTTAATCTACTAAAGCTTCCGAACTATCAAAAAAAGAGTACTCTAAGAGAAAAACTTCGGTACGCTATCGCCAGTAATACCGGTTTCGAGTTATCTTAAGGATAGTTGTGTTCAGTAAATCATTGTGTGATTTGGAATATGAAAGTAATGTATTGTTTGTATTATAATTTGTTATTAATTTCTTTCTTTTTTTTAATACCACAAACAGCACTGTTTTTATCACATAAAATGTAATCTTATTTCTAGTTTTATAATTGATTTTTAATTTATATTTGTATATTATTTTATTGATTTATTTATACACACAACCATAACACCTACAAACATATAATTTATATAATTATTTAATATTTTATTAATAATTTAATTGCAATATTCCCATAATTATAAATATATATTAGGTAAACCAATTTTACAGTTTAAATTTATTATTTACCAGTTAAACAATAACAAAAAAGTATAATCATTCAATCAATCAAATGTTGTTTTTTATATAAATAATAATAATATTATTAAAACGCTAGTCAATTGGTAATGTTATAATCTAATGTAAGACACAGGTAATAATAATAATATAGTTATTTCAGTATTAATAGTATATTTGTATAATAAAAATACTACCAGTGCTTATATAAATATTATTATTTATAAATAGTTGTATGTTTTTACAATAAAATAAAAGTTTTCACGCGTTCGCTATTAATGCAAATTTGGAGATCAAATTAATACAAAATTCTGTATTTGAAATATATAATAAAATTTATTTTAAAAAAATACTAAACATTAGTTATAAATAATGTTATTTCAAGTAAAAGGTAAAAAGTTTGAGTGCATAACTGTGCCTACAATGAAGTAGCCGTAAAACCACAATTTTACGAGTTTAGTGCGCCTGGCGTTCACTTTGGTCTCGCGTGACTCGACTGTCCAATAAACTAATGGACTCGAAGATAATAGCATTCTTGTGGTCACTTGAATGTGTACAAAGAATAGACAAAACAGTGTCAAACATAGCACATGTATTATATGCACAAAACACCATTCATTGTCCATAACTGAGCTATGCTTCTGATGCTGAGTACTGATAGTCTTGAGTGACAATAGTTGATAAAGTTTGTCTTTGTTAACGACTAGATAGTCAATACATGACGTCAGGTTTATAATGACTATTGGCAGCGCCAGCAAAAAGTTAGGTATCTGTTTGAACTGATAATACTGGAGAAAACCAACGTTCCAGTACTTATTCTGTACATAGGAATAGGATAGAGGAACGGTATGATTGCACCAATCTGTGAAATATGACGGTGTCGTACTGACTGGAATCGTACAGAATTTATCGTAGGCATCAATCTGGTAGATAAGGAATGGTATCACACATATGGACACATAGACTAGTGTTTGAAACAAACGAATAGCCAGCTTAGGTAGCCATCCGGCGCGCAGATGAAAACGTTTTGCCATAAAACAGTCGTTTAAGATGTAAGACAATTGTCGATATAAAATAAAACCAAACGATATAAGACCTAAAGACGGTAATAGTCATCGAAAAAATAATATTAGAATTGGTTTAACAATAAGATGAAATAATTTTGGGTTTCGGTTACCATTTGACCGAACAGCAGAACTGAGACCAAAGAGAACCGACGCCAGCATTAGATGATGCCATTTGGTGGTCATATGTGTCCAATAGATACCGGCAAATGTCAAAAATGCAAACAAACATTCCGAATACGAAGAGCTGAAGAATATCGATGAAGGGTTGTATGCAAACCAGTAAACAGTCATTCGGGCCATCGGTTTGCTGGCAAACATCCGAACAGTTAGTTCGTATAAAACAATGGCCGTCAGTATAAAGAGTAGAAAATTTATGGTAAAACTACTAATTAATAGCAGACTATAGTACGAGACAACAGTTGTCCCGATAAAGGTGTTCACAATTATGGCTAATAGATTGGCCAACCATCTGACTAGAAGCGGGAAAAGCGGGAAAAATGCCAAAAACTCTTCGCGTGTATAGCCATTGTAGGCGATGGCCATAAAATACTGAGAATCCCATCGGTTGAGACCAATAAACAGCTGATGTATAACCCGATCGGCCCTTGTCTTGAGTTCACTTTCGAAGCCGTTCAGAAATCCATCGCTTCGGTGGTCAGGTATTAGCAAGTTGGCCACCAATTGCAGAACAAATAACAGTAGCCGTGATTTGGCTGCCGTTTTAACCACCTGTACCCTGTCGTCAGCACCAAATGACCAGATCATGTCTCGGAAGGGGTACTACTGTCGGAACACTATAGTGGTCACAACATTAGATAATCGGCACTCAAGTGATGGGTGTATATATCAGTCACGTGTTTATGAATTAAGTGATGCAATGTTGTTGTTGTCCTAATGTGTTAACCGATGGTCACCGCAAAAACTGTTGATACTGTCCACTGGTGGACAAAATGTGTGGACTCGTTGACTACATGGTTGTGAGTGACCATTAATGTCATCGTCAGCTGTAATCCCGATCTCGCAGTCAATTGAATCAATAGAGTCTATAGACATAAACATTAAACCCTAATATATTTATGTATAGCAGTCGTGGCCGAGTGGTTAAGGCGATGGACTAGAAATCCATTGGGGTCTCCCCGCGTAGGTTCGAATCCTACCGACTGCGTAACATTTTTTGTTTTATTTATTTTTTTTCAGTCTATAATACAATTGTCTATTTTTGTGCTAAAATTAAATAAACTCATCATATGTTTGATTATAATTACTAATTTAACAAACAAAGTGTTTTCAACAAAATTTTGTACATTTTATTTGATTGATTCAATTAAATCAATTGTTAATTGTTTGCATCACTTATTGGTAATAATTTTATTAAATTAAATGAACAATAATTATGTCGAATAATTTGTGCGATAAAATTGTTCCCTCGATTAACAGCTAATAATTTTTATAACTATTTATTAATATTTTAGTTATTAATGTTTAAGACATTATTGATGTAGAAATGAAATTGAATTGATTGACAGTTTGTATTAAACATTACAGTATTGTTATTATCATATTATTATTATTATTATTATTACTGTATTTTATGACTAATGTTATGACCAGGGTTTTAAGAAAATAAATGCCTGCCCTGGCAATGCCCAAATAGATGCCATAAATGCCTGGCATTTTGGGCATCTATTTTATTTGCCTGCCAATTTAAATTGCTAAAAAGCAACTGTATTTATAAAAATAATGCAATTTAGTGTTTTAACGTGTTAATTAAATTTACAATTAATTTACTTATTTCCAATGATATTACCTTTTAATTAAAAGTATACAAAACAAAAATACAAGCAAATATATTATAAAAACAATGTTTTATAAATTAATTAATAATATAAAATAAAAATAATAGGTGTCACCACCTGAAAATAGATGCCCAGGGCATGGCAGAGGCAGGGCAGGCATTTGGCAAAATTGGCATCTATTGTTTATGCCTGCCATTTTTAAAACCCTGGTTATGACTAATTGAATGAATTGTTTGTTTGACAAAAATCACATCAAATGGTATTGTCGTTGCTGTGAATGACAGACTGACTGACAGACAGACAGACAGACAGACAGCTGATACCAAAAACCAAAATATGCCACATATGGACACACCATCTGCCGCTGCGTCGATGGCCAACAATGACATGTCCGAAGTGATGGATCCGGTGGAGCGGATTCGCCGGTTATGCGAAACGGCCGCTTCCATAAATGTGGACAATACGGTACCCATCAAACGGTACTGGAGATCGGGTAAAGAGTTGCTACGTATGGCCAACATATATCGCGAAGAACAAGCACTGGACAAATCGTTTATACTATACATGAAATATATTACGTAAGTATTTTTYGTATTRATTGGTTGCCATTGTTTAACTGATCCAACTGATTGTTTTTGCGCTTAATTATTGAATCCGATAGGCTTTTTGTCGAGAAGATACCGCAACACTTGGAGTACAAGTCGTGCGAACCAAACGAGAAGGCGTTAACCAAAACTAATTGTAAGCAAATCTTTCCCGTCGCCGAACAATTGAAGAAACAGTTGACCGAAAAGTATCAAAATGAGTACGACTTGTTTGCGGAAGAAAAGGTTTTTTCTGATTTCACTGATTTGAGTAAAATAAGAGTTGTTTTAAATGTTTTTTTGTTTGTTAATAAAACAGAAGAGAAGAAAATTAGAAAATGAAAAACGAAATGAAGAAATGCGTCAACAGTTGCGGAAAAGACGTGAAGCCGACAATGAGCGACAACTTCAGGAACTGGAGCTTAAGTTTCAGGAAAAGAAACAGATTGTTGGCTCAATAGTGGCCAACAGTGTGTTGCCAGCTGTGGTCGCTACAGATAATGATTTGATTCATCCACTTATTTGTAACAAAGCCGCCGAAGCCGTTACTGATATACCAACGGTCGACAGATCGACGAAACCATCACTTATGCCTGTCTTTAGTGCTGCCGCCGATGGTCTGACAAAATTGGTTGTTCCCACAAAACTTATCCAACGATTCCTGCAATCAGCCGAAGCTAATACCATACGAAACATCGAGACCTGTGCCGTATTAGCCGGTCGTCTGGCAAAAAATGTATTTACCATAACTCACGCGTTTGTACCCAAACAGAAAGGAACGTCCGATTCTTGTCAGACACTTAACGAAGAAGACCTGATTATCATAACCGACAGTAATCTTGTATCGTTGGGTTGGATCCATACGCATCCGACACAGAATGCCTTTATGTCGTCCATTGATTTGCATACTCATTGTCCCTATCAAACACTATTGCCCGAAGCAGTGGCCATTGTATGTGCGCCTAAATTTGACGAAGTAGGTGTTTTCTCCTTAACCGATCCATACGGTGTCAGATTGATTAGCACCTGTACTCTGACCGGCTTTCATCCACATCCGACACAACCACCCATTTATGAACAGTCATCACATGTTATGTTTGATAATAATAACGATATCGATGTAATTGATTTGAGATAATAATAATAATATATAATAGTATTTTGTTACATATTTGTATGTTTTTAAAAAAGTCATTTTAATTGATTTTACGGAAACTATATTTTAATAAAGTTTTTTGTTTTTGTGTCGGCAAACAGTTTTTTAACAATTAACCTAAAAAGATTACCGTTGTTGCGCACACGCCTTTCCATGGCAGATAATGCGATAAATGGCAGGTTTAGTGGTAATTGCTTCCCCTGGAATTTGCTTAATTTGAGGGCACAAAATCCCAGCCATGTTATAAGTTTTTATTATCTATCAAATTCATTCCACTCATGATTTTTTTTCATTATTTAATGCTATTATATATGCATTATTAATGCTAATTTAATTTATTATTTATTTGATTATTAATTTTACAATATGTTTATGATCCTAGGATATTAAATTATTTATTTATTAATTGATCGATCATATATTTAATTAATTATAACTAAATTTAGACATTTAAAACACTTATAATTGTGTAGATACCAGTTATCACATTTACTGCCATTCGACTATTTTAGTTATCGCATTATCTGCCATGGTATGGCAGGTTTAGTGATAATTAGTTCCATACCTTTATGACACTTTTAATTAATTTTTAAAATTGATATGTCTAATTAAGTGGTTAAAAACGGTAGTCTATAAAACAAAAATTTGGATATAAATAAAAACATTTTTTTTTACTAATCATAGGATTTTTAATAATAGGAAATTATTTTTTGTTGAAAATCAATATTAATTAGTAGTTTTAGTTCGCAATCAATTAGATATTCAATACATTTTTACTAATAAATTATTACAAATATGAATAACTATATTAACAATTAAAAGTCTCGTGATTTATATAACATTAAGCGCACAATGAAACCAATACTTTCAAAACAATTGTTTTAAAACATTAAAAAATATAATATGACTGTCTATGTGTTACAAATTACATCATGTAATCTATCGTATAATAATATTGTATAATAAACTATACAATTGTTGTTTTCAAAGTATTGGTTTCATTGTGCGCTTAATGTAAAATAATTTTTGAATTTGATTTTGTTTTTCAAACAAAACTTCATATATGCATAAGTAATCTATAAGTTAGTGTTGACAACATTTACAATAAGAAAAACTTATTAGTTTAACAATAAGTCTAAAAATATCATTGAATTGAGTGTGAATTTGGTACGACTTGTGGCCAACAAATCATCATTTAATGGCCAACATTTCGGTGATAATTTTGGTAGCATTTATACTGTCATAAGTGTCACTTAAAAATCAGTTTCGCTTAGACTGTGTCTCAAAACAGTTTCAGTTGTGTTATATTCAAAGACTACAGTATGTATTGTAAAGTACTTACATATTATGTATAATTAAATTGTTTTCAATAAAAACATTAAAAAATATGAGTTTTGAGCGCATGTGTGTTGGTTTTGATTAATTATTTAATTCAATGTAAATGTATTTGTTATCATTGGATATCTAATATGTCAACAACAAAAAAGTTTGTAATCAATGTCTGGTCTAATAACGATAAAAGTTAGATAATATTTATGTAATGTTTTAAATTGCAAAGTCCTATATCAGTATATAATTATTTTTTATAGTTAGTAGTTGTAGTACTGTATTAATATTTAATATATAAATTTATTTTTCCCATTTGAATATTTTATGATATCTATTTAAAAAAATTAATTGATAATTTTCTTTCTAAATTAATAACTCATAATTTTATTTTATTCAAATTGAAAAAAGTATAATATTTTATCAATTAGTCAAAACTTTTGCTTATTTTTTAAACATACTATAATTAAAATTTACTTTTCATTAAATAAGTACATAAAATAGTATTTATTAATAGTTTATATTCAATAAATACTGAATACATTGTGTAATACTACAAATACTGTATATTAATTTGTTATACAGGTATACGGTATATAAAATGTTATGTAATAACACATTAGCATTAATTACATTTTTAAAATTAATAAAATATATATATATTAATATGTTTTAGTGAAAACGATAGTTACATATTAGCTAATTATTATGAAAACAATTTTTCAGATTTCAAGTGATTTATATATTAATTTGTTTGACATCTCTTTAATTAAATCAGTTCAGTCATCAATCGTTAATTGATGAAAACAAATGGAAACTTTATCGAAGAAAAAGACAAAGAAAACTAAACCAAAATTTATCGATTTGACCGAAGAATATAATAATGAAGATGTGATTACAACCGTCGCCACCGAAGATCAATCATCTGAAACAAAACCATTGATTAATGTTAACGAATATTCAGACAATAGAGGTATGACTTAATTGACTGTTGAAGTGATGGGACTAACTTTGCTATCAATAGATAATGATATCTATTATCTTCATAGTTAACAATTTATGTTATGTCCATCATTATCATAGAATTGCCGAAACAACGTGAGGCCACAGTCAACATTGACAACCAACCGTCGGCGCCGCCCGAAGAGGATTACCAGCCGTGCGGTTTGGCCGATGATAGGACCAGACAAGAATTTATGGCCAAAGTTTTTGCCGTCATTTTTGCCCAAAAATCACTCTTCTGTGTCTTAATTGCTATCTTTACTTATATGTAAAACATTTATTAAACATACTTTGAATTACAGGTAATTAAAAGATGTTTTTTAACATTTTTTATATCTCATATTTTTTAGTCCCCATTTGAGAAAAATTTATCGCAAATGGGTTTTCGATCCATTATTTTTATCATCATTGATCGGGTAATCATTAATTTGGCAAACATTTACAACTAAAGATTTAATTGTAATTATCATTATTAGAGTACCTCTCATCGTATTTGTTGCCCTATTGGCCATTTCACCGTCAATTAGGCGACGATTCGCCAAAACTGCATTCATAATAATTGTACGCTAACTGATCCATTATTTAATCCAAATCTTTAACTTTAAATTATCAATTAATAGACGGCATCTTTAAGTCTACTCATGAGTTACGCCATTACCCAGAGAGCAACGGCCAACGCTTTTCTCTATTCAATGGGTTTTAGCGACTTCTGCGATCTGGCAGTTATTGTAGGTTCAAAAGCGAGACGAGACTTCACCAAATGGCGATACATAGCCATTACGCCAACCATTATGGCCGGCAGCAGTTTCCTGGCGCCAACACTACTCCAAACTTCATTGAACAATACAATTTGGCCGTCAATTGTTATGACCGGATTATCTACTTATTTGGTCTCTAATACCCGACCGGTCATCAAATACAATGATCTCGAATTGGAACCCGAAGAATATGTTTTCGCTGCCACTCAACTATATATGCATCCGGAAAGAGCTATCAAACATCAAGTGAAGAGTTGGTTTTGCGGATCAAATAATGAACGACAACAACGAAATAGAAATGCTTATACATCTATTTGAAATGATTTATGCGTTTATTGGTATATTCATTATAAATCATTTAATAAAATATTAAGTTATAATTTAATTGACAACAAAAATGATAATTTTAATGATTACCGTAAGAAAAATTATGCTACAAATATTATTACGGTATAAATTTATAGGGAAATATACTGTATATATATTTATTTATAATATATGACACATACACCAGTTTCCCCGCAAATATTATTGAGTGACAGATACAGTATATTAGACATACAGTACAAGAGATAGATAGATTGATAAAGGATCAGTAGGTCAGGGAACTGGTGTCTGGAAATTACATCACAGTTAATATAATTATAAACAATTTTTTATCAATAAATTATTATATTTTTCATTTAATTGTCGTGTGTTTTCACAATCGCTGTTTGTGAGAGTTTTTTTCTTAAAAATATCTTAATTTATAAATTTATATACAGATATATAACTATAAACTGAATAAACGACAAAATAATTAAATTGATATTACAATCAATCATAAAATCTACTGTATTTGTTAACCAACGATGATATTACTCTCTGTCTGTGTATTTCTATCAGAAGAGAGACTCAGCTGATCTCAACAGATGTATGGGATGTGATGGACTCCTTTGCAATCGTTTCTTTGGCAAACGCGTCAGTATTTCATATAACTTACTAAACTCTGTCCTCTCATTTGACTTAAATGACCAGCAAATCAATAATAAATCCTGTAATTTAATATAATTTAATTGTTTGCCAAATAAAGTGTTAATTTTTCTTTGGTGTTATTGTTTACCAAATATTGTCACAAACCTTGACTTCTTTAGACGCTTGAAGATTCATCAGCGATTGTTTCACTCCTTTGCCCACTTGCCATATAATCACTTCCGATGGTTGTCCCTTGAATGGCCACTCGCCTAATAGTAACTCATACCATACGGTTATGGTTTTATATAATTAATAAATTTTCTTTTGTAAACTGATCTGAAAAACCAAACCCAAAAGCATAGACATTAACTGTAACTGTAGAGAATGGCAGTTCTTCAGTGTCCTGTTCGCTATGAATTCGTAGACTACGGACTATCTCTGGCGCCAAATAGCAGATCCATCCTTTCGGTATTGTTAGCCCTTTCTCTATCCTTTCTGTTTGACGAAACAAATCTAACAACAAAAAACAATAGTTAACAGCAAATAAATGTCAAACAAATGTAATTATTTTGGTCACAAATCTGTTGCCGACCGAGTTTGGCCACAGAAAACAGTCCGACAGATCTTAAGCTCGTCAAACGGTATATCCTATTTGCGAAGCGTTAGAACTGTTTTGTGGCGAACACGATATCTTTCAGATCGAGATCTAACTATCTTGGCTATCGACACGTCCGGCCAGAGTTTTCTCTGAATCGGTACTACCAGAACTTGAAGTCTGCGAGTATGGCATCGATGTTTAAATGAGTGCTAGCGATGAGGGCGTTGAGGAATTACTTGCTTTTGATCAACCTGTAGATAACGGATCGACCTGTAGATTGCGTTTTCCGGACGGTGGTGTTGTCGGAAACTGTCCATTGAGTTAGTGGTCGACGTCAGGTTTGAGTTCAATATATAGGAACCAATTTGTGGAAACCAAAGACCCGCAGATTGTGGCCGAGACAATGGACTACTGTTTTTAAGTATCTCTTCCGATGGAACCCATGTTCGCATCGTTCGGTTTTTTGTAATACGTGGCGACACCGAAGCTGAGGAAGTCATGGCGTTTGTATTCGTTGTCGATGTGATGACTAATTTAATTTACTAATAAAAATTATGTCACATTAAAACAAATTCTTGAAATTTAATAAATGTATCAGTAATGATATAAATATTTCTTTTCAAATTTAATTTAAGACAAAAAATCAGTTAATTATTATGCAATACTAACCAATTGTAGTTATGATTTAGTGGTTATGACTAAATGTATGGTTTAAATGTTTGTGTACTAACGAAACTAATATTCAATATTTCAAATCAAAATATGAATAATATGAAAATTATTTATTAGTTTGTTATAAAAACTTTAAATACATGTTTTTAAATATTTTTATTATATATATAGTATATAAACATATTTATAAAAAAAAACAATATAATAAATTATTAATAATTATAAAATAAAAATAAATAAATAGATTTAATTTGAATATAAAATTAGAGTATAGTTAATAACATAAGAAATGTTACTATAATATAATATTAAAATAAAATCATAACTAAATAAATGGATAAAAATTTAGTGATAATAAAAATTAAATCAAATGTATATAACAAACAAATAGTAGATTCAGTACTTCTTTACTCTGAATTTTTCACGTCTTTACTTTGCATGCGAGCGAACCGAAGCCGCCGATGGACTGCTTCCCAAAGTGGATGTCGTTCCACCTGTTTTGGAAGCGGTTCCTCCAGCGCCACCTGTTTTAGACGCGGCTCCTCCAGCAGCACCTGTCTTGGACACGGCTTCAGTACTTCCAGTCTTAGACCCGGCTCCAGCACCACCTGTCGAACCGCTACCAGTTTTAGACGCGGCACCTGTTTTGGATGCACCTTTAGCTCCCGAATCGATTCCGGCAGCACCAGTTTGAGAGCGAAGCGACATTGTTGATGGACTGGATCCCATTGAAGACGTTGCCTTAGAACCGCTTGCGCCATCGGCACCTGCGCCTCCTGCACCACCAGTTTTAGAGCCGGTACGACTGGCCCCACCAGTGCTGGAACCAGTACGGCTAGCACTACCAGCACCAGCTTCACCACCATCACCACCAACGGGTCCCGATTTTGATTTCTGTGCCGACTTAGACTTCTTGCCACCGCAACAGCACAGCAATAGTAAGATTACAATAATAATAATTATAATAATAATTATTATTATGATCCAAATCCACCAATTGCTGCCACCGCTGTCACCCGATGTCGACGACACTGAATTCAACTCTGTAATGGAATCCGACGATTGACTATTTAGTGTCGATTGAGAAATGCTTTCGGTGACATTGGCACCAGAGTCTATATCAGCTCCGGCATCGTTAGGTTTATGTGTCTCAACCGATCCCAGAGTAGCTGTATTAGGATTGAATGCTGTTTTCTTGCGGCACCGATCGCACGGACACTCACCGCGCTTAAAATGCAAGAAGTCCGGTGCCGTGTCTTTCATCTGAGATTTGGATTCGGATTTTGTTTTACCACCACTGAACTTAACTCCGGGAATACGCCAGAAGTAATCCTCAGTGAATAGATAGATCGCATTTTTGTTTACTTCATGATCCAAGTCTGTCGCCGCGTCAATTGTAGGCGCACTGCCCAACTCGTCCAGACTGCTGGGATTATAGGCCTCGACCTCGCCTTTTTTGCACAACGGCTCGATGTTGACTGCGGCAACATTACTTCCCTGAATGATCATTATATACGATCGCCACATAAACATAGAATCAATCGGCCGGTTCCACATGACCTTTGCTTTGGCAAAGTATTTGTTGGCCACATAAGAGATCGGCGAGTCAGCCCATTTGGACGTTTTTACGTCATATATCAACACTTTGTTGCCATCGTCGGTGTGCTCAACAACGTGCAGCTCTTGTTCGCCTTGTCCGCAGATGCTCTGGGCATCGATATACACGGCGGCGTCGCCTTTCTTGAAGCCGCCCGGCAATGGTTGACCGCTACGTTTGGGCGGGAAATCTGAATCGTCATTCAGTAGCCAATGATAACCACCGCTCGTTATGAACCACTGTTTCTTAGACAGAATATAGGCTACTGAGTCAATGGTGGCGCCGTTCTTACATATGTCTGGACCTCCGATGACGACAACAATCGATGTCCAACTGATCGTTAAGACAGTCAGCCACACAACATATTGATGACAACAAATCATAGCTATCACTTCTGGTCAACACTTCTAAGAGATTTTTAAACACTTAATATATGTATAAAAGATAAAACTAGTGATCAAAAATTGTTAACAACTTTTTATTCTTCAAACAAAATCAAAACAACTAAGACTTTGAGTTATAAAATGAATTTTTGTCACACTTTTAACGGCTTTCGATAATCGATAACCAATTGATTGAATAAATAATTAAAAATTTCTCGTGACTTATGTAATCAAATAGATATCATTGATTGTGTTATTGTTGTTGTCTCGCTATAAATTTACATGTATTTTCTGTATATTTAGTTTTATTAATTTAAAAATTATTTTTAATACATTTTATATTTTAATTAATATTCAAATTAACTAATGTTTATAACAATTAAAACTAATTTTAATTATTATCTCTATTTTTGTCAATGTTTTAGTCCAATTAATCCAATTAAAATTAATTTATTATCTCTGTTCGTGGATTAACCAATGATCTGATTTTTTAATACAGTATTATTTATCATATCTTTAAATTTAATTATAATATAACAATAAACAGTATTAATGAGTGATACTCTGCTAAGTTTAATTAATAATAAAAAAATGATAATTTAAGTTATAATAAAAATTATGTTATATTTTGAAAATCAATTAGTAATAAATTTCTAAATTATTTTTATTGAAACAATTTGATTAGTGTAATCAATGACTTTAACAAATTTTGTTTATTTGTTTAGTAAACTTGAAAATATTTTTAAATCTGAAGTATAATTATATAAAAAAGACAATTTTGTTTTTAAAAATAATCATACAATTTTTATGCAATAAAAACCAATTATATAATATTTTAATACAATACATTATGTTTTAATATTTTTATGGTATAAAATTTATACTTGAAAACTTTAATTGATGAACTTGATATCAATTTTGTTGTCTACCAATTATTAAGAAAAATCTAGTTTTATTTTTTATAACTTTATACTATTGTATTGATATTGAATCCTAATTTATAATTATAAAAAAATAATTACTAAATACAATAAATTTTCTCAACCCTAACGAGTGATGAATTAAAATATAATAATTATAACAAAATAAAACTTTTGAAAAATATTTGAGATATTTTATTATTTGTGTCAATTTTATTAGCGATGTATATGTTTCAATATGATAACAAATTTATCATAACATTGAAACTTAATGTATATGATATATAAATTAAAAAATTTGAATTTTTAAAAATCTAGTTTATTAATAACTTTTGATAAACAAATTATAAGTGATTAGACACTGGTTTCTGACTAATAAAAAAAATAATAATAATTATGAACTGTCTATTTTGGTCTCAAAAATTAACAAATGTCTTTGTTTTTCATAAAAGTATATAATTAATGAAATTATATTTAATGAATTAAAATAATTAATGATTTTTATTTTTTAAAATATATTATTAGAAGAGTTTAACGTTTGGACCAAACCTGAGATTAAACACATACTGAAACAAAAGGGCCGGCAATCAGATTTTGAGATCAAACACCAGTTGCTTAGCGATGACTTTCTTGAGTTAAAAGTGATGGACCAATCGGTAGAGATAAAGACTCAACAGATTATTAGTGGTAAAGTGGAAGAACTGAGAAAATGCGATGAAATATCCGATAATAATAAGCATTTGAATGGACTGAACAATGGATCGCATATCATGTATCCGCACGAAGACGAAACCAAATGGTTTTTACCGAAATGTGACCGAAAAAATGCTGAACGGCTACTCAAAGGTCGACGCGACGGGACATTTCTGGTACGAAGTTCGGCCCAATTGGAGGACAAGTATGTACTCAGTATTGTCATCAAAGGTCACGTCAAACATATAGTTATCCAGAAGTCATCTGACGGTTACTTTTTGTATAGCAATCACAAACATCCGACACTATTCAGTTTAATCATGTTTTACGCCCAACCGTTTGACTATCAAATTAATGTATCGGTCGAGTCGTGTCAAAATCTATACTTTCCTGTATTTGATTAGATTATTTTTTTTTTAATAATCAATACTTTAGTGTATCATTTTTTCCAAATAATAATTATTATTATCAAACAATTATCCAAATAATCATTAAAATGAGAAAATATATTATGTATTGAGTTTCTCTCAACATTCTATTCAACATTCAAATTATTTTTATATACCTATATATTCAATAGCTATAACAACTTTTGTAACATTACCTGTAATTATTTTGTTTTTGTTTCTAAAAGTATTGACAATTTTTTCTAATTTTAGCATAAATTACCTTTGTTACAAAATAATTTACAGTAAGTTTTTGTTTATTTTATTTTAAATCTATATATTTTAACAAACAAAACAAAATTTACGATAAAATCAAATTTTGATTAAAAATATTTGTCATTTATTAATTGCACAAAAATAAAATAATAATCAGACGAAAATATATTCAATAAATTATTTTTTAATTAGTTTTAAAAAATTAATATCTTTTATGAACACAATATGAATTAATTTAATGTATATTTGTATATAATTTCTAATCATTTCAATGTGTTGTAATGCACTGTATGTCAATTATTGTGAGTAATTTATTTTTTAATTTTAATTTACATATTAGTTATTTTTAAAAAATGATTAATTGTATTTAAGGAATTTAGTTTGCATTCAAAATGGTTTGCATTTGACAAATATATTTGACAATTTTTTGTTGTTGTTATCTGAATAATAATTACATAATTTCTTTTAAAAATATTTTAGCTTAATTTTATGTTATTTGACTACATTTTTTATATTAAAATATGTTTGTTTTTTATTGTATCCTTTTTGTTTTAAATAGACTTCAATTTAAATAATACATCTACAATAATATATATACTGTATATGTATATATATATATATAAATTATATATTTATTTAAATCATTTTCATCCAATACACTGTACACAGATGTTTGTAATATAGGCCTTTAATGATCATAATTATATATATTTTTTGTAAATTAATATTAATGTATGTATATAGACATCGTATATAACAAATTCACTATAATATACTGTATATATATTTATTTATAATATATGACACATACACCAGTTTCCCCGCAAATATTATTGAGTGACAGATACAGTATATTAGACATACAGTACAAGAGATAGATAGATTGATAAAGGATCAGTAGGTCAGGGAACTGGTGTCTGGAAATTACATCACAGTTAATATAATTATAAACAATTTTTTTATCAATAAATTATTATATTTTTCATTTAATTGTCGTGTGTTTTCACAATCGCTGTTTGTGAGAGTTTTTTTCTTAAAAATATCTTAATTTATAAATTTATATACAGATATATAACTATAAACTGAATAAACGACAAAATAATTAAATTGATATTACAATCAATCATAAAATCTACTGTATTTGTTAACCAACGATGATATTACTCTCTGTCTGTGTATTTCTATCAGAAGAGAGACTCAGCTGATCTCAACAGATGTATGGGATGTGATGGACTCCTTTGCAATCGTTTCTTTGGCAAACGCGTCAGTATTTCATATAACTTACTAAACTCTGTCCTCTCATTTGACTTAAATGACCAGCAAATCAATAATAAATCCTGTAATTTAATATAATTTAATTGTTTGCCAAATAAAGTGTTAATTTTTCTTTGGTGTTATTGTTTACCAAATATTGTCACAAACCTTGACTTCTTTAGACGCTTGAAGATTCATCAGCGATTGTTTCACTCCTTTGCCCACTTGCCATATAATCACTTCCGATGGTTGTCCCTTGAATGGCCACTCGCCTAATAGTAACTCATACCATACGGTTCTGGTTTTATACAATTAAAAACAAAATAATAATAAAAATAACAGTTTTCTTTTGTAAACTGATCTGAAAAACAAACCCAAAAGCATAGACATCGGTAGCCGTAGAGAATGGTAGTTCTTCAGTGTCCTGTTCGCTATGAATTCGTAGACTACGGACTATCTCTGGCGCCAAATAGCAGAGCCATCCTTTCGGTATTGTTAGCCAATCGCCCTTTCTGTTTGACGAAACAAATCAAACAAAAAACCAATAGTTAACAAAAATTTAATTATTTTTTCCAATAAAATTATGGTCACAAACCTGTTGCCGACACAGAGTTTAGCCACAGAAAACAGTCCGAAATCAGTTATGACGACTTTGCCGTTTTCATAGAATATGTTTTTCGATTTAAGATCTTTGTGGACAATACCGCGCGCGTGAAGATAACCCATTCCCTGACAAATCTGTTGCGCGATAGTGATTGTACGGTTCAAATTGAATTTGTCGCGACGCAGATGTATGTGTGTGTATAGTGTCATGCCTTTGCACAGTGAGGTCACTATAGCCAGATGTGGCGGTTTCATACAGGCGCCCATAAACAACACAAGATTGTCGTGACGGGTCTTGCGAAAAGTGGCCACTTCTTGTTTGAAGGATTCGATTGTTTTCTTATCATCCAAAACGTTGTTCATGTTTAACCGTTTGATGGCCACTGATCCGTGCCAATTGCCTTTGAACACAGTACCAAACCTACCGGTACCAATGGCCTCCTCGATCTTAAGCTCGTCAAACGGTATATCCCATTCGCGAAGCGTTAAACTGTTTTGTCGCGGCCACGACTTATCGTTCGGATCGAGATCCGAGGCCTGACTATCTTGACTATCGACACGTCCGGCCAAAGTTTTCTCTGAATCTGTACTACCGGAACCCGAAGTACCGGACACTGTTTTATCACTATCTGTACTCTTTTGTGTGTCAATCACTTCACTTTCACTAAATGGTTTCGTTTCTATGGTAATACTACCATCATTAGTATTAATATGATTATTATTAGTATTATTATATCCGTCACCGTATGGAATGGTTATCTCTGGAAACTGGAACTGTTGTATACGGGATGCGGACTGAGGCGTAGTCTGCGAGGATGGCATCGATGGATAGATGAGTGCTGGCGATGATGGCGTTGAGGAATTACACGACGATGTATTGGACGAGGAGTCGTGACCGGCAAATGAGGGCAGGTTTATCATGGGTTGGTTATAATGGGTCCGCTTTTTATGTACTTTGCGGCCGAGTATTTCACTTTGAGACCTCGAACTGCCGCCGCCGCCGACGCTCATGTTCGGTATGGCATGACTTAAGACGATTGGCGACCGGCGTTCTTCATTGTTGATGCTCTGCTTGAAAATGTCGACAAACTCGTTGGGCAAACCACATGAATTGGGCACTTTGTCGACACAGTCGCGATGACACCTGTATTTACACTCTTTGCACTTATAGCCGATAAACATCGGCTTTTCGCACAGATTGCACGTACTATTAATCTTCATTGTTGTACTAAACCGATGATGTATGGAATGCGCCATACCGTGCGATCGCGGACTGCGGGGCGCGACAGGCGTGTCGACAAAACAGTTGTCATGTTGCTGATCGGGACTGGCCACTGGAGGCGACCTCGACGGTGACATCATGATGGGCGACGAGTGACCTAATCCGGGTTCGGTTTGCAGCCGACGGCGGTGTGTTGTTTGGCCCAAGTTGTCTAAACTATTGTGATGATTATGCGAAGCATTGGTTATATACTTGAGTAGCACTTGACTGATTTGGTGGTCATTATCATTACCATCATTATTATCAACAAAACCACAGCAAAATCAAATATCACACGCGTTTTTTGTAGCGCACAGACAAATACACAGCCACACGCGCACACATACGCAAGTTTTTATAAATAGCAATTAAATTGGTAAAGCCATGTCATCACAAGCGGTAATTGTGGTCAATTCGGGTGCGGTTAAATGCGGTTATCAATTCAGGCAATCATCAAATCATATTTCACATTATTGTTCAAATAAGTTGCAATAATACAAAATATCAAAAAATAAAAGAGAAAAAACATGCGTTTAGATAATTGGTAAATAAATTTCTAATAATAATAATAATAAAATCATATCTCTATTTACTAAATAATTAAATTTATAAATTATTTTTAAGACGGTACTAGATATCGCTATTACATCTACGATAAAACTCTGGTAATCCACTCAGACCTACAAACTACTGGTTTAAAAAAATATTTACTAAACTACCGTAATATTGAAAGCAATTTATATGATATATCAATAAACTAATTTAAAAAAAGCAGTCTAATGTCTAAATAATTTTTGCCAAATAATAAAAAGCTATTTTTAAATATATATTTATATATAAACTATTGTCTCATACTTAGCGACCGCAGGATCTAATGGTTCGATACGATGGGCCAAATGTTCTTCATGTGACTTGCTTTTGGTCAACGGAAACGGATCGACCAGTAGATTGCGTTTCCCAGGCGGCGGTGTTGTCGGAAACTTTTGTCTTGAATTGTTTTTGTTGATTATCGGCGGCGTTGGCGGAGGTGTTGGCCGTCGACTGTCCATTGAGTTAGTGGTCGACGTCAGGTTTGAGTTCAATATATAGGAACCAGTTTGTGGAAACCAAAGTCCTGCAGATTGTGGCGGAGATAATGGACTATTGTTTTTAAGTATATCTTCCGATGGAACCGATGTTCGCATTGTTCGGTTTCTTGTAATACGTGGCGACGCCGAAGCTGAGGAAGTCATGGTGTTTGTATTGGTTGTCGACTTGGTTCTGTCCCATGAATCCCAATGTAGATCATCTAGCAGTAGCTCACCGGCCATCACCTTATCAATGGACAGCTTAAGACTCTTGAGTGCCGTCAATATTCGCCGGATCTCTTCCTCACGCGATTCATTCTCATGTAATATCTCTTTCATCTGCTGTTCTGATGACTTGAGTAACGCATCAAAAGTCATGACCCGATTGCATATCACCTGATAAATCGATCAAATGATATCATAAAAAACATGATAATTGCAATTAAATAATGAGTTGAAATTTCAACAAACATTGATAGATCTGTCGCTTAAACCGACAATCCTAAGCCATTGTCTCAGATGTGGATATGGCTTGAGTTCAATTATCTCATGACTGCCGCGACACTTGCGTTTGGCCGCCAACTGTCTGCTAAATAGTTTGACGAGTTTTGACTGCAATGGATGAATGAAAAATATGAAGAAACACATAATGACTAAAACATAAGACATAAAAATTTGGTGCCAAATATTTAGGTCATACCTCGAGAGTGCGGATCTCGTTTTGGGTCAACTCGGCGGTGATCGAGCACTCAGTACGAAGTCCTTCCAAATGTTTGGCATTGATGTCGATCATGGCCTGAATGGCCAGACAGTTGTCGATAGTCTTGCGGACGCAATCATCAGTGGTGTTATTCATCGATCGACAATCATTGATTGACATCATGGTTTGTTTTGTATGTGTGTGTGGATCAGCTTAATCTGTTAATATGTTATCTGATCTCAGAATTTGTAGAGTCATATACACAGCACTCGATGGTCACTCACATTATGGTTTGGTATCGTTTTCATCTTAACTAATGATTATTGTTATTATTATTATAAAATTATAAATAACTAATTATATATATATAATAATAATAATAATAATAATAATAATAATAATAATAATAATAATAATAATAATAATAATAATAATAACTAAACCGATTGTATTATTATTAATACTTCCATTAAATTTTGATAACCGATTTGATTGCACTAAATATTATGGTTTAATAGCCATCAGAGAGACTCTGTTGTAATAATACTGTATTAATACATATTATACTACTGTTAGTGTAATAACAACTCTACAGTACTGTAGAGTACGGCTTATAAAAATGTATAGCAATAGTAATGTAATGTAAAGTAAACCAATCAATACAGTAATGTCACTGAAAAATAGTGTGAGAAAGAGAGTCAGTGAGTGAGTCAATGGGGAGAAAGAGAGAGAAAGAGAGAGAGAGAGAGAGAGAGAGAAGAGAGAGTCAGTGAGTGAGTCAATGAGGAGAGAGAGAGAGAGAGAGAGAGAGAGAGAGAGAGAGAAGAGAGAGAGAGAGAGAGAGAGAGAGAGAGAGAGAGAGAGAGAGAGAGAGAGAGAGAGAGAGAGAGAGAGAGAGAGAGAGAGAGAGAGAGAGTCAGTGAGTGTGAGTGTGTTTTTTGGACGCCTTGTCTGTGATGGACGCCGACGCTCGACAGGTATAGACGCCTGAAAATAAATGGGCACAGACTGTATTTTAGGTGAACCCCCCCCCCCCCTATATAATTGTGTGGTGACAGTGACCCCCAGAGTTATTAATTTTTCATCATTTATATATATATATTTATAAACTAATTTCTACACTATTTTAAGTTTATAATTTGTTTGTTTTGTACATTTTGTTGTTAAAAAATACAAACTATATATTACTTAAATGATTTGATGTATTATTGTTTTACAATACTGTATACAAATTGTAATACTAGACTACAATTAACAATTACAAATGAAACCAAAACAATAAACTGCACTATAGTTGCATAAAAAACATGATCTAAATATATAGACTGCACCCCATGTACTGTACATTTTAGTTTACATAAATTTTAAAAAAATTTATTATTGTTTTTTATATTTCATTGAAACCATACCAGAAAATCTATAAATAAAGTTATAAATATAATAACAATTATTATTAAATGAAAATTCCTGTAATATTCTAATATTTTTGTGGCTATTGATCACTAAATTAAGTAATAATTGAATATTTTTGTTTATCAATTATTTATCCATGAGTTTTGCAATCATGTTTAGCAATATATGTATATTTTTATATTTAGTTAATTTTCAATTTTCCCCCAAATAGCTAAAATAAATGCATATAATTGCAAAGTCAACAATAATTGTTCATTTATTTGTTTATTGTTTTCTAAAATTAATTTAAATTATCTTATTATTGTAGTAAAAATAAATGCAATACACACTCAATTAGTTCCCTTAGTATTAGTAGTATACTAGTAGTTATATACTAAACTAATGATATTTAAATTTAGTTTATATTTGCTTTTATATTTTGTTCACTGAATACAAACACACAGAAAAAGTCATAATATGTCAGTTATTTAGCTAATAATAACGAGAAAAACATTGTTATAGTATACTATATATATATACACATAAACTTTATATTGTGTGCTAAATATAAGTCCGATAATTATATTTTGCCATTCAATATGTTGTTTCTCTCATTTCAATTTTATGATAATTATATTAATAGCTATAATAATAAATTATAGTTAATATAGTAGTAATAATAATACTGGAATTAATATGTATGTATGCTTGGTCTGTGTGTGTGTGTGTGAGAGAGAGAGAGAGAGAGAGAGTTAAAAAATTCCTAAAATAGGAATAAAGTGGCGAATTCACTGCAAAATCAAACATAAATATATGATAAATATATGACAATACAATATATAGCATTTTACATATAATATGCACGAAATTTAATATATATTATACAGTGTATGTATCTGTACAATGTGTATATAGTACTGGATATATATAGTATATAAGTTATGCTAGATTGAAGAGAGAGAGAGAGAGAGAGAGAGAGAGACCCGTAAAAAATGTAAAAGACATTAAAACTTAATACAAAAATCAATAGAGCAGTGAAGGGCTATATTTAAATTGAATGCCATTATATATATATAATGTATATATACTATATATCCCTAGGAATTGATAGGACAGGGATGAGCAGCCAATTCACTCAACTTACAGTATAAGAGCTTTTTTAGTAGGAGTTATTCAATTCCCATGCGATTCCCAGCGAAAAATTCAATGCATTTTATCGATTTGAATGTTCAATGTCACGACACCCCCGTACGCCCCCAACCCATGCATCGCATGCACTAACACACACATACACACACCGCTACTACAATACACTATCAGATATACTATCTGATCGAGAGCTGCATTATTGATTCTCTATGCCCTCAACAGGCATACACATGATTATAATATATATACTACTGTACTATATATCCATATTTATATATATGCGCGCACTCTAACATTTTAACCTAACCGGCCAACAAACCCGGATACCCTACAATGATTTTTTATTTAAAAAGCATCCCGTTGACATCGCTAGTAAATATAAAATAATGAATCCAGTGAACAACTCTATAAAAAAATTCTCCAATATTCTAAATGAAATTAATATATATATATATATAAAATTATATTACGAATTGCTGAGACGACAACAATGTAATAAAAGTCCTATTCATTAACTAAGTTATCATATTTAATGCTTACAATGACTGTAAAGCTTAGACTCTAATTGTAAATATGATAACTTAGTTAATGAATAGGACTTTAAAATTAACATGTATTATTATACATTGTTGTCGTCTCAGGATATTGTAAAAAAATTTTATTTATATATATTTAATAAGCTCTATAATTCACAATCAGATTCTAATTGTAAGTGTCTGTAAATAATTTTCATTATTTACTAAAACCAATAGTGATTTTTTGTTGTTGTGATAATTAGTTATGTTATATGTGAACGTCTGATATGTATTGCATAATATTATATAATAGTCGATAGAATTAGTTATGACGTTAATACCAGACTTGCAATTGAAAGTCAATTAGTCAATGCTATAGTGACACCAACAGAATGCCTAAACTTTTAATACATTAAAATAACGAATTGTTTAATACATATTAATTTTGTTTAGTGTTAACAGATTAGAGCAATATTAGTCAGGATTTTCAAATTATCATTTAAAAAATAATTTAATTGTGCAAAAAATTAAAATGGCATATTTTCTTAATATTATATATTTTAATGGCAATTCAAATTTAAGTTATCCAAACAAATAATACAATTGGACATCTGACAACTTCATAATTCTAAATAAATTTTTAACTTCAAAAAACTGTTGTTTTTTTTATTGTGAAACACTTATTAAACACAAGTCTAATACAGCCGTATGTATCATACGGTATGTCTGTGTTTGTCTATACATAAGAGTATTACTGTATTATTATATTTTTATTAAACACACTGTGTATTACATACACACTCTATATGTTTACCAATGCTTTAGCATTCAATGGCAATGATTAGTATAATACAGTAGTTGTAGTACTGTTTGAATGTTTCAAATCAAACACTCATCTAATGACTGATTGAATGAATAGTATTAATTTAATGTGTATTTTATTTATATGTTTTATAGTTATAAACGTAATATTAAAAAATAGTAGGCATTGAATATTAATACACTGATTGTTTGATATGACATTCAATAATAATAATCACTATTTATTATATAATACACTATTAATAATACAGACTGACTGTACTGTACTGTAGTATTGGGTATTAATATCATATAAGGCTTACAGTTGTGTTGTATTTCTCATAATTGATTGACATTTGAGAGAAACGATAGATTCAATTGATTTGATTGTCTTACGTGTCGTTAAAGGAGAAAAAGAGAGAGAGACTGGTGTTAGTGGTGATCACCATTGATCCGACCAAATATCATACTCAGACATACATATCTGGACACGAAATACTTGATGTCAAACAGAAATGTCCGATAATTCGGCTACCATTGAGACCGTTCGGGACGAATGGAAAGTACTGACCGACGAGTATCACACTCTAGAGGTATGACTTTTAGAGGCAGTTATTATCTGATTGTTGTTCAGATCCATACTGTTGTATCTGATATAATGTTTCAGTTATTTTGTTGTTAACTAAATGCTAATGATTTTGTTGTTGTTATCTGTGAATCAATTAAAAGGAAAGTCACAAATCGTATGTGAATTCAATCACAGAGTTTACCAAATTGCAGAACAAATGTCTCAAAGATATCAATCACCAGAAGTACCGGTTAAGTCAATTGAGACAATCGATTAAAAAGTATAGGATATTATTGAAACAATTATCGTTTTTGTAATTTTAATTTAAGATTGTTTTTGTTTGTCTGTCTTCTCGATATGATATCAGATGCACGACGACTACTGACGAAGAGAGTCAACTACGGGACGATATAGTGCGCCAAATGGACAGTCGTGCGGCACACGTGCGCGATATTAGACAGTCGTTACCGCAACCTAATGGTCTCTATTTGAATATTGTATTGGGAAATATCAATTCAACATTACTAGACAGTGAACAACGATTCAAATACAAGGAACAGTACGAAATGTTCAAATTGGTGGTTACGTGTGTCATATTAGTGGTCAGTGCAATGGATCTGATTTTTCAATCGCGGTATAAAACATATAGATATTAAGATATCTTATATTAAATTGATTGATATCTTTTGCAGAGTATGCGATGCGATTCTCCATTTCCTTCTTGTTTGGTACCACTGCACGCTTACCATCCGTGAGAGCATATTAGTGGTCAACGGTTCACGAATTAAGGGCTGGTGGCGGACATTGCAYTTTCTGACCACTATTTTGGCCGGTGTTATGGTTGTCTGGTATGTCTATTATGTATTTTTTATTTAAAAATTGTTGTAACCATTAGGACATGTGACACATAAGCCTTCACATGTGTGATACTTTGTTATGCAATATGGTATACATGTGTGTAGTCTATGTATTAATAAGATTTTGCTTATCATTACGAGTACTTTATTGTAGTTTTTTATATAAAAAACTTTGTACTCATAATCTCGCAAATCATTGGTGACATTATATTAATTGTATTTATAGTACAGTAGTTTTTATAGTTACTATCTATAGAAAAGATGGTATTTTTTCCTAAATACAAATCAATGTCTATAATGATTTACCGCCATATACTGTGTACTGCATTATATTGTAAATTTAGTATACATTAGTATAAATTACACGTACCGGTAGTATATTAACTTATAGTATAGCAATATTTATTTATAAACATTACATAATTAACATATTTATACTGTTTGCTTATTTGCTATTTTATTATTACGGTAATGTGAATATAATTAGAAACTATATATATTTGTTATAAGTTATAACATAATTATAACGGGAGGGGGGAAATATTTTTCAGAAAAGTTGATATATAAATATTACTGAAAATTATTTATTAAAATAAACTAATAACTAAAGTATTTTTGTTGATTAACTAAAAATGTTAATTATAAAAAATGTGTTTATTTTTTTATTTTTGGGTTTTAGTGATTTACTAGAAAAATAGTTTCATAATTATTATTATGAACTTAAATATACTGTATATAAATATTATTTATTTATATTTTATTAGAACGTAATGAAAATATCTCAAAAATATTAGGCAAAAATTTTTTGACACAAAAATTGGTTTAATAAAAGACAAGAATTCTAGGAATTTGATGACATTTAAAAAATCAAGAGTTGTTTTATCAATAATATGCTTACATTTTAGTAGTGAAATTAAAAACTTAATTTAATTACAAACAAATATATATATATATATGGAAAGTTATATTTAGATATAACTAGTATTTTTAAAGCTAAAACTTGTTTACAGTATTTATATGAATACATCAAATTAATCTTTAATTAGTCTGAAAATGTACTTAAATTTGTATTACCAGACGATTTACAGTTATTTACGTTAATATTAATTAATTTTTGTTTATTTRTTTTTTGAACGGTGTTACCACCCGATAGGCCCGACGGCTTAATTTACAACAAATTTCGTGTCCAATTTGTCTGTTATATATGTTACTCAAGTTTTCTGCAATTTTTACAATATTACTACCAATACGGTTGTCTATACCGGTTGCGAGCACTGGGCGAACGGTACGACATGGACATCACGATCCAAGGTTTTCACTCGTGGATGTGGCGCGGACTGGGATTTTTATTGCCATTTCTCTATTTTGGTTATCTGTTCCAGTTCTACAATGCCTATACTCTCTACAATATGTACAAATACGATCCCATTTGTGTTGAATGGCAGGTGCCAGTGGTTGCCGTCCTATATTTTGTCATATTTTTAGGTAATACTATGACCACATTTTTGGTGATCCATCAGAAACTGACCGGAAAATCCAAAGTGAAACCAAAGCTGACATAAAATTATTTTTTATTATATAAACAAACAAAAAAAAAGTTTATTATACAAACAAACAAACAAAAAGTTTTTATTTACAAATTGATATTTTTATTGAAATTATTATAAAATATTTTTTGTTTCTTTGGTCGTTGTTAACGAATTTATGCATTTTAAATGATGTCATTATATATATATATATATTATATATACAGTATATTTACATAAATTTATATTTATATAAATACTATTGTACTGTATAAGTTTATAAATGATATAACATTATTATCTAAATAGATGTTAAATAATTTTTTATTTTCAACAAATATAAATTTGCATTTTATGAAGGTTGTCCGCTAACAAAAATAAATAAATGTTTACTATTAATAGTTATAATTTTAAAAATTTATAAATTTACACTAGATCATAGTTACATAAATTGTTTAATTAAAATTAATATATACCGGTACTTTAAAACTTATTTTAGACAAATAAAAAATTATTAAATGTTGAGCCAATACATTACACAACTTTTGTTATATAAAATAAAAAGTTAATTAATTTTTTGATATATCGGTACAATACAATGTTTTTAAAAAGATTCTAACAGTAATATATATTTACATTTTAATAAATTAATGTTTATACAGAAAATAAAATTTTTTGATTAACAAAAAAGCAAACTATAATTTTGAATATTAAACTGAGTTTACACTAAAAACAATGACAATTAGATCAGATTAGCCACCAATAGTAGTATAGTCGTTGTAGTGCTAACAACATTGGCTGGATATGTGTTATAACTAGTGTCTTGATTTTCAACTAAAAAAATTATTTTGTCGGTTCAACGCTTATAACTGGGACTTAGTATGTCCACCGAACTTGACCAGTGGACACTATTTCCGAAATTTTATTATAACTATAAATAACTATTTGTTAGGTTAGCAACTATAAAAACTTATAAATAATTATTTCATTGATTTTGAAAAATATAAGCATTAAATTGTAAAATTAAGTACAAATATATGTAAAAACAAAAAGTAATAATTATATAAATTATATAAAATGTGTAAACTGTTATCAACTCATATTACTTTTTTAACAATAGAAATAATTAGTTTATTTATATAAATCATTTTTGTAAATATGCTGCAAACAAATGAATATATATCAGTTGAAATATTTATAAAAAAATAAATAACTATTTCAATAACTATTTGACTTTTTTAAGCAACTATTATAACAACTATTTAATAGAGTATAAAAAATTATTAATCAATACACTAATTATAACGAACCAAACAACACATTTGGTACCGGATTTAGACTTAAGTGCCAAACACTTGCTCTTCGATGGTCTGAATCCGCGCTCTTTCATTTCCCTATCATATGCCGGTAAAGTTTGATTAGGACAGTCGGGTTTATATTGAAAATTGATTGCTAACTAATATTATTGGTATATACAGTAGTACTGTATGTTTGTTTTTACCAAATATTGTATATACCGGATAGTACTGTATTAATAATACTATTTGCACGTCAAATGACTCGATTGTATTCACATTATAGGTTAAAAACTAATATCAACTATAATATGACTCTCCACACCACCTCTAACTAATACACTACTATCTAATTCCATTCACCATCATTTCCTAACCTCCCACACCCTACCCTACCCACACCCAAACTAACTGAGATATAATTTTTATGCTTTGAAAAACAATTTTAATGCTTTTATATTATACTTTAAAAACATTATACAAAACGAATCCCTCTAAAGTTAAGTAATGTCCAGATATTGTGTGGATTCTATATTCCAGTTCCCAATTGGTTACCTGTTGTCCACCATATCATACATTAAATTATTAAAACTGTTGACAATTAATCAAGGTCGATTGCAAGTTTGGACACATAAGATAAAAGTCGTTTTTTAAATAAAAAACATTTCTTTGGGTTCTAAAAAGCATTATTTATTAAAAATAAAAGTCTGGAAACACCTATAAATCAGCTCAAATCTATCTTAACATACCTGACATATACATAAACATAGCATAATATAGCAAACTTTAATAATAATAATTAATAAACATTAATATAAGCGCGTGAATATTACAAAAGATAATAGTTTTGAGTAGGTTTTACGTGTTTTCGTACTTTTATTTTTAATAAATAATTTTTTTTAAGACCCAAAGAAATGTTTTTTTTGTTGAAAAAACGACTTTTAGCTTTAGGCGACCAAAAGTCAATTTAGCCAAAAATGATTTGTTTTTATGTTAACTAAATTTGTTAAATAATTGCAGTAATTTGATTCATCCACACACTCAGTGATGTATAAAAATACTTTTTAAAAATGGTAAATAAAATTTATTTGTTGCTAACGTGAATAATTGCGTAAATTAATCCAATTGATTTAACGCGCGTGAGTCTATAGATATTAAACGTGTTATTATAACAATTATTGGCTAAAGTTCGTTATATGTAACCCATTTGTTGTTGAAATTTCACGCGCGTTGTTATAACCATTAAGTTTATGACAAATGCTATCAATTACTTTAGGTTAGGTTAGGTTAGGTTGGGGTGGGTGTAGAGGGTTAGGAAGTGGCGTATGTGGAGGGAAGGAACGGGAGGTGAGGGCTGGTATGTAAAACTTGTTAAATTGTCATTTTATTAGCGTTTAAAACTTGAACAACAAATGGGTTACATATACCGATTCTGTTCCCAATTATTAATTATATTTAGGCTGTCAATAAAATTTAGACATTTTTTGTTAAATCAAACAAACATCAAGAATTAAATTATAAAAACCTCGATTTTTTTTATTTTAAATTATTTCATATTAAAAAATTAATTAATTATATTAGATTTTTTTGTTAACTTTATATAAATAAATAACATTATTATTATTCAAAATAACATAAATAAAACAATTCGTAATAATATCAGTTTTACAGTATAAATATATATAATTTACATAACAATTAAAAATCTCATATTTGTAATCAATTATTGAGACATAAGATATTTGACATCCGGATCTACTATTGTACTGTTATCGTCGATACCAGTATTGTATGGCCGAGTGTTTGACGCACAGGAAGGCAACGAGTGTATGGACGTATCAGATGGACTACGAGATCTGTCCACTAAAATAAAAATTTAAATAAATAAATAACCGGTAATTAATAATTAATTACTATTATAGTAAAATTTTTGTAAATTTTTATTGTTTTATTTTGTGATTCAATTCATCAAAAAAATATATCGTGTAATTCATAGAAATAATTACGGTAATAGTTAATTGTTATAAGTTTATATATTTATCTATTTTTTAAAAATATAGTGTCAACAATAAAATGTAGTTTTTTTGTATATTATTTTAAAATCCTATCCTACGGTTCCTATTTTTTAAGTACTGTATTAATACTAATTATCACTTATGGGAAAATCTTTATTGTCTTAAGTGTCGACTGTTTTTCTCTATTAGCCATACCTTGTATTTGTATTTTGCATTTGTCTTTGTCGACGACAATGTACAGCGATGTATAGAGAAAGGCTAAGCCGCCCAACACTATGACAAATGGTGTCAGATATAGGGCGTACTGTAGACTCCAGAACTCTGGTGTATCCCATTTGGGGTTCTTAAAGGTATCCATCAGCTAAATGGATGATTTTAAATATATTTTATATAATGTTTACAATTAAAACAGATATATAATACATACTAATCCGATAACAAAAGGACTGCTGGCGTCGCCAAACAAATGCGAAACCAATATTTGCAACGATTGGGCAAATGATCGTCTATTGGGTGTTATCACATAGAGTAGCATATCTGCCACAAGTGACCAATTGGTGCTCAACAGTGTTATGCTGACGAATACAAAGAAAAATGCCGCCGCCTGTGATGAGTGGGCAAACGTAATTGTTATAAATATCGGTGGCACTGCGGCCAATGCACCGATGGCGCAGACAAGCGGATCGGCGCGCGGATTAAATCTCTTGTAATACTGGGAACCGCCGGCGCCCATAACCACACCTAGTATTCCGCCGATGCAGGCAATGACGCCAAATATAAGGCCAATCCTATTAAAATAATTATTTTCAGAAAATTTATGTCAAAAACAAATTATCGGACAAACCATCCGTCAGATTTTGGATTTTTATCGGCCGTATAGGCGTACGCCATAAATGTTGGCGCCCACCAACTCAGAGCACCCACAGCAAAACAGACACATGTAAAGCCAACTGTTGACCACAAATACGATGGCACTGTTAGCAGATATCGGATGTCATCCATAACTTTGGTTTGTTCGCATTGTTCGGTAATGCCTTCTGATTCGCCTCTTTTAGGTTCGCGGACAAAAAAGTAGATCATTGCCGTACACACGATACCCAAAACGGGCGTTACCCGCAAAGCGTCCTTCCAGTTGCCGGTAATTCCAGCCACTCCTGTACCGACAATATAGCCAAGTCCCGAACCAACGGGAATAGCAAAGTAGAAAATTGCCAACATTTTCGATCGCATGACCGGCGCAAACAAGTCGGCAATAATGGTCGGCGCTATTGTCGAATAGCTGGCCTCACCCACGCCTACCAGTGCGCGCAATAGGAAAAACATTGGCGTCCAGTTTTGCGGTACAAATGAACCGATAAAAGTGGTGACACTCCAAAACAGTATACCGAAAATCATTATCAATTTGCGTGAATAACGATCACCCAAATAGCCGAATAATGGGGCAAAGATCATATAGCATACGATGAATGATGTCTGCAATAGACCCGACTGGCCGTGAGATAGGGAATAGTAGGACTCGATCTTTGAAAGTACGCCCGCAACCGTAAATCTATCCATATAGTTGAGCAAATTGATGACAAACAATATGGCCACCGATATGTATGACTTGGTCGGCACCGTCATTGTGACTGTGGGGATGGTTGTCGCCGATTGGCCAGTGGTGTCAATTGGTTCGTAACTGTTGGACATACACCAGTATTGCCGATAGCACGGGTGATGAGTTTTTGTGATTTAGACAATTGGTATGACGACCACAGCTGGTCAGGAGCTGACAGTAAGACAATATAAAATGATTGGTATCAACTGTTATCGGTCAACGTATCCGACGGTCACAAACACTCATTGTTGGCCACAATCTCGCGGCTAATAATGTGATACTTAATGTATGTTTACATTGACTGACAAAAACTGTTTGCAAATAAAACATATGATTTTAGTCTCACAATAGTTAACGTCTAGTTATTTACAACATTAGTATAATATTGTAGTGAGAGTTGATTGAAGTTAAATGAAAAAAATCATTGAATACAATGATAATACAGTACAGTATAATTTTGATGTCTAAATGCTAGTAATAAATTGCCTAAACTTGATATTATTTAATTTTTGATAATTATTTTTTATAGTTATCTAGCTTATTATCAATTATTAATATCATCATCAATTCAAAGTTCATTAATTGTCAACTATTATATATTTTACACTACAGTAGTACTTTAGATATTGAATGACTGATAACTGTTTTAAGAAATATGTGTAATAATAAAATATCGATAAACTATAATATACACTAATCCAGATCAATTAAATCACTAATTGTTTATAAATAAATTATTATATAGTCAATTGAGTAATACTTAATACTATGATAATAATGTTTTTTTCTCAATTAAATTAAATTAATATATTTAATAAGTTATTTAATGTTTAATAATATATTATAAAATACGGTAAAAGTTAATAACTATTGAGTTTTTAAATGAGATAAATGTCGTAATACTTTATTAAATATGATTATAATAAAATATTATCAACAACAAAAATATATTACTATAATAGTAGATATTTTTTTAATAAAATAATGACGATTTTTAATTCATCAAAATTATCTTGGTCAATTTATCCAATATTCATCAAATAGTTTTTTTTATACTCAGACTGTACTTTATATCTATAGTTAATTGTAGAATAAATGGATAATAATAAATATCATATTATTAAAGGAAATATCAGATATATTATACCGATATAAATATTATTTAAAATTACTTATTTATATTAGTAATAAACAGTACAATATATCAAAAGTATAGTGTATTGGTATTAATTAATTTTAATAAATTATAAATTTATGACTCATTAGTAATTTGATGACACATAGGTATATACCCCAAACCCCATACCCAAACCCCATACCCAATACCCCATATCCAATACCCCATATCCAATACCCCATATCCAATACCCCTACAGTTATACGGTTACATACATTAAAAATTGTTGATTACATAATATGTCTTTATCTAATATTGCCAGCAATAGTATGGCTGTCAATATCAGTGATTGTCAATTAACTATCACCGAACTGATTGACCAATTGGTCGACAATGATGACCACAACAACAACCAACAGTTATCTCAAGTGACACCACCGCAAGTGTGCGATGACGACTGGATGAAAAACTTTATGCAAGAGTTATTCAATTTTGATTTCCAATCGGATGAATTGATCCAATTGTTTGAACAATTAGCTTATCAGGGATTTGATTACAAACAGATGATAACTCAAATGAAACGAAAAGCCGGTCAGTCAGTCAAGAATAATGGACTGTTTCGTAGACATCTGTTTCTGATGGCATTGTCTTACATGCAATGGGGTCCGTCACTCAACAGATGTATCAATAGAGCACCCGATAAGGTGGCAAAGTTTCTCAAAGATTGTCGCCATAAGTATGGACTCCAACCTAGAGTTCGTGAGAGAAATACACCGACATTGACTCGGGTGGCAATAATCAGCTCAGCAGTACTTAACAAATATGTTATGACCCAACACGCCAATAATAAACCAATAGATGCGCTAATAACACCAATGGTCAACAGTGTGACCAATTTCCCGACGGCTTTTCATAATCCGACGTTTGCTAATCTGATACCAAGAAATGAGATCAAATGTTATACGGCGTTCGTGTCGTCAATAAAAATATGGGACCGACTTTCTAATGATAGGTTGGATAAGCAAGAGTTGGCCAAAAAAGTCGAAACATATCAGAGAACTGCGTGGGAGGGCTCGCTATTTAACTCCGACAATAGAAAGGAGGCGTTCAAAGTGGCAAAACTTGATCCATCGGGCGATCAAAGACTTACTGATGAACAATGGGATTCATTGGACAAAGAGTTAAACATAATTTGGACTAATATGACCTAAACTCTTGTATATAAATTATTTTTTTAATAATTAAAATAATTTACAATTAATAATTAAATGATCATAATTTTTCATAATACTGTATAATTAATATAATTATCATAAGTTATTAATTAAAATTCTTAACAAATTGCAAAATAAGTTTCTACTAATTTCTAAAAAAATGTAATAATTTATAAAACATTAATAAAATTGATAATAAAAACAAATAAAATTTACATAAATTTATAGTAGTTTATTTAGATATGAAAATTAGCAAATTTGACAAATAATGGAAATATATGTATAAAACAAATTATTGATTAAATAATATGATTATAATATTATAGTAATTGATATAATATATGATTGTTAGACAACAATTCACGGCCATTGTTCCGAACTATGACCGCATTCATCGCATATTTTTACATCAGTTTCTTTAGTCTGCAATTTGGGATCACATTCATTGGCCATCAAATTGATAGCGGTTTGATTGTCCTCCAAACTGTCACCACTATCTTCTTCATCGTCCAATTCAAACAATTTAAGTGTCGGCTGTTGTTGTTGTTGTTGTTTGTCTGTCAGATCCAGATCTTGTGGTCCATGATATGCTAATAGACCTGATTCTGGCAATTCTTTCTTTTTTGATGGACTCTTCACATTAATGACCACTGTTTGTACTTTTGTTTTGTATTTTTTGACGACCACTTTATTTGATCGCTTCTTCTTCTTTGACAACATAAAGTATAACACAATAATAAATAGGACACAAACGGACACAAATAGTATCGATGATAACATGAGTGCAATGATACCGATCTGTGATACCATTTTTGTTGGTCAAGTGATGATCACCACTAACTGTTCAATCAGTTTATATAATGTAAATCAATTATATAACAGTTTAATGTTTGATATCTGTCCTATTACTACACAATTTAAGTAGAAGTTTGACTACAATTAATTGACAAATAATAAATAGATTTGAATTTTTAAATATACAAAATCAAAAATTATAATACAATTATATTCAACAATCAATAGACAACAATTGGCGCGTTTGCTAACTCATACAAAATTTCATAATTGACACATTGATAATAATTTAAAAATTTAATTAATTAATCTTTTCTCTCATCTATAGATTTACAAATAATTTATTTTTGTATTATTAATGTGTAATGTTTGTGTATTTAAATAAAAAAATATTGTTCAAAAATAGTGAGAGAAAACACGAGTCATTAAAGCACGCGCTAAAACAATAAATCTATAAATTTAATCTAACAATTCAACAAATAATACTTTAATTTTAATGATTATAATAAACAGTTATCTATATTCACAGATATAATATACAGTATATTATTATCAATAAATGAGACAATGAGTAGTAATATTAGTGTATCTCATGAGGGACTCAAAGTGTTGTCAAAGAGAGGTTATAAAAACTTTGCAAAATTGGATTCCGGAGGTCAGGGAAATGTGTATAAGACCAGCAAAAATGATATACAATACGCCTGTAAAGTGATTAAAGTCGACAATCAGACCAAAGACGGCAAAATGGACGACGACTCCAAACGAGAGATATCTATATTGAAAAACCTGAAGCACTGCAACTGTATTACTATTGTCGATCTGTTCCGTACCAAACATAAGGTCTACATAATGATGGACTTTATGCCGAACGGTACGATCGGGTCGTATGTACGCCATAACGATGGTATCAGCGAATGGCAGGCAAAATGTTGGTTCTGTCCGATTGCCAGAGCAGTCAGATATCTTCATCAGCATCGGGTGGCCCATCGCGACATCAAACTGGACAACATATTGCTTGACAAACACTGGAACCCTGTGCTCACGGATTTCGGTTTTAGCCGATTTGTGAACATTGGTCGCGACAATATTGTCGACCTGTCCAACACCTATTGCGGTACTCCGTCTCATAATCCGCCAGAAATTGTCAACAAAAGACATTACGATCCGTTCAAAGCTGATGTCTGGTGTCTGGGCGTCAGTCTCTATATTATGATTAATAAGGACTATCCGTTTGAGAAGAAAGATCGCCGCAAAATGTATGACCAACAGCTTAAACGACAGTACAAACTCCGTAATGAAGTCACTAATGTAATCACTGAAGACCTCAAGAATCTCATACATCAGCTTCTGGAGCCAATTCCTAAAAAGCGTATAGATATTGATAATGTGTGTCGACATCCGTGGTTTCCCATCGATTCAATTGATTCACAATATGCCCAACAAATTGACAGAAATTAATGTATCACTAGTTTTATATTATATATAAAATTATAAATATTAATATATAGTTTTATTTAAATAAAAAATATTTGTTGATAATAAATAAATATTTTTCTTTTGATAATTAAAAAAAATTGTTATACATTATTACCATTTTATGATAAAACAAATGCAACCTATATTTTGAATTAGATTACAAATTAACAGTAACTATGAATATATAAAAACTATGATATTATTTAGTATTTTTATGTTTAGATAATTAAAAAAATTAATTATCTAAAAAATCTATTGTAATAAATATAATTCTTTCTATCTAATTAATATCTAATAATTTTAATTTAATTTATTATCATATTATAATTATTTCACAGTAAAAAAAGCATTTACTAATAAATTTTAACCCCAAATAATTCATTTTTCTCGATATTATTTATTACATCACAAAAGTGACTGAAAAAATAAAAAACATTTTTTAGACTTGTAATATATACATAATATAGTATTTTAATATATATATATATATATATATTGAAATTATGCCAAAATATTTACCACAAAGAGCTACTAAAACACATCCACATTAACAACTCATCTTAAAAAGATTGGATCAGATTCTGCGCTCAAGAATGGCATCTAATTCTCTCTTTTTCTCTCATCTGAGAGGTTATCATTTGAATCAGTTTTTTAAAAATATTTAAGAGACAAAGTAGTGGTAAATATAACATACAATATAAGTTTTTTTAGTTAATTATAAGCATTGTTTTATTTACCCAACAATTTCAGACAATAAATTATATTGTTATTAATCCTATAAATAACAACAATTTTTGATAATATATATTGTCATAAATTTCATTTGAATAAAAAAGCTCATCTCCTTTTTTTATTACAATATTATTACTAAAATAATTTTTTTTGTTTTTCAAATAGTTTGTGATGATTATATAATAGACAACAAAATTTTTAATATTTTTAAGTCATGTAATATATAATTTTATTTATGATATTTAGTATTATACTATTATTTTTTAAAATTTTGTGATAAATTATGGCCAAAAAGTTTACGAAAGCCACCCGTGAATTTTTAACAATAAATCCGTCGGATATACCGGGACTGGTGATACTCGACCCGAGACAGTTCAGCAGACGAGTGCTGACCATTGATAATAAGTCAAAGGTTGTCGAATTGGCCGTAAAGGTTAAGGAGTTTAGTGAAAAATGGTTTTCYCATGTCTTGCTGTTGGCTTTCCTATTGTTATACGCCTGTATCGGTGCTTGGATTTTTGAGTCGGTCGAGGGTGGGTTTGAACAACAACAAAATGTATGTATTTGTTTGTTCACAACATTTAACTAAATGTGTAGTTAGTCTATACAGTGACTGTATTTGTTGTACAAAAAAATTAGGCCGAAATCCGCAAACTACGCGAACCCGTTACTCAATTTAAGAATAATCTGACCAAACGTTTGTGGAACGAGCGAATCAAATACCCGATGCCCGGCGATGGCTGGGAATCCATGGAAATGGATAGTCGATGGCTGGCATTCATGGAGAAACAGTTCCAATTGTTTGAGACACAGGTAACCTATACTTGCAAACGGGGTCTCGATATGGGTATAGCAAACGATGTCGAGACAAACAAATGGACATTCATGGGCGGTATGTTCTTCAGTATGACTGTCTTCACCACAATAGGTTAGTTTATAATTTAATTACTGACTAATTATTAACTTAAAAAATTAATAAATAGTAAATTAAAATACTAAATTATAAAATTAGATTAAAATATCAAGCATAAATTTGGAAACTATTAATAAATTAAATTATCAGTAATTTTTTTGGGGAAAAAAATGTTAAAATATTTTAGAAATTTGTTTGCATTTATTTATAAATTTTATTTATTTTTTATAAATATATTTTGACTTTATGATGAGTTATATCAGATAAAAAATAATTATTTAATTATTATTTCTAAGTAATTTACAAATTTACTGTTATGATAACATTTATTATTATTATTTTWGACGAAAGTTATAAACATAAATGTGTCAAAAAAATTCAATACTTATTATAAATATGTTTATTCAAAAAGATTACACATAAATTAGTTTTTTGAAATGTTGAGCAAATATTAAATAATAATAATAATAATATTTTATTAACATATTATTTTTAACGATAATAATACATTAGGCGTTGTTCACATATTACGTTCGCACTTTTTAAGAAATCTAGACCCCCTCCCCTATGTTCGCAATTGTTCGCATGTAGTCATTTAAAAAAATACGTTCGCATGTCCCTAACCGCTACCACCCCCCCCCACTACAAGAAATAAAATATTATCTAAATGCGAACGTTCTTAAAGACTATACCCTCCCCTCCCCCTCGTTCGCAAAAGTTCGCATAGCTAACCCCCCTCCCATCAAGTGCGAACGTAATATGTGAACCACGCCTTATTACAAACACAGCAATTAATCATTAATATATTATAGTTAAGTAAATATACAATACGTTATTGTAATAAATAAAGTCAGTTAAGTAGTACTTATTGTATATAAAAGTTTTGATATTAAAAGTCAATATTATTATTATTATTATTTATTTAAGCTATGAAAAGCATGATTTCCAACTAAAATTAAAACAACAATTTTAAAGAGGATTTTGTAAACGTTAGATATTTTAGATTTTGTTTTAAAAATAGACATTAATTTCTGAATTTGTCATTTAGTTAAAAAAATCGTTTCACTCATTATTAAGTGACAATGAAATTCATGAAATTGTGTGTCTATTTTAAAAATTAATATTTAATAGATATATAAAATTTCAATAACTTTGTGTATGTCATAGTTGCATGAAATACTTTTAAAAAATTAAAAAAATGTAATAGAGTCATACAGTCATACGTAATATACATTATTTTTAAATTTATTTAGTTTTTATTTATAAATAAATATTATTATTTTATTTATTAAATTAGATTATTAAATTTATAACACTTATAACATATACTAAATATAAATATATATTATACTATTGTATATAATTAAAATAAAACAACAATTATATTTATGTAAGTTAATTGTAATATATTAGTGATAATTGATTTTTTAACTTAGAAAACAAAGTTTGTTTATAAACAGTATATACATTTTTTTTGTTGATTATTTTATGCTTATTAACAAAATGTTTATTACAGTTATGATAATAAAATGTAATTTAAATTAATTGACTGTCAAAAAACTAATGAATTTTTTCACTCATTTAAATACTTGTAGTTTATTTGCTTAAGATTTTTGTTATTATTATTATTATTGTTATGTAAATTTTGTAGTTTACTGATGATGATATCAATAGGTTTTTGTAAAAAAATATGAAAAATAAATATATAATAAATAGGTCACACATTAAAACATATAACGCTATTTTTACAAGTAATTTACAATTCAGTTTAGTAATAGGGTTTTACAGTAATATTTTTGTTATAATAATTGCAATTGCAAAAATCTAATCAAAATTGAAATATTAATTTGTGACGGGTGTGGGGTTGACTTTCCCGTCATTGAAGCGAAGCTGTGATAAAAAGCCAATGTTGAGTGTTGTTGTTGATGAATGAGATGAAAATAATTAATAAATAATATTAATTAAGGCGAATGTTCATTAGGTGCCGTCACAAGTGTATATAATAACATTGAAATATAACTGAATTTTATTTAAAGTTAAAACACATTGAAATAGATAGGGAGTACACAGTGTTCCATTACAATATAATATATAGAATATAGGATAACTATATAATGAAAAGCAAGAGATGCGTGCTCTTTGATAGCAAGCGAGTAACTGATAAAATAATGGATGCTAAGCATTATTATATAGTGATTCTACTAATCAATAAATGTACTATCAAGGCTATGCTTCCAGAATATTCTATAGTTACGCAACTGTAGATACAGTGACGCAACCAGAGCATAGGGATGCTATGATTGACAGGTCTATGGGAGTTATAATGTAAAATGTAATATTTGGTTATAATTAGTAAAGTATAATTAGTTATGTGTTGTGTTTTATATAGTTGTGTTAAGTGTAAAGTCTAGAACACGAATATAACAAAAAGTCTACAAAAATATTAAAAATTACTAAATTATTGACTAAATAAGATTTACAACAAATAGAGAATTTCAATCAGTTATATATGGTAAGTATTGTATACTTATATAAATGGGAGCACTGTACTACTATATAGTAGTGTACGCATTAATAGTACAGTGTACCCCAACATATAATGTTAAGCACTGTTGACTCTCTACTGCTATAGCGTATTGAGTCAACGCCCCTGTAATGGCGGCTTACAGTGTATACATGTGTTTGTATGTATGTGTGTGTATGTGAATGTATGTAAACATTTAATTGTAAGTATGATTTTTAATTTAATTAATTAGATATATATATATTTATAAATAAAAGATTTGTGTTTCATCACATTCTCCCCTCGCTGACGAAAATTTATTCTCGTAGAATAAATTTCTTTAGTTGAGAGACGTGAGCGCGAAAGGTAGGACCAGACAAAGTGTCCGCGATGTCGTAAGTGACTTCACCGTAACGTGCGATGATGTAATACGGTCCTGTCCATCGTGGTGATGTTTTTTGTACCGTTGGATGATTAGCGGGTGTTATTCGAATGACTCGTTCACCAGGTTCATAAACAATGTGTTTATGTTTATCATCAAATCGAATTTTGCGGGTGGCTTGTGCTTGTCTTGTACGTTCATTTGCGAGTTTTCTAGCGTCATCTATTGAGATAGCGGGAGATGCAAATGTGGGAGTTTCTTCAATTCCAAATATTAGAAACTGTGGAGTAAATCCAGTGATGTCATGTGGTGTTCTGTTGTAATTTCGGATGACGTCCTTTAATAATGTATTCCATTTACGTTTCGGTTTGTCTATTAGTTCGGCTCTAAGTTTCTCAATTATGATACCGTTAGCTCGTTCAACGATACCATTAGTTTGCGGATGATATGGAGTTGAAAGTGAATGTTTAATATGATTAAGATATAAATATTCATTAAATGTCTTTGAAGTAAATGATTTGTGACAATCAGTTAATAAACGTTTAAATTGTATTCCAGAATTAATAAGATTAATAAATAGCGATATAATAGTTTCTGTAGTATTCTTGTGTGTAGGATATGCCCATATATATCGTGAGTGATGATCTATAAATACTTGAATATATTTGTGCTTTGTTTTGTCGGATGCCGGTCCCATGACAATAGTATCTAAACCAACCAATTCTAAAGGCTCTAGATCCGGTTCAGGACAAATATATTTCCCAGGAGTTGGCCTATGGTCAAGTTTAGTTAACTGACATGTGCGACATGATTCAACATATTGTTTTATGTTGTGTATTATGTTTGGCCACCAATAGTATGAAGTAATGAGTTTTACTGTCTTGGCTTTGCCAGGGTGTCCATGGTTATCATGAAATTTTTCAAATAGCTTTGTACGTAACGCTTCCGGTATAACTGCTTTATGTATACCATTGTGTTGAACTGTTGTAATACCAAATCGTATTACAGGTGATTTAACATAAGATAAATCAGTGTTTTCTTGTGCATCTTTTATTTCTTGAGTTGATAGATGTAATGCTATAGGTGCTCTTGAGAGTGCGTCAACGTGTTGTTGATTACGGCCTTCTCTATGTATGATCTTTATTGGATAGGTTGATAGCTCAACAGCCCACATATGTAATCTTTTCTTCGGTTTCTTAAGAGTAGTAAGCCATTGTAGAGCTTTATGATCAGTGATGACCTCAAACTCTCGGTTGAGATAAACTTCAAAATGTTCAATAGCTTCCTTGACCGCCAGGCATTCAAGTTCAGTAGCACTATAGTTTTGTTGTGCTGTATTGAGTTTGCGTGAAAAATACTCAATTACGTGTTCTTGATTGTCATCACCTATTTGAGTTAACGTAGCTCCGATACCAATACCTGAGGCATCAGTATATACTCGACACGGTTTATTAGTGTCAAATAAAGTTAACACTGGTGGTTTAGTTATGTCATCTGTTAATATCTTAAATGCTTTTTCCTGTTCTGGGCCCCAATGAAATGTAACACCTTTCTTTGTTAAGGCTGTAAGATGTTTAGCCTTATTAGCAAAGTTAGCAATAAAGCGTCGGTAATAACCAGTAAGTCCTAGAAATCTTCTGACTTGTCGTAGAGTAGTTGGTTTCGGAAATTCTTTAACTGCCTTAATTTTGTCTTCAGATGGTTTTACAGATTGATACGAAACAACATGTCCAAGATAAGCTACTTCATTCATAGCAAAGTGGCATTTACTTTGTTTTAATTTGATATTATGTTGTCTTAAAATGTTAAATACTTTTTCTAATAAAGTTATATGTTCATCGTGTGTCTTCGTGTATAATATAATGTCATCTAAATAATTAATTGCACCATTGTAGAGAAGAGGACCTAATATTTGTTGAATAATGCGTTGAAATGTTGCGGGTGCGTTTTTGAGACCGAATGGCATGACCAGCCATTCATAATGGTTTTCATGTGTGACAAAAGCTGTTTTGTCAACCGAATCGGAGTCCATCTCGATATGCCAGTAACCCCAGGCCACGTCAAGAGTTGTGAAATAACGAGCGCCCTGTAAGCGGTCTAACACTTCAGTGATCCTCGGCATAGGCATTT